ACAACTCTCTCTCTCTCTCTCTCTCTCTCTCTCTCTCTCTCTCTCTCTCTCTGGACTCTGGATCGTATAAGCGAAAATAAAAAAAAAAAAAATAAACAATGATACATAAGTCAATCAGAATGAAAGCGCTTCCACATAAGGTACAATTGTCATTTCACCATAAAAGACATTTGAAAGATTAAATGAGAACAACATGTACAGATCATCGTTATATCTTCAATTTACCTCAGGTGAGCATTTTGATCCACGGCCCTCGTGATTCATTAGTTTTTAATCCAAAAAATATTTTTCTTATCAAATCTAACAGGGGTCATTATTCTATGGGGGTCATTTTTCTTCACGTAGGGTATGCAGATTTTAAGGATGATGCCACTTTTTCTACGGGCGAAAGGGTCATTTTTCAAAGTCGAATAATGACCGGGTGTCATTTTTCTACGTCGAATAATGACAGAGAGTCATTTTTCGACGTCGGAAAATGACCCCCGGTCATAATTCTATGGGGGTCATTATTCGTCTTTACACCGGTTTTCAAGCTTTGATATAAGTTTGATGTAGTCTGCTTCTCACAGCCTGGGTGGAAATTTGTCTTCCTGTTGCTTTCTGGAAGTCATCGTTTAGCTTTATTGCACTTTGAAAGCGTTGTCTTTAAGCACCGCTGGCCACCTGACGGTCTTCACATGCTGTGGTGCAATTTAGACTTTCCGATTTCGGCCTTCTATGGATGCTACAGGTCTGCAAACACCGGTTCTATAGACGACTGATGACACCCTGTGAAACACGGAGTCGTTCTGCAATGAACTGTTGCGTTTTGCCGGCTTCAAGCATCCCTACTGCCCTGGAGCTGTCAGTCACGTTCATCATGCCGCCTCATTGTGTTTCAGCATGAATCCTACCCCGTCCAAAACAAAACGATTTATGTTTATGTCAGGAAACCAAATTGGGACCACTTGCCTCTCTTTATACTACTCAGTTTTCTTAAACCCCTCTTTTCTTAAGCAACTCACCGGCAGGATTACTAGAACACGTGCTGTACGAGGGTATATCTTGGTGAATGCATGTTTGATAAGCAAGTGTAGCTTTATCGTTACATAAATTCAGGGTTTTTTTTTAATATTTCTTATCTAATAAAGTATAATAACGATCTTGACTTTGTTGTTTAGCATATAAATATATTTGGCGTTTGCTGAAAGAACTATAACTTTCTATGTTTTGTAGTTCTCTTTACAAACAAAATAAATTCAACATAAGATTTCTCTTTTTTTCCTACAATGGCGATATTTCTTGTTTCATTGTTATTTCCATAGTTAAAAAAAAAATCTTTAAAAGACTTTTAAAAAGTTTCTTACATATTACACTTACATTTACTTACATAGACTTATACAGACCCTAAAACGTGCTACTACACCTCAGAAACGAACCGTACCGTTCCGTGCCAGAAGCGTACCGTACCGTGCACAAAGCGAACCGTACCGTACACAAAACGAACCGTACCGTGCAAGAAGCGTACCGTAACGTGCACGAAGCAAACCGTACCGTACACAAAACGAACCGTTCCGTACAAGAAGTGTACCGAACCGTGCAAAAAGCGAACCGTACCGTTCATGAATAATTTTTTAAATAATTATGCAAGCCACGCCCCGAAAGCATTCCGAATGACCAAATACAGTAAGTAATTTTCTTTTATTTCTTTCGATGCAGCGCCCGTTAAAGAAGGACGGAAAATAACCCTAGGGATTCAAAATATTATTGTTAAGTACCATGCATCTGGACTTAATATAAGGAAGCTACTTAAAACTAGTTACGACTTCAAAACAACTCGACAGAGTGTGAGGCGATTCCTTATTCGCTATGCATGATCGGGTTGTGCTTGACTAACATTTTTTTCATATTAAATGCAGCATCGTAATATTTAAGTGAACAATTTATAATAAATAAAAGTGAATTAAATACTTTATCGTTTATTTCTATAGCTTTTATCTACCCTATTCTTGTCTCTATGAACGTTCTCGGAAACCAAGACACATTGCAAAATGTATTAGGATCCTGTGCTATTTTCCGAAATCAAGCCCTTAAAATCATTTTCTATTCATGTAAGTAATAGTTTTAGGGAGAAATGATTACAGATTTAGCAACAAAGATAATTTAAAAAAAAAAAACCGATCTAAATTGTCAATTTGAAAGCGGACACGTCAAAATCACTAGAAAAAAAAAATAAATAAAAGCGATGTATATATAAATCATATGTGTTGGTTTCAACTCCTCTGATCTACCTAAGATGTTATCGCCAATATAACATTCTATCAAAAAGTTCGATCGCCACATTTTCGCATGGAATTTTCAGTTTAATACACGTAGTTAAAAAAAAAAAACAAATCTGGATATATGTCAGAATTAATTTTTATTCAAAGCATTTTCCCATTTCATTATTATTATTATTATTATTATTATTTTTTTTTTTTTTTTTTTTTTTTTTTTTTTTTTTTTTTTTGCTTTATTCACTGAAACCTGCAGGTAAAAATATTTTACCTAGAATTTACACACAAAGCCCAGTTTATTTTTTTTTTTTTATTTTAATGCATAGTCCGTGCATGCGTGTTCATCCAAGTTTTTTTTTTTTTTTTTTAAAGAAACACTGTGCATTTCTTGCCATAGAATTTACACACAAAGCCCAGTTTAATCTTTTTTTTTAATGCGTAGTCCGTGCATGCGTGTTCATCCAAGTTTTTTTTTAAAGAAACACTGTGCATTTCTTGCCATGGTCTCGTTATCTAGACTGACGTCTTTCTATATTTTCGTTATTTACTCTAAAACATTTGAAAATTTCGATTAAGTATTGTCATCACGCGTGCACTGGTAAAAATTTAAGCTGTGTATATTGAACCGTATCTAATCCCGTTAGTCCAGATATGCCTACATTCACATGTGTATCAACAGCTGCTGTCTTAAACAGTAAATCTACAACAATGAACCATTTTAATCTGCAGATAAATAGAATTTTATAAGCAGTCAGCTTTTCCTCTAGAACTTCAATAAAAAAAAGTTTGAGTTTGACAAGGAAACAAGGGGAGGGGGGGGGGGGGGGAGGGTGTAGCACCCTGCATGGGCAAATTATTCATTTTCAAAGTTTTTGAGGACTGCATATTATTTATTTTCTAGGTAATTGAAAACAGACTATTTAGTTATAACATTTTGACATATTATTTAGTTCGGAAATCTGTCTTTGCAGCCAATTACGCGCACAAAAAATAAAGTAATATTTTGCACTAATTGTGTGCACTTCTACTTTTCAATGTATTTTCCTAGTGAGCAAAAAACCTAAGGAATCTATGTAAAAAAAAAAATTAATTCCTCGTAAATAAAAATGAAAATAATAACTTCTTATTTTTTTTTACTGTTTGTTTGATCATTTGGTCAAGAGAAAAAATGTTTTCGTTTTTGTTTTGTTTTTGTTTGTTTGTTTGGTTTTTTTAATAAAGCAACAGTGACAAGAACGTAAAAAGAATGGTAGACGAAATGAAAGCACAAAGCGAACCGTACCGTGCAAGAAGCGTACCGTACCGTGCACAAAGCGAACCGTACCGTTCACAAAGCGTACCGTTCCGTGCAAGAAGCGTACCGTACCGTACACAAAACGAAACGAACCGAACCGTGCAAGTGGTGTAGTAGCACGTTTTAGGGTCTGTAGTTATTTTTCTAAACCTTTTTCATCACCCACAAAAACTATCTCAAAATAATATCCAAAAATTATGAAATGTTTGTAATTCAGTTACATCAGTGTGATTAAAATAGAACTTCATAAAACATCGGAAGGAAATTATAAAAAGGGTAATTTATTGGATAATGTAAAAATATATTCTGGTTCATTAAAAGTAAAATTTTTTTCTTTCAGATTATGCATTTTTGTTTAATAAAAAAAAAGTTTAGACACAAGAAGAAAACTAGCAATAATAAAGCCTTTTATATTTAATTTATTTTAAAGGCCCATTGGCGATTCGTCACTTGTGCCACTTTCAATTTCGGACTTTTAGTAAAACTCCTTTTACTTGTACATTTATTGATTTTTTTTTCTAAATTGGTATCCTCGCTATCAATTCCCTAGTCTTTAAGAACGATGTATGTGCAAGAAAGCATATATAGATGTTATTTGATTTTATTTATTTATTTTTGTTGTTGTTGTAATTATTTTATGACATATTCCATGTATTTAAAATCCATTTTTAAATGATATTAATTAAAAATTAAAATGAATGCTATCCCTACTGAGACAAATAAATGATTTAAGTTTAACATTTCTATATCATTTTCTTTCTTTTAAATTATGATCAGAACATCGTTCTCCAAATTGACATATAGGGTTTTATTTTTTCCCACAGATTGAAATCTCATGTTTTCCTTGTTGCATAATTCTATGTCAAGCATGTGAGAATATATGGTTTGTAATATGACTGACGCATTCTCTAGCTATTTCTATATCATTCCGAAATATTTATATTACTGTAACTCAAATTGCTACCTTCTTCATAGCTGACATCAGGTTTGATATTTGCAACATATGTTCGCCTCAATGTGTTCAAACTAGAGGGAAAGAACGAATTCAATTAAACGACGCTGAAAAATCAACTGTTAACAAATGTGACACACAGATTTTTTAATGATAACTTGACGTTGAAAAGGAAATTGAAACTTAAAAAAAATGAATGTCTCGAAATGTTGGGACACATAATAATTATTAAATAAACACAGCTCAGTGAGGTTGAATTCGGTATCTTGTCCACTTTTTCGTATTTATGTCCTTCACACTGCAGTCTTTGAGAAAAATTAAATAAAATACTTATAAGGTGTATTACTGAGCAACTAAAGTATATCATTTAATCGACTGGTAAAATTAAACATAGACATCGAGTAACAAACTTAATAATTAATGGTCAAGTAATACTATATAAATGGATAAGATAAACCGAGTGTTTATGTATTGTACATCTTCAAATTTATATTTCTAGCACCATCAAATCAATATACGAGCAGATTTATGGGATTCTACGTGTACATTTCAAACACAACAAACAAGCAAGATGGCCATCTATGTTTTCATGACAGAAACTACACCAATGCCACAATACCAGAGGTAGCCAACATAACGTGTCCTGTACATGGACAATACGTCATTTATTATAATGAGAGACCGCCAAAGAACAGTTACACAACTGGACACTCTCAATATGCTTTTACTGAACTTTGTGAGGTCGAGGTATACGGTGAGTGACATATTATGTTGACTGAAACAAATAAAAAAAAAAACGTGGGTATATATGAATCAAAGGAATATTTGGGTTTTTTTTATTGTTATTCATAATTTCAAGGTTGCTCAACTCCTAGACGTTACGGAACTGATTGTTCAAAGTCATGCCCGACAAACTGCAAAGAATACTGTGACATAGGATCAGGAAACTGTTTACAGTGTTCTCCGGGTTACAGAGGCGACCGCTGTGAACAAGGTTGGATTCTTTACGAAGCAAAAATGTCAAAGCTTAAATATGTAATGGTTCAGTAATTTCTTTCAAAAACAAGCATAATTTCAAGACTGTTAGTATTGAAAAAAATAGACAAACAACATACTACGTAACATGACTTATGCACACACACACACTCACATACACGATAAAATTTTAAACTCAACACGGACAGGGTTTTATACGTCACAAGAAGGATTTTTAAATAATGCAAACCATTTTTCATGTAAAATGACAAAACAATACACTGTTCCTACAACACGACTGCGTTCACTTTAGGTTTTACATGTACAAACAGTGGACGAGAAAATTGTAACATTTAAAGCTGAACACGATTCGTAAAATGCAGAGACCTATGTTTGTCTGCCATATTGCTTTGTTTTTTCCATTGTATTGCCCCTATATAAGCCGTTCACCTGGTCAGGGTTTATTGTAATGAGTTTTCATCGGTGTGTATTCTTGGTAGCGACGAAAGTAAATGTCTGCTTCTTCCACGGTTGAAGATATAAGTTATCAAAGAACCTTACATCAATTGCACGGGTTAGTGCAGTGCAAACAAAGATAAATCCACGTCAACAGAAATAAAATGTAAACTTTGCAATTTAAAAGGTCGTCCGTTCAACCCAGGTTCCCGTGTCAAGAAAGCAGTCAGATGTAATAAACACCAAGGGTATACCCCAGTGTTGATATCGGAGATAAGAAAACTTATATGGCCAATGCCTATTTACGAGTCATGTTTATCTTTAACGTGGCAGTTCAACGTTGATTGTAAGGCGGCAAAAAGATGAGCGATGCACTCCTAGGGCTTCAATTGCATTCACATATTATCACGCAAGCCAATTGCTTGATCATATAATAAAGCCATAAAATAGACAGTTATTCAGTAATGCTATAAATGTACACAAAATATTGTAACTGCAGCTGATAATGAAGCAAAGCAACGCATTTCAAATGCACCAGATAACAATTTTTAAATTCAAGTTTATTGTTCATTTGGAACCAAATCAGTCCATTAACAGGCTCCGGGGCCATAAAACTTAGACGAGCTCACTTTTGATCTCAGTCTCACTTTTTCAAAAGGAATATATAGTGGAAAAGTGAGACTGAGATCAAAAGTGAGCTTGCCTAAGTTTTATGGCCCCGGAGCCAATACTAACCTCTAATTATCTAGACTTAAGGGTAATCTATCAAAGCAATTAGTATGTGCATTTACATGTAAGCTTTCAAAATGATATATAGACTTACATTCTTATCATATCGCATTTCAATAAACAGTGGTATTATGGAGGGTAATCGTGTTCAAAAATCCAGACTTGTAAGTTTGTAAATCCAGACTTGTAAGTTTGTAAATCCAAACTTGTATCAGTTTCATAGTCTACATATGTAAGTAGGTAATTCCGACATCCTAGCATGTAGTTCCGAACATACAACTGTGTTGACTTTGAGTTTATATTATGAATGTGTGTATTTTTGATGTTGTAAACTTTGTTTTCCGGAATTTATATTTCCGCGCTCTGAATAAAACACAAAGACAATTGACAAGTCTACAAATGTAAATCTACACGTTTGTCGAATTTTGATAATGAGAACCTATATATGGAGGGTCATCAGTGCCACAATTATTTCTAGAATTCTTATTTTCTTTTTTTATTTCAACTTTTTGTTTTCCAAATTAAATTCTTCATTTTTTTTCTTATTTTAAGTCGTACTTCTTGAAGACGCGGATCTAGAAGGGGGTCCGGACCCCCTCCCCCCCCCCCCCTGAAATTTGCAGACTTATTAAATGTTTATGCTAAACGAACTCAAAGTGACCTTGGAACCCCTCGAAAACGCTGATCTGTTTTAAGTTGACGACTAACCCCCCCCCTCCCCCAACACACGCGCGCGGGCTCGAAATAGGTTTTTCATGCTTTGGAAAGGATTTTTTTGGGGGGAGGGGGTGGATTTTTTTGGGCTGGGATGGACCCCCCTGGATCTGTGCCTGTTCTTGTTTATATTTTCCAGTTTTATTTTATTTATTTTGTTATGGCAATTTTGATTCCTTTTGATTCTATCTTAAAATTTCAATTATGTTTCACTTCACCTAACTTAATACTTTTTTTTTTTTTTGGAAACAACTATAAGCAAAATCGAAAGTTTATTTAAGAAAGTAGATTAAGAAAAGTATATTTTTTTTTTCATTTTAAAAACCATATGATATCATTCTTGCGTGTTTTCTCTCGTTTTCAGGCCCGTAGGAAGCATTTTCATTGGGGTGGGGGAGTGGGGGTGGAGCAGTGGGCACAAAACAAAAATTTCTTGATAAGCCCCCCCCCCCCCCCCAAATGAAACATTCCTGTTGAGGGGGCACAACGATGAATTAACCTTATTTCTTTTCTTATTTATTTACCGACAAAATTATTGAGGGGGCACAATCAGAAATTGCTTTTTTTATTGGTATAGTATATACTGGCACCCTCACCCCACTTGCTACCTACGGACCTGGTTCGGGGCCATAAAACTTAGAAGAGCTCACGTTTGATCCGAGTCTATCTTTTCTACATCCTATTAATTCCTTTGGTAAATGTGAGACTGTGATCAAAAATGAGCCCGTCTAAGTTTTATGGCCCTGGTGCAAGATGTTTCAAATATGACAGCCATTTTTGATTGTCCGCTTATGGTACATGTACAAATATCAGGCATCTTTAAATTGATATTGTCATAACATTATTTTTTTAAAGTAGAACAGAGAATTTTTTTTTCACTAACAAATCTCAGTAGGAGGGATAGAAAGGTTGGGCTCCCAATTTTTTTTGTGTGGAAAATAATCTTTTGCAGGTGTTTTAATATGAAAATTCATTTATAGGCTCGATGCCAACCACCCCCCACCCCCAACCCCCTTATTTTGCAGTATCATTAAACTCTGACAAATTTTTGCGTTGAAAAAAAAGTTACTGAAAAGTTAAAGATATCCTAAACATCGCCTCCCACGAAGGAAGAGTTTGGACAGTTTATTTATTTTTTTTTTCATCGTCAATTTTTTTGGAGCCCCCCCCCCCCCGATAAACATTGATACGGATCTTCATCTACTGAGTGGTTGTTTTTTTAAATATGATATTATTGCAGTTACATTCGTTCTTAATAAACTGGGGCACTGATCACGTACAGTAGCCTAGTTGTTAGGCGCTAGCTTCGTAGGCCATTGGAGGGTAAGAGTTCGCTTGTCCTAAGTTCCTAGTGCCGGCCGGCAAAATGTAAGACGTTTAACATACGTGTTGGTAATGACTATTCCTTCGGCATTGAAAGTCATATTGAATAATTTTTCGGTTGAGACCTTAAAAACCGAAGCCCCTCTAGATCCACGCAAGCCGTGAATAAGCAGATAATGATTCATGTCACATCTTCAAATAAATAAAATTAAGAAGATAAATAAATTTAAAACATATAAACAAAAAGTTAGAATTAAAATTAAATAACAAATTCAAATGAAAATATTAATATAAAATTGGAAGTTAGAATAAAAAAAAGAAATAAAATCTAAATAATTTATTTCAGTTGGAAAAAGAAGTTAGAATTAAAAAAAGGGGGGATGTGGCACTGATGACCCTCCATAGTTTCTCATAATCAAAATTAGACATTCATGTAGACTTTACATTTGTAGACTTGTCAATTGTCTTTGTGTTTTATTCAGAGAGCGGAAATATAAATTCCGGAAAACAAAGTTTACAACATCAAAAATACACACATTCATAAACTCAAAGTCAACACAGTTTTATGTTCGGAACTACATGCTAGGATGTCGGAATTATCTACTCACATATGTAGACTATGAAACTGATACGATTACAAGTTTGGATTTACAAACTTACAAGTCTGGATTTTTGAACACGATTACCCTCCATATGGTATAGGCTATGGGTAACAAGTTAACCATCGCGAAAGTTATCCTTATAACGCGAAAATTTCGCGTTTTTTTCGCGAAAATTTAATTTATAACCCAAACATTTCGCGTTTATTTGCGAAAGTTACGCATTTTAACTGAAACGTACGCGTAAAAACACGAAAGTTGGCACAATAACGCGATTTTTTTTAGATTAAGTACTTAAAAACAAACACAAACTACCGATGGAAATAAAATTGTTCTCGCATATATAAAAAGAATGAACAAGTTTATGGTAACCTGATTTAAGAGAGAGAGAGAGAGAGAGGATACATTGGATCCAGTTTAATAATCTGTAGAAATGTGCGACTTAAATGAAGGGATGAATTTTTAAAACAATTCAATACCGTTACATGAAAAGAAACCTCGTTCGGTTTTCTACACTACACGTATATCTATTTATTTTCAAGAACTTGAAAATTTAAAATTTTTGGCACTGATTTTCTTTTTTTAATAGCTCAAAGGTTTAAGCTTCATCTGCAAGTCTTTATCACCAAAGTCAAAATAATCCTTATTGATAAATAATCTCATTTACCATATATTATCTTACTTATCGGTTTGGAATAATTTCGTACAGGTTTAACCTGCCATTGAATTAAGTAAACGTAATTATTGTTCTGATTTATTGATAAAGTGATTCCTGTAAAATTCAGGTTTTATTTATACATGCAATAAACAATTTAAATTAAATGCTGAAAACACACTGCACAAAACATGAATATTTACTTGTAAGTTTTTATTTAGGCAGCAGTGCAGGGGACCAGAGGGAGGGGGCATTCTATATTACCGGGACCTAACTACTGTACCGTGTATCTGTAAAGCTTTACAAGGACAAGTATAAACTGTATTTAAGTCTTTAACACTGGACCAGAATGGAATTCATAAAATACATGTACACCTCATATACAATAGCATTGGAAAGCAATAACATTAAAATTTAATATAACAGAGACACCAAAGAAAGGGGGGGGGGGGGGTAAAATATTATATTTAACACCTCGCAAAAATCTATCAGTTTAAAATTCAGCCAGTTATACGATCCAGGCCATTTAACTGATGTATATGTAGACATTTCCAATTGTTTCAATTAAAAAAAATAGTAGTTTAAATACCACATGGAGACAGTTTTTTTTTTTTTTTTTTTTTTTTTTTAGTTTTTTTTTTTTTGAATATTGCTTAAGATGCAATGTATCGACTTAATGACCTTTAATTTTTGTAGACTGTACTTAATTACAATTCACAAATTTTCTGTCTTTATAATTAGAAAAAAAAACGAACAAACAAATAATTCTTACACTACCCATTAGTATCAAATTTATTGTTTTCCCAATTTTTTTTTTTTTTTAATTTAATTTTTTTTCTTCTAATTATCGTATTTGTTAAGATATATCCTTTTTATACTGGATTCGAACAAGAAAATAGACATCTTGACCAATCGAGAAGTATGTTTAAAATTAAATGATTTTCGAATGAATCCTACAGATTTCACAAACGATTCTTGCACGCAATAAATATTTTGTTTTGAGAAAATAAACAGAAACTGAACGGCAGTCGCTGCTTCTCAGAACTTCCTCACGTCCCAGCATATTGACATGTAAATAAAACAAAAAGTTAACACTCATAATTCAATACATCATTGATGGATAATACTTATTACAACTCTTAAAAGAGACAGTGGCTTCTGGAAATATTCAATAACATACATCCATTACCGTAGTAACATAACAATGCAGAGTCATTTTGTTCACCCTGAAAAACGTTTGACGTTGGTGTGTATTAAAGTATCATTAATAAAAATGAAGAAGAAACCTACTCAGAGTTGACTTTGGACCACAAAAATTCAGATTTGACAACTTCTAACATTGCTCTTTTAGAATCTATGAAAAATTTAAAATTCATAAAAATTGTCATAAGATACTTTTATCATGGGTGGCAATCATAGAGGATTATTGGTAATTTTTATTTGAAAACGTTACTAATGAAACTGAAGTGAGATTCTCTTACACATTTAAAGTCACATACTTCTATCTTTTCACATTTACTCGAATACTTGGAAGAAAGAATTTGTAACTCATCCTCAGTACTCGGCACATTCACTCCTTCCCCTCCTCGCTAAGACACGATAGCTTATAATAAAATCAATATATGACTACGAAGCATTACACACCCTGAAATCAGTTCCGTTTTGTTACGATTTAGAAATTGCCTCTTGGTACGTAGTTTCTCGGAGAGGGGCAGGGGGCCTGAAACATTACCCTTCACTTTTGAAAATGTTCATTGAAAGCAGTTGCGTAGCAAGGCGTACGTTTGCACATCATTTTTGAAAAAAAGGAGAGAGAGAGAGAGAGAGAGAGAGAGAGAGAGGCGTAATTTCCATGTATGCTTGTATGCTCTTAAAGCATGCACATCATTTTGCCATACGTAATTTGTCTCTTCAAAAGTCTAAAAAAAAATTTAGTGGTTTCGTCATACAACGATATTAGAAAGAGGGTCGAATATGCACAGCGAAATCGTCGAAAGTTCACAAGCTTACGGGGGCTTCGCCCTCTGGGCCCCCAATCGGGACCTTAAGGCGGCCCCAAACACCCTGCCTACTCGAACGTCCACATAAAAAGTACCCTGGCTACGCCCCTGGACTGTTGCCCCCCCCCCCCTCCCCACACAAACACAAAAAAGCCGTAGCATAGTTTTCATGGTGACTTTGTAACTTATTGGTAACTTATTAGTAATTTTGTTTTGAAAGGAAATGGAACTCCCTCCCCATCTCCCCCCTTTTTTTTTGTTTGACAAAGCTTTTTAAGGTAAGTTGTCTTTTTTTCCTATTCCCTAGATACTAGTACTAAGTGCGAGGTTTCTACAGGTATTACACAAACACTGCCTAAAATTATTTTTGTTCCAAAACTAAGTACGTCTAGTATTTGTGAAGTAAAAATTTTGAGCAGCAAACATAAATTGCATACATATTCGAGATCACGTTGGATGGTACGTGGTAAAGAGAATCATTCTGGATACTTGAAAAAAAAAATCATTCATAGATCGATCGATATGTATGAGGTTTGCACGTGGTTTCCCGATCACAATCTATTCCATATGAGGCATGCGGCAAATGTAAACACACAACTGTTTTTTCTAAACTTTAAGAGTTCACTGTATTTTTTGTGTATAAATAATAAAAAGGTTTTTCTTCAACTATGGCATATGTACATGTACCATATATATTTCATACTGTAGGAAATCAATCTTTTTATATGTTAACTGGTTCCACAACACTAGTGAACAAGTGTCCTTGCAAACCAACGAAGACCTCTCAGGGATAATTTCCAAAACAAACTTGAATTTTTCTAGCGGCAAGAACCGGAATCAAGGATAGATAACCAGTGCTTGCGACAGTTGTAACTCATTTGATAATTGTTTCGAGAAAAAATTATTCATACATACATACTATTGCAGAGACATTAAAATGTTACTTATGTGTCTGTTTACGGGAAATATTGAAATACTTATTTCCATGATGTTGAAGAATTTTTGGAAATTTTATCTTTTCTGCGCGAATTCATGGTTAGCACTTGATGATAATTTCCTTTAGAAGGAGTACATTTTCATTTTTGCTTATAACCTCCCCCCCCCCCTCCTCATCCGGTCGACTTTGACGAAGTCTTATATCTCCTTATTTTGAATTGATTCATATACAAGTATATTCATTTAATTTCTTCCTTTCACACTCGCTTATTTTGTTTTAGAATTCGTTAAAGCAGATAACATAGCAAACATTTATAACAACTTGATAAAGACCAATAGTTTTTTCTGTGTGTTTTCTAAACTCTTATTATTCATGTCTAATCGTCCTCATTAATTATTGTAAGCAGTGGTAAATAATCTTACTTAAGTGATCTGTGCTGCATGTAATCTCATACATGCTTGAAGTTAATTAAAAGAGTACATTTACTTGGATGTACTTAATTAGATTCAAATATTACAACCTCAATCTAATAGTTTCCATTAATTAACGTTTGGTCAATAAAATAGTATAGGAGAGTTCATATCTTACCACTTCCTAATGTTCAAATATATAATGGATTTCAAATTGGGTTATGATCCTTCGGAATACAATTCCTTTACGATAAGTTATTTTTAAGTACTCATTACCGTAATCCTACTACTTCGAAATAATAATAATAAGACTTTGAACAAGAGTTGACGAAGATTTTAAACTTGGAAATCATTATACAGGCACATATATTTTTTTTTCTTTTTAGCGGGGGGGGGGGGGGGGGGAGGGGTATCCACTTTTTCAAACATAACCCATTACTATAAAAATGTTCATTGAAAGGCTTAATGCACCACCACCTTCCCCCACATTTTTTGTTGTAGTATAGTGAAGACATGGTAGTTTGGTAATGTATTGTGAAAATTTGGTTTTGAATGGAAAATGGAACATATAACCCCCATCCTCAACTCAATCCCCCCCCCCCCCACACACACACACACGAAATAGTATTTTCGTGATTAGACAAAAATACCTTTCATGTCAAAGTTTTTGATGTAAGTTTACATTTTTTGTTCTAGCTGACCAACACACACCCCAACATATCTCACCCCTAACCCACTTTCAAAAAAATACTATGTGGTTGTTTTGTTTAACTTTTGTTACAAGAAATAGCAACATCCATGTGAAGCTTTCAACTTTCCTTACATGTAATATTAACTTTGCAATAATCATTCTGTTTTAGCATGTGAGACTGGGTTTTATGGTGCTGATTGTAATCAGACTTGTGGACATTGCAAAGATTTTAAAACGTGCAATCCAATAAATGGGACATGTTCATATGGATGCGCCGCTGGCTTTGAGGGATTGCGATGTAACAGAGGTAAAGAAAAAGCAAACGCAATCTGTGGTTGAATTATTTTATTTTTACTTAACAGTCATAAGAATAAAAGAAAAAAAAAAGAAAAAAAGAAAAAAGGAACACTTTGTGAAGAAGTCATAAACTTTAAATTTCTTGCAATTACCACAATTATTTCAATTGTCGAGTAAAAATGATAAATTTATAACCACATATTAAAGGGCAATCGAAACAGCTATCGTAAACTTTATTTTCTATAAAAATAAACTTCGTGATTCAGAATGTGCAACTGGATTCTATGGTGACAATTGTACCCTGACCTGTGGTAAATGCAAAGATTCCAAGACATGCAATCCAATAAACGGGACCTGTGTAAATGGATGTATTGCGGGATATGGAGGCGTGCTTTGTAATAAAGGTAAACCAATGATCAGATTGTATGTCTCCAAGTATCTTAATGCAAATGTCTTTTATTGGCAGGAAGGATAAATTCAAATTTCTAATAAATTTATGAAATTCAACATCAAAAGGATTCTCTTAATTGTCGGAAAAAATTTTTTGTAAATTCATAAACAAATAATAATAATAAAAAAAAAAACTTACGATATATTAGGTGTCTTTCCTCGCGCATTTTTTACCTACTATATGTCATCGTTTTAATCTCTCTCTATAAACCTAATATATTTTTCTTTTCTTACTTGATTATCCTTGTTTTCATTGCTTAAGAAAACATGGCCTATAAGAAACAGACCTGGCAAAGCTCAAGCCATGACAGTAACGTTGGTTCTGAGAAAGCTGTTGATGGACTGAAAACCGATTTTTCTAATGGCGGACACCAATGCAGTATATCAAAGGATGGACATAAACAGGCAACATGGTGGGTGAATCTGTCTGAAATCCGGAGCATACGTAACGTTATGATATACTACCGGACGGCTAATGTCATTTGGGGTAAATACGATTTGTATCTCAGTAAATAATGTAGTATTCAGAAATTTATATTTGGGACGAATTGTGTTTGAATCATTGGAAAAATCAGCACGCATGAAGTTAGAAAAAATGTAGTTCTAAAGTTGTTTTCTTTTTCTTTAACTGAACAATTGAAAAAGCATTGAACACACAAAAGAAATACTCCCTTGCAACATGATGGAAAGAAAGCTGTGCTTGAATTTATTTTCTATAGGAAACGGACAGCGCTCTGCAAACGCATATAATTGTATACAGGGTTCTGCACATTTGAAATTTAACCATGGTAGAAGCTGCGCGAATGTGAAGTGTGAAAAAAGGAAAATACCTTCATTTCTTCATTAATCAATGATTGTTTTCACAAAACTTAACCACTGAAACACAAAAAAATGAAATAACCAATATTTTTTTTATGCAAAAAAGAAATGAATAAATAAAACTTAAAAAAATTTTAAAAAAAAAATAAAAATAAAAAATGTTTATGTATCTTACCTTACAAATGTACCAAAATTGATCCAAAACTGAAGGAACGTTTTGAAGGAATTCAAAAAAAAAAGTTAACAGGCACACAAACGAACAGACGAGCGAACACGGGCATCTTTTACATATGCCTAAGATTTCTTTAACTGGATGGTCTATAAAACTTAATGATGGCATACATGGTAAACGTATCATAGCTTAATACAACCAGGAGTATAAAATTGACCTATTTGTAATTTTGCTTTCTCTATTCTGTTTTTCTTTACGTTCTTTTTCCTGTATATTTGCATTTTTCGCCGAGTTTCCTCCATTGCTTACCTCTCCACGTTTCATAAAAACAGGAGGTAACTCTAAAACTAAGACAGCGATTTTATCAGAAATATAATAAAGTTATACTTAAAACAGAGCATGAGGAATTTATCTAGTACAATGGAATAGGAACACATTACTGTTAAGGCGTACTACGAAGAAATCAGCGGAATATAAACGTGCATAAATACATACCTTTTTAAACTGAATTTATTTTTGCAAAGGTAGTATTTTATCACATGACTTTAATTTTAATTGAAATAACATAGCATACCCCCCTCTGTACGGAATTTGGTTTGGTCACGTTATTTGACAGTCACGTGATAAAAGCATGTAATGTGTACTGTATGTAGGTCATCAACAAATTTCAATATCGCAAGGGCATACCCTAGTTAGAATTAAAAATTTCAGTAATAAATTGAATCTATATAATCTGTAGTTTATGAAAAGTGCTGCTGCTTTAAAAAGAATTCGCATTTTATTAGTTTAAATTTCAAGTTATTTGGCTCTAGTCGAAATATGTGTGACCTTTACGATGTATTTTATTTATTTATTTAGTAATGCTCTCGATTTCAGGAAAGCAGCAGCACTTTTCAAGTTAAGGAATGTTTCCGTTATGCATATTTAAAAAATGGTCAAGATCTATTAAGTGTATGCCCTTGCGAAAACGCGATTTAATGAGGCACCTCGGCGTGAAATATGCACACCCAGTACACAAAAATACGGTAGAATTAATTCAATACATTCTCTCCATAGTTTTTTAAATAATGGCACTAAACACAAAGGTTTCAGATTTGTATTAATGGTCTACTTAAGATTTGCAAATAATATTCTGTTTAATAATAAAATGCATTTTTCACTGTGGTTAAATGATTTGATCCGCCTCTCACTGCACATAAAATGCGTCAAATTTTACCATGATGACGTCATGTCGACAAGTGCATAGCGATCAGTGACTTGTTTATATTTTGCTGTGTGGGATTTAACTAGCGACAAAAATGAATGCAGTGGTAAGTTTTGATATAGTTCATCACTCTTATGCAGTTTGAAAGCGCAAATTATTTCATTTTCTGCTGTTGTGAGGAATTGCTATATTTGTGTGATGTCACAGTAGACATTTCCCGTATAAATTAGGCCCCGCCCCCTTTATGCAGCCTTAACAGAGCTGCGGAATTTGAAAGGGTATTTTTTTTCTGGGCACAGAAACTTGAATGGGATGCTTGTCGATTATCATGGTGTTACTGCTCGTTATGTCATCTTTTGTAAATCTGTTATTGTAAACACGTTGGAATTCCTGAAATTACACGTGTACAGGAAAATTAACTCTCAAGATATTGATTATCTGCTGATTGATTTTCCATTGTCACGCTTCACAGCATAGTCGCCAATCAACTTTCGTGTTTGTTAAGGACAGTCCACTTTCTCTCGAGGTGAACGGTAGTCGTAGTATAAACACAATTAACAACTCAAGTCATTAAAAAGTAGGTGTCAACACTCGAATGCTATAAAAATTTAATCATGGCTGCCGCCGATTTTAACCATGGTGCAGCTCGTTCAACCATGGCGCACATAAATTAAATCATGGCGGGCCGCCATTGTAAAACCCCTTGTGGAGAACCCTGGTATATCATATGCACCATAGCGTTAATAGGTACATGTGAAGTTTTAAAAGAGCTATGAAAAGATTTAATTATGTTCTTAACATCCATTTATTGAACACCAAATGCATCTCTTCAATGCAGAGAAAGTGATTAGTGGATCTCATTTCTAAATTAAACATTTTACAGCCTGAATTTCTTATTTTAATAAGTTTTCGCTTAACGTTTTAAGTTCGACAAAAAGAAGAAAATGCCCCCCCCCCCCCCCCGTGTGTTTTCTCAGCCAAGAAAAAAATACATTGAGAATATTGAATTTAACTAACATTATGATTATATTTAAAAATTTTTATACTATTATTATTAATATCATTTTCCCGTCATAACGTAAAACTGATATATTGCAGATGAAAGTAACGGCTACACAGCCCGATTTCCGGGATTTTATCTCTACGTATCGAATTCCACCAATAAATCTAATGGTCATTTATGTTTCCATGATACAAACTACACCAGGACCACGATACCAGCCGTTGCTAACATAAGCTGCCCTGTTCACGGACAATACGTCATCTATTATAACGAGAGACCAATAAAGAATGATAACAGAACTGACTTTTCTACAAATGCTTTTGTTGAACTCTGTGAAGTTGAAGTTTACGGTAATATATTTAATTAGATGAAGAATTCTATTTTGAAAAATATCGTTCGATGAGCAAAATAAATATACAATGATATTATCCAAATATAAATGATAGAGCATATAATGGTAAGTCATATTTTTAAGGCTGCTCATCACCACGTCGCTATGGATCGGACTGTTCCAAACCATGTCCGACAAATTGCGATAAATACTGCGACATAGAATCCGGGGATTGTCTTCAATGTAGGCCAGGCTACAAAGGTTTACGATGTGAACAAGGTAAGTTTTTTCCCCTTCAGATTGGTATGTGTTACTTGAAACAAGAAAAAAAATGTTTTCTTTCATTTCAATCAGCTGATTGTTATCCACCTGAATAATTACATTAAAATATACTTTAAGGATAACACCCTAAAGAGATTTTCTTTACGATTACATCCTTATTATTACGTCAGGTCAAAAAAAAAATTCTCAGATTTTTTTTAAAATAAGTAATACTTTGTTTATACACTTCCGTTGCGCTTCCTTAACGATTTTCAAACGCACTGAATGTAACCATGATTGAGAATTAATTACGGGATTCTTACGAGATGTAGAGTCATCCAATAGCATGAACTAAGAGAGAAATATATGTAGAGACAAGTTGAACCAACAGTATAGGTTGAAATAAAACAAATGCATGTTTAACCCATATAGACCAGTAGGGGTTCATTTTTAAAAACTGGAATGGCATACGTTTAATTCTTGTAAGGTAAAAGTGGGTATTTTTTTCTTGCATGGAAGGATTAATTTGCGTTTTTCCCCACTAATTTTCCTTTGGTATACATGATAAAAAATGTGTTTGTGAAATGCTGATGCCCCCTATGGCATGCAACCTACGGCGAAGGTAAAAGCTTTTTAAATGCAAGTTAAATTATAAGGTCAAGAGATTAAAAATGTTTTCCAAAGAGAGACATTGTATCAAATAATATAAAAGCCCAAAAACCAAGCATTCAAAAGTTATGGCTAAGGTTAGAGATTTTTTTTCAAAAAATTGAACAAATTTCTAGATCAAAGTCATATGATCAAAATCAATGATAATCAAGATAAGGACTTGTCGCAAAAAAATCTTTATTTGAAATATAAAATCCTTTTCACCAACTGTTTCAAAGTGGTGGCCAAGGTTAATTTTTTGATTAGGTCAAACTCCAATGTCAACGTTAGAAGGTGAATCTTTTTGGTATCCAAAGTAAGGTCTTTTCACAAGGGATACACGTCAAAAATGAAAGCTAGTTCTAATTGTTCAGACGTTAAGACTAGGGTTAAAGTTTTTAAAAAAGTGGGCCAAACCCTAAGGTCAAGGCAAAAAGGTATAAAAAAAAGAAGATCTTTATATCTAAGGAAAGGGTTTGTCAGAATAAATACATGTAGAGTATGAAAACCCTAGCCCCAACTGTGCAAATATTTTTAGCCAGAGTTAAAATTCGATATTTTTTTTTTCCAAAAGTGGATCAAACCTCAAGATCAAGGTAAACAAGTCAAATATATTTATACCCGAAGAAAGTTCTTCTCTCAAGAAATACACGTGTGAAATATTAAAGCCATATAGCTCCAACCAATCAAAAATTATGAGCAAAGTTAAAGTTCTCTTGAGGACAGACAAACACATTAACAGACAGTCAGAAGAACAGACATACAGACGGATACGGCAAAGACTATATACCCCCAAATCTTCAAATACGGGGGACTAAAAATCAGCTGTGAAATATAAGATATAAGTGTTCAGATCAGTTTTATAAATATTTGCATAGTTCTTACATTTATTTAACATTTTCTAAGCCTTACTCGCCTTCTTTTTTTAACTTACACATTAAAAGTACTGCCATTATTTTACTGCTTAAGATTCAAGATGTTTCCGAATGGGTATTTTTTGGGGGGTGGTCGTTATTTTCAAATACCATCAGCGTGAACCTCGATGTTTTCCTGTATCACCATATGCACCTTTGAACCTAAAATAAATCATTTCTGCAATAAATGGTTCAATAATTATCAGGATCACAAAACACTTGAAACACTCAAAGCCAAACATTAAACACACACAATCTTACCACATTTCCTTCATGCAAAGGAGTTTGAAATTTCTTTTTATTTGAAATTAATTATTAATTATGAATTTGTTCCCACATTATATTGTACTGATTAGTCTCAACATTGTAAATCAAAGTCAGTAATAGCAGGTGAACAGCATGTATTACTGACAATAGTTATACATTAAAATATACATATAATGCAATCAATAATATATGGAAGAAAAAGTCAGATAGCATCTTCACACACACACATTGTTTAACTTCCAAACAACCGTAGCTTGTACCTTTGAAGAATGTTGCTTGTACCTTTGAAGAATGTGCATGTATGTCCTTATACATGTAATCCTGTTTTATGAAATTAGAGTTTTCATTTACAAATATTGTGCTAATAGGGCATGGAAATTCGTTTTCTTAACCTCCTTTATTAAAAAAAAAAAAAATAAAAAATTGTTCACTAGATAATGAAAGACTCTGCACTGGACAGTTTTGAGTTTCTGCTGTCCTACTTTTACTTGGGTCTTGATCTTGACCCAATAAAGATTCCGACCTCATTTGTGAAACATCCGATATGTTAAATCTAGGCCGATAGATTGTTAAAGTTCATCTGTTAAAATATTTTTTTCTATTAAAAATTCAATGCATTCTTACCGCGTTATGACTATAAAGCGTTTTTCTTTGCTTTAGAATGTACAGATGGACTTTTTGGTGCCCATTGTGGAGAGGTCTGTGGTCATTGCCTGAATTTAGATCAATGTCATCATATAAATGGATCATGTCTGAGTAGATGCGAGAAAGGATACGAAGGCCAATACTGTAACAAAAGTAAAGGAATAAACATAAAGTTTTATACGTAGATATAGAATATACGTAATAAGCTCCAGGAAAAATAATATATTAATGAGCTGATTTATATTTTTCAGCATGCCAAACAGGATTTTTTGGAGAGGATTGTGTCAACAGATGTAACGTTACATGTAAGGGATGTAACAGAACAAATGGTATTTGTGAAAATGGGTGTCATCCAGGATGGGAAGGCGCTTATTGTCATCAAGGTATTTTTATTTGAATACACTTTTAGGACTTATTTTTACATTTTAACGTTTAATTTGGAACCCATATGCATTGGTGTGTACGAATTGCATACACATGAAGATATATTTCAATTTTTAATAACTTTTCTATACCAATTGCGTATTTCAATATAAAAGAATAGAGAAATTGTTTCAGCATGCAGAGATGGATACTTTGGAGAAAACTGTGTGAACAAGTGTAATCAAACATGTAAAGGATGTAACAGAACAAGCGGTGTTTGTGAAAATGGATGTTTTGCTGGTTGGAAAGGACTGTACTGTCATAAAGGTGATTTTTTAATTTTACATAACATCTTTTTGTATTAAATTTCCCTTATTTACTATTTAAAAAAAATGTATGATGTCTATTTTGGATTGTTCGTCATATACCGGAAACAGATACTTGACACACTATCAAAATGTACCCTCGGTCTGAGTGATTAAATTGAAATATTTTGAAATTGCTCGAACTTGTATTTTAATAGCAAAATGTAAGGTGACTTATGAATAAAATTCATTTATTGCATCCCGTATTTTATTATGATTTTGATACATAACATTCCATCAAAAGAAGTTCGGCAGATGACAAGAAAAAAAAAAGTTGAAGGCCTTTTTTCTGTGTTAGCTTCGAGAACAAGATATTTACAAATAGTTCATGAGATGAAAGGAATTTTTACAAATTGTTCATGGACAGAAAGGATTCCAATATCGATTACATGTAACATATACTAGAAGTGACGATTGTAGTTGAAATTTAAAATAAAACGGTAAAAAGGGCCCTTTTTCACAAATTCCATTGATTGGTGTTTATTTTTTCTCGACTTGTTCAATTTCACAAAGAATTTTTTTTATCTTAATAGAGGTCTTTCAACTAATTTAGAAACTAGTTTAGAAACTGCACCATTACTATAATGATGTTAAATAATTTTAGCATGGCAGAAAGGATACTTTGGAGAAGACTGTGTTAGAATGTGTAACGATACATGTAAGGGATATAATAGAACAAATATTAACTTTTCAACAACTGTATGTTTGCTATTCTGGATTTTTAGCCATATCTTCAAATTAAAGTACATTGCACACCTAGATGTGATTGATATACAAGTCGATGACACTCAGAAATTAAATTGACGGAAAAAAATGTAACTAATTTATTTATGAGTGCATATTCCATGTTTTGTCACACTTTAGATACACATCCACCCACATTTTTTGGGAACTGAGGAAGACGAGGAGAAAAGAGTTGTAGACCTTTTCTTTGAAGTATCAAAGGGAATAGAAATATTTATAAAAAGATTACTTTATTGACAAAATATAACACATATTTTAATGTCATGGACAGAAAAAAGGTATATATCTCAGATTAAAAAAGAGGGGGGTTCCTTTCCCCAAGTACATAGGTTTAATGTTTCATTAAACTTGTTAAATCTGTTACTTCTGCTTTTTTATGTAAAAAATGTTTAGATAATAATTTTTGTTTGTTTGTTGGAGCAGAGCAAGCATTTAAATAATTAATACAAATACATAGAATTCGTTTGCGCTGATAAGCGAAAAACTAAGAAGCAGGGAAAAAATTACCTGATTGTGTCGATCTTCCTCATAGAATGTGATGGTAGATATTTTGGAATTGATTGTAACACGAAGTGTGGAAGCTGTCTGAATTTGGGACAATGTCATCCACTTAACGGGACATGCATGCATGGTTGTGATGCAGGGTTTGAAGGTCTTCTATGCAACAAAAGTAGGTTATACATTATCATGCAGTTAAACACCCATTAGATCACGTACTGAATTAGATTACAAACTGATTTCTTCATTCATTTCTGCACAATGAACTTGTGAGCAGTTTTATGCTACACATTGATACTCTTCAGCTTGCAAAAACGGAACATTTGGGCGAAATTGTCTGGAGACTTGTAATAGTACATGCTATGGCTGTAATAGAACAAATGGTAAATGTGACTATGGATGTCACCCAGGATGGAAGGGAACTTATTGTCATGAAGGTAAAGTTTGCTTACATAGTTGACATATTTTGACCAATTTTTTTATGAAAAGTATGTTGTTTCCAAAAGAAAGAATCATGTCTTTAGAGATATTACACAAATTCACGTACGCATAATTGCTTCATGTGCATTTCAATCTTACAGTTTGTGAAAACGGAACATTTGGACGTAACTGTCTAGAAACTTGTAACAGTACATGTTATGGCTGTAACAGAACAAATGGTAAATGTGAAAATGGGTGTCATCCAGGATGGAAGGGGGATTATTGCCATAAAGGTAAATGTTGATCACATGTAAAACTTCAACCTATCTTCATATACTCTTAACTTCAACCTATCTTCATATACTCTTAATGGTATGGACTTGGAAGAGATGTAACAACGAGTGAAAAGGAGTTTTAATATTTCTAACCAAAAAAAAAGAAAGAAAAGAAAAGAAACATAAGTGAATTGGAAAATGCTTTTTAACACTTTATTATGTGTTCAAGGGGTTTTTACAGGTGGTATAATTGGCATATTCTAATACATCCTCACAATGCCAAGGTTTTGTAATTTCGGAACTCCACACAAACCCTTGAGATAAGTCGTTATTTAAAAGTTGGGCTAGAAAGCTACTGTTTCATTTGTTCCTGGTCTAGGACTGAAACCTATCAGAAAACAGCTTTTATTGTAGGTTAGTTTTGTTAAAAAACATGATTCCTCTTCAAAATGGAAAGTGTCAATATTGTAGGATTTGTGGCTAGTAACATCGGGGATTAGTTTTTTGAAGATCGTCCTCCTTACAATCACAAAAGATATGCTCTAGAGTTGGGCAATTTCATAACGACGGATTTGAAAAATATTTTCTCACTGGTTAGTTTATAATTACCCATTTCGTCATGTATAACCACGAGCCCAACTTTTAAAAAAACGACTTATGTCAAGGGTTAGAGTGGAGTTCCGAAATCACAAAAACTTGACATTGTGAGGATGTTTATATATATATATATATATATATATATATATATATATATATATATATATATATATATATATATATATATATATATATATAATTTTGGAAATTGCTAACTCCATCTGTATTTTCAAAAAAATATCATCCATTTTGAAATATTTAATTTTTTTGAGAATCCATTGCTTTCTGTTCTTTTTTTTTTTTTTTGTTCCGAACAAAACAATATGATGTTATGCAAAGATCAACTGTTTATTTTTATAGAATGGGTAATATCCGACAATAAGAAGCAGAAAAGCTAAAAACAAGTGTACATGGAACAATATTAAAAAGAAGTCATTGTTATCTGTTCTATTTTATTTTTTATTCCAAACGAAACAATTTCCATAAAGATCAACCTTACATTTTTATGGAAAGGGCAGTATTCAATACTAGGATAAAATAAAGTTGATGGCAAGTGTTACTGAATAATTCTGATCTACTTAATAGAATGCGATGGTGGATTTTATGGACTAAATTGTGACATGCAGTGTGGAAACTGTTTGAAATCTGAACAATGTAGCCCAATAAATGGAACGTGCATAAATGGCTGCGATAAGGGTTTTGAAGGAATTTTCTGCAATGAAAGTAAGGAAACCTATGGTTTTTAAATATTCAGAGTAAAGAAATTTACCATTTTTTCGAAGTTTTTTTTTATCTTTCTTGGAGCTAAATGATTTCAAACACATATTTGTTTGCAGCCTGCAAAAACGGAACATTTGGTCAAAACTGTATGGAGACATGTAACAGTACATGTTACGGCTGTAACAGAACAAATGGTAAATGTGACTATGGATGTCACCCAGGATGGAAGGAGGATTACTGTCATGAAGGTAGTAACACCTTATTTACATAAGGCCAAGCTACTGCTATATTTTCTTGAAAACATGTGTATAGTAAGACTAGCTTGAAAGGTTCATCAATATATGCAATATAAAGAAAGAAATCATTGGTCATGTTCTTGGATTTCTGTTTATGTAAAAGAAATTGTAAGTAAAGGGCATGTTTTTCTTTTGGAAATCATACCTAAACGCCATTTCTTTACGAAACGTTTTTATGATAAGAATGAAAACTTTGGGGGGAAAAATGCAAGTCATGGTATTGTATATATTATCATGCCGACTTGCTTACAATATGAAAAGTACTATTCTATTCTGAATATATACAGTATAAAAACACCAATTCTATATTAAATTTTATTCATTGATATTAACTTATATTAGAATGCGATGGTGGATTTTATGGAATAAATTGTAATATGCTGTGTGGAAACTGTTTGGATTCGGAACAATGTGACCCAATCAATGGAACCTGCAAGAAAGGTTGTGATGCGGGGTTTGAAGGGATTTTGTGCAACAAAAGTAAGAAATTTTTGAACTGATAGATGGCATTTTGTATGTAAAATTTCACATTTTTAGAATCTAATTAATTTCTTAGAAATTTTTCATAAAATTTTGTGAAGAATGGTCATATATTATCATAAACATATTACAGCTTGTGAAAATGGCACCTTTGGACGTAATTGTCTTGAAAAGTGTAACGCTACTTGTTACGGATGCAATGGAACAAATGGTAAATGTGAAACTGGATGCTTCCCGGGATGGGAAGGCGACTATTGTCATCAAGGTAAATATTGCTAAAAGAGGGAAAAATATTTTATTTTCATTAGATTTTCTGTCATATTGATATGTCAGAAATGCATTCTAAGTATTGTTTGTTTTTGGAGACCCCTTTCTAAAAGACTGATGTATTTCGAATTGTATATAAAATAGATCAATTTTAAATGAAATAATATTTTACCAACACTATAAAATACAAATGGGGATTTCAGAAATTACGGAATTCATTGATTACAAAATATTTAATTGCCTTGCAGATTTAGTTTCGATGAAAAATACTGTAGTCCTTGTTTTTAACTATATTTTGATACCTATTTCTACCCAATCATATACTTTAGCTAACAAGAAACACTGTGAACTTTAATAAAGATGCATACGTTCAAATTTGTAACAACATCAGGATTTTTCTTTTCATTTGTAATCTAATTCATATTAAGAGCTACATTACGGAATGCGTAGGCGGATTCTTTGGAGTCAAATGCAGCAAGCCGTGTGGTAACTGTTTAAATTCGAGCCAATGTCACCCAATCAATGGAACATGCATGCTTGGTTGTGATGATGGTTTTGAAGGAGATTTGTGTATCGAAAGTAAGAAAATCTTGAATTGATAAATATTGTATCATATTACATATGACAAAATTATTACTTACTTATTGTTAGAGAATGATCTTATATAATTAAACACCTTACAGCCTGTAAAAACGGAACCTTTGGTCGGAACTGTTTGGAGAAGTGCAATGCTACATGTTACGGTTGTAATGGAACAAACGGCATGTGTGACACTGGATGTTATCCGGGTTGGAAAGGCGATTATTGTCATGAAGGTAATCACTGCCAAAAAATAAAAGCGTCTCTTAACTTTTAAATTAAAAATTAAAATTAAAAAAAAAATTAAAAAATATGTAATTGCTACAATCCCTTTCTTTTTCAAATGAATATAAGACTATCCCTTGGATACTCGAACTAGTTCATTTTATTAGAATCCTTTTAAATACTCATTTAAGTTTGCAGATGAAAAAAAACAATGCACACAATTTCTAAATAAATGACAATGGTATACAACGGAATAAAGTTGGAACAATTTATTCAAAATCAAAATACATAATCATGTACTATTTAATAGAATGCGACAGTGGTTTCTATGGAGTTGATTGCAGCGTCCCTTGTGGAAACTGTTTAGATTTGGAACAATGTCATCCATTGAATGGAACATGCAAAAGTGGATGTAATGAGGGTTTTGAAGGGATTTTATGCAACGAAAGTAAGAAAAACTTTTCTTTTTCTTTTTACTCCCTCTTAAGGTTATTATAGAGAGCTATGTTACGTCAATTAACACCTTACAGCCTGCCACACTGGATCATTCGGACGTAACTGTCTGGAGAAATGTAATACTACATGTTATGGCTGTAAAGGAACAAATGGCAAATGTGAAAGTGGATGTTTTCCAGGGTGGAAAGGCGATTATTGTCATAGAGGTACACATTGCAAGCATACAAAAACGCAGACTGTGTACAATATTTATAATAATTATTTTTCTTAAAGAAGGTAGCATAGTCAGTGTGCGCACTTTTCTTCCTTAGGGCACATTTGATATCAACAAAGGTATACCTTTGTGCATGTAAACATGTAAACAAAAATACAATTTCTCCTCAATGCCAACATTTTAAAGATATTATTTGAGGTTAATACATATGTAAAAATCCATATTTCAAAGATGAACGTTTCATTCTTTTATTAAGAACTATTGAAAGAACAAAATTACTTCGACATACAAATGGGGGTTTCAATAAATGTTTTAATATGTGAATCGTTTTAATCTATTTTCAAATTTGTTGTAGACCTGTCTTTTTAAATGCTGGTATCTCAATATTATCACATATGAAGTAAAGAAAGTATATCAAATATAATAATGTTCCTTGAATTATTTTACTGGAATAAACAAAACATCCCAATAAATATGCACAAAATTTAAATTAAAAAAGTTATGATACAACAATAAGAAACTGGAAAAAAACTAAGAAACTAAAAAAAAATAATTAAAATTCAATTAAAATAAATAGTACATTTAAAATCTGTTTCACAGAATGCGATGGCGGCTTTTATGGACAAAATTGTGAGGTGAAGTGTGGAAATTGTTTGGATATGAAACAGTGTCACCCATTCAATGGGACATGCATGGATGGCTGTGATGCAGGTTTCGAAGGGAGTTTATGCAACAAAAGTAAGAAACAGTCTTTTGTTAAATATCAACTTTGTTGAATTTTGATTACGGATCATTGACAAGAACTCTAATCTATAAAATCAACCGTTTTATGACACTTATGATCGCCTTACAGCCTGTACAAAAGGAACATTTGGACGCAACTGTCTAGAAACATGTAATGCTACATGTTATGGCTGTAACACTACAAATGGTAAATGCGAAACAGGATGTCATGAAGGATGGAAGGGAGATTACTGTCATGAAAGTAAATTTTGCTAACATACACGTTATTAAAGTTATGTCATTCATTTTCTATTCATATTTCAATTGAGTTTTGTATTTTTCTCTGCATTTAGTGTTTATGTCTCCTACTTGATTCGATACACAAGAGCATACTCTACGTACGAACAATTTCTGAAACGAGGCAAGCTACTGGCAAATAAGTTGATCAAAAAGGATCCAACGGTCTTGTTTAAAGTCAACATTTCGAAATTTCTATGGTCCATGTTACGACTTTGTCAGCAAATACAATCTTTCAGAAAGCCGAATGTTGACTTAAGTTTTTCATACAAATTGTTAGGCCAATATAAATATAAATATATTTGCACACTGAATTGTCTAGGGATTTTTTTCCGTTTACACGATAATGAGAAGGAACGCACGTCGGATGTGACCGATTGACAGTGGGATACTTAATCTTTCATCGCACCTGACCTCACATCCGACGTTTTTTGAGGTCCATGTTTGCGTTGCTCCTGATTTGTATTGTTTCAATGGACTTTTAAGCTTGAATACCGATCGTTATCTTCTTATTTCCTGATAATCGTACGGTTTCTCTTAATAATTCCACCAATATCTAGAAAAATTCACACACAGAGAAAAAGAACTGAAATCTTAAAAGAAAGAAAAAAGGAAAATGTAATATAACATATTGGCATTTCCTGATTTGATATATTTCAATTTTTCATCAGTTATTGATAAGTTTTTGAATCGGATTTATTTAAAAGGGAAAAATAATTGATCAAGTTGTATATAAATTTAAAGATAATTCTACAAATCTAAGTAAAAAAAATGACAACGTATGTTAAACTATATCTTACAGTTAGGAGAATGCGATTTCTTTCTTTACGTTTACGTTTTTAAATACAAAACGTTTTATAAATCCTTAGTACAAAGCGCTATAGCCCGTAAACATTCGAATCACAAAAGGATATACAACAGACCAATGGAGAGATTTTTTGGCAATAATTTGTAAAATTTAATATATCCCAGTGGGCTTGAAATAGAAGATAACAGAGTCTGACACATCTGTTTCATATTTGATATTTTAGTAGAAAAAAAGGACTTTAATGGTAACCTAACAACAAAGTTTTATGATAAACGTTTTATGATGACTTTGATTTTTCAATCGTCAATGAAGTTATTAAGAAGCAATATACTAGTGCCCTCATCACCTGTAGTTTGGGGTTTTTGTCTCCTAGTTGATTCGACACGCAAGAACATGCTCTATGTATGAAGAAATTCTAAAACAAGTTTTCTGGTCGATGCAAAATGACCTTTTCAGTAATTACAACCTATTATTAAGTCAAATGCTGACTGAAGTTTCTTATATAATTGTTAGGCCGTTATTTACACACACTGAATTATCTGCGGTTTTTTCCCGTTTTTCCCGATCATGACAAGGAGCACACGGCGAGTGTGACCGATCGGTAGGGGATACTAAATCCTCCATGGCACCTGATCTGATGTTTTTGGAGATCCGTGCTTGCCCTACTTCCGATTCGTATTGTTTTAATGGACTTTGAATTTGAATACTGTTCGTTATCTCAATATTTCATAAGTTTATAAATTACCAAATGGCTATAGGATATGCTAACACCTTTAAAAAGGGATCTGTCAAATATATTTCTTTACTTTTGCTATTTTTAAAAAATCTTTTTTTTAAATACTTTAATCAATTTTTGGAAATTTACTCCCTTCAATTCTATTTAACTTCATTAAATCTTACATAATTTTTAAATTGCAATGTAAAGGTATGCATCAAACAAGATATACGTTATGAATGTTTCATACTGCCTACTTATGTATTTTTAAGAGTGCGACGGTGGATATTATGGAGAGGACTGTAATATAAAATGTGGACTTTGTCTTAACGATGCACAATGTCACCATATTAATGGGTCATGCTTAAATGGCTGTGGAGCAGGCTTTAACGGAACTCAATGTACTGAAGGTTTGTTTGTTTGTTGTTTTACGTCCCCCTCTAGAATTTTTCACTCATATGGAAACGCCACCACTTGCCGGTGGAGAGCTGCAAATTTTGACCTATGCTCGACACTCAGGGCCACTGAGCAGTGAAGGATCTTTTTCGTGCCAGCAGCTACTGCGACACGGGGCCTCGTTTTTACGGTCTCAACCGAAGGACAGGTCTCCACGTCCCACAGTGTGATTTGAACCCGCGACGTAAGAATTTTGAGTACAGACTTAACATGTTTTACATTGAAGTGTCTCATTAAATTGCCTTTTTCTACATGAATATACCTAGACTATCTTGAACAGTTTTTTAATATGAATACAGGAAATACTGTAGATTCCTAAATATACTCGAGGAATTAATTATCGCGTAATTACGCGAAAAGAACCACTCGCGAAATAAAATTACTCGCCTTAATTTTTGTGGGACTGAAATCCTTATAAAATGTCTTAATCAAGCGTCCACTCGTGAATTATACTTCTCGTGATTTGTTGTCTAAGGGCCATTTTGCGATATTAAGTACTCGCGTAAAATAAAGAATCTACAGTATTCCTTAAAATGAAAAAAAAATGTTGCTACTTTCTTTAAATCGCTAACTCAAATACGTTTTTTAATATATTATTATGGAAAAATGTGATTAAAAGAATGAAAAGAAGTGAACCGAAATTAATTTATAAGATATAAAGGTCTATTGCTGGGTCCAGAGCACGTATTACAATCAATTCCGATGGGAGCACTACATGTGCAACGCTGGATTGGATGCTTCTTGCTATTAACTGGAGAGTAACCATGCATTTAAAACAATTATAAATTTTAAATAACGGTAAATAAGATATTTGAAAAATATATATCTATATATAACGTAATTTTTTCCTTAAAACTGAAGTCTGCAAGAAAGGATTTCACGGATTAAACTGTATACAAGAATGTCATATCTGTAAAGATAAACAATGCTGGCCAATCAACGGATCTTGTGTCTTGGTAGGTTGTCATTAATTTCGTTTCAAGGGTTATTTGAATCTGAGAAAGTGAACATTTTTGATGAATTTAATGTTACTTTCGTTGTTTTGCTTTATCTATATGCATCTTTTTTGAAACGTATATTAAGAGTTTTAATACAAATTATACCTTGTAAAAAAAAAAAAATGTTACATATACGTATTTTTATCACTCTCTTAGGTGGGCGAAAATTTAAAATGTTTTTGTATTACTTAACGTTCAGAAAGTATTTTAATTTATTTTTTTTTAATTGCATTGCTAGTAGTTTACATGTAGCATTGCTTCTATGACCTGTGAAGATTTAAAAAGAGTGATATGCGTTTTCTGTCCACCTAAAATAGGGGTTAAAACAAACTGAACAGCCAGAGAACTCACAAATAGTAGGAGCAGCCGTGGGGACTGTTGTTTTTGTACTGATAGCAGCAGCAGCAGTTTTATTGTTTCTTTTCATGAGAAGGTAATTATTTCCCTTCTTTAATAAGTTTCTATGTTAAGGAAGCATTCAAATCATTTGTCGAAATTTTTTTTTAGACTTTTTGAGAAATTTAATTTTGATAAATTATCAAAGCCACCCATTAAATGTAACCAACTATAAACTATTGCATAAAGACAAGAAAGTGTATGAGGCCAAGAATTGCACCATCACGTGACTGCTATGTACAGAAAAAAATATTCTTTAATAAAAAGTAAATAAAACACCACTTCCTTAGGATTTAATAATTTCTTTAAGTAGATAATTTAATCGAAAAAAAGTATGTCTTATGCCTAAAAAGTGCCACTATAAGCCTATCTTTCTATCTGAAATATGAATAGTCCACATATTGGCATAGGGAAACCTAGCTTACCCTATGTTTTGCATTGGTTACATAGTACCCGAGATATTTCTCCATACCATGTTTAGCCCACGCTTATAGCAACACTTTCCAAGTATTATATAAAACGCAAAGCTTTCAAGCAGTGCAAATATTATGTTTTTGAAGTATCCGGCTTGGTGTTGTTCTTTTGCTTCATTTTGTCACGAATAGCAAAAGAAAGGCCGACCGGGATATATATATATATATATATATATATATATATATATATATATATATATATATATATATATATATATATATATATATATATATATATATATATAGCTTATTGTCTTGAAAATACGATAAAATCGATGAATATAAATCAACATTTATTTTTAACAAACTTCAAATTCATATGAATTACACACAATATTCACGGTATTTGCTTCTTTCCCCCCCTTTTTACTTATCTTTTTACATGCCGTCTTACACACTTTCTCCTTATGCATTATGATCAATTCTCAACTTGTTTTTGATCAGTTATGACGTAGTCGGTCGGAGTTATAAATCGATGTGACTGATACAGCATAACAAGATAATGTAGAGATAAAAACATTTCATATTTGTTAATATTTGCATGTTTGTATTAATTTTCATGATTTTTATTACATCTTTAAATACCAAACGTAAAAAAATAAGAAAAAGATGTGTTCTAAATTTGACGTCACCTCGCCTTCTCTGACGACATACTGTATCACTGATTAGGTCAAGTCACAATATCTGAGTGCTTCCTCAACACATCACTCTCTTTCAACCTTAATTTTGTTTCGGTAATCATGTGTTCCAATTAAATTTGTAATCAGATATAAATCCAATGGATTGTTGCTTGGAAATTCCTAAGCCTGACCATATAAATGACCATTATCACAAAAAAGTTATTTCGTTTCTCTGCATATAGAATATACATTATCTCAGAGTCATATATCATCTGATCATTAACATGTTTGAATTGCACTGTTAACTAGGTACAGGAAACCAAAGGAAGACGGTAAAAGCTCAAAACTTTTACACGGTATGTTTTTGATTTTTTTTTTCTTTTCTTTTCTTTTTTTTTTTTTTTTTTGCGTGTGTGTTTGTTTTTCGGATTGGTTTTTTTTTTTTTTTTTTTTTTCTTCTTTGTTTGTTTGTTAGTTATTATTATTATTATTTTTTTTGTTGTTTTGTTTGTTTTTTTTGTTTGTTTTGTTTTTGTGCAAAAGACGATTTAAACCATGAAGGTTTTTGTTTTTAAAATACCCAATTTTAGCAGAATTTTTTTTTTTTTTACACTTTAATCAACTGCAACAGAGGTTCAAAGCTCTACATGATAAGTTTTTGTATCTGATGCATGAAATATATTTGAAAGTACCATTAATGATCTTAATGGTTTCCAATATGTAGAAAGCACTGAAGAGCATCAATTCAACAATGTGTACACGAATTCAAATGCTGTACAAGAATTGAGAAAAAAAGGTATCCCAAAATATAATTCAGCTGACAATTTAAACATGGAAGTATTAATCAGTGATCGAGAAGAAAAAGACGAGATTCACGACGATTTGGATGACTTATACATGAACCAGCTTAGTTTAACCGAAATTCCCATTGTTCAGTTGGGAGCAGCTATAGCTGAAAAGAGGGAAAATGACAACGAAGGTTTTCGAAAGGAATATGCAGTATGTTGTATTTATATTTGTATTTTTTTATTTTTTTCAACACAAGGGGAAATTGTTTCGCAGTATCATTTATGAGTTCCTTGAAAAATAGTCAACAGAAACAAAAAGTACACGAATATATAAGGTTTCTTTCTCTCTCTTTTTTGGTGATATACATTTATAATACAGTTTGTATTTCTTCAATTTTTTTTTTTTTTTTTTTTTTTTTTTTTTTTTTTTTTTTATGGTAATGAGTAAACATTATTTCACCCTGCTTCCTGTCGTTCAACTTTAATAATATCGAGATAATATTTGATTCTGAGTCTTTCAATTTTCGTATTTATTTAAAGTTTTGTTTTTTTTTTTTTATTTATTCCTGTGTATGTCGTTCTTTTCTTTTTCTTTTCTTTTTGTTTTTAATTTGTTATTTTTAAATTGATTTTATTTTTGATTTTTATATATTTATTGATTTATTTATTTTATTTTATTTAAAACGTTAAATCGTTTTTATTTTTGCATTAAGAATTATTCTTGAAAAAAAAGTTAAAATGTGCTTGGAATAGATAGATAAGTCATTAATTATCAAACATTAAATTGATTCTAATTTTAGGCTTTTCCATCAGGCGACCTACATAAATGCGATGCGGGAAAAAGAATAGAAAATGTTCCAAAGAACAGATTCAAAACAACATTTCCATGTAATTTATTTTATATGTAGATATTGTTATAAAGTATATTTATTTCAATTTCAAAATGGTAACGTTTAAGATCCAAAAATATGAACACTGAAAATGATTTGAAACAATAATCAAATTAAATCATTTTTGTATTTGAATACTCTGTGTACAAGTTCATTTTTCAATGCCTGGATTCCACAAGAATAGTTAAGTTACTCATAGTTATCAGTATCTTTATTTCTTAACAGAGAAATTGATTCAAGTCAGAAAAAATGTGGTAATCTCCATTTCAGAACCAAAGTAAAGTTCATCTGAGGTATTGTTAAGTAAAATCAAGTTTTTTTTTTATTGTTTTCAGATGATCACTCCAGAGTTATATTAAGAAGACAGGATGAAAATGAATCAGATTACATAAATGCAAATTATATTGACGTAAGTTATATATTATAACATATTTATGGCCAATTGGGATTTTAAGCAATTGTGTACTTGAACATGGGTAGGTTCTGAATATTTCATTATTTATTCAACACATGTGACTATTAACATTACATAAAGTCTATGAAGGCAATCATACACTAATACACTAATTTAATTTCTACTAATTTATACTTAAACTCAAAGTCAAACTTGTTTGTCCTATCCCCACTTCTAAATTTTAAAGTAAAACGAATTATGTAAAACATGTTATTATTATTATTCCAATGAAAAAAAAAAATATACCCTACAATAAAAAAAAATCATATTCTTTAATTTATACTTTATAACTTTTAGATTTCAGAAAGTTTCTTCTTACAATGCGAATGAGATTTTTTATCAAGCTTAAAAATATCTTCTTGCGTTTTTTTTTTTTTTTTTTATACAATATTTTTTTTTTTTTATACAATATTTTTTCACATAAAATTGCAAAGCTAACTAAAGATACTGGAATGTCAAATCACTTGTGTATGAACGGAAGGTAATAATCACAATTACAATAATATCAATCATAAAACAATACGATTAAATCAACCTATTTTTTGAATTTATTGCAACAACAATAGTCAACTACAGCAAATATTTGATAAGTTAGGCTCTGTTAGGCTCTGAATTTTTCTTTGAAGCTAATATCCAACGAACCTTTTGTGTCACACATTTAAACATCACATACCAACCAATATATTTTTAAAGTATAAACAACCATAGTCCAAGTTAAATGAACTATGTTGCAGGTAGAAAATATCTCTAATCTTAAAAGATGATTTTCTTTTTCATTGTTGCTGTGTTATCTAGGGACCAAATCGGAAGAAAGAATATATTGCTGCCCAAGGTATCGTAATTTATGCGATTAATTTGATAACGATTTCATTCATCTGACTCTTAAAACTAAAATACAGGACTGTAGAATTTTAAAATACTGAATAGGAAAATTAATAGCATTTTGCACTAAGAAGTGTTTTGTTGATGGACAAAAAACTGTTTTGCTTTCAACTGCATCTGTTTAATGGTCTTTTGTGTCCTGGCGATATTTCAAAAGACGATATATAATTACATCAACTATGTATTTGGTATCTTTATACAAAGGAGGTCTAAAAGAAGTTATGCAATTGGATATGTTTCAACTTATTGAATAAGTCCAATGCTAGATAAGAGAAATGATGTCCTTATCATTATTCAGGTATGCATAATACGGGGCTTGGCTTTTTTCAATATATTAAATTAAAGCAGTATGGTATATTTTTAGGTCCAAAACAGAATACACTGGGAGATTTCTGGACAATGCTTTGGCAAGAGAATATATCCACTATTGTAATGTTGACTAACCTACGAGAAGGGGAAAAGGTTTATTTTTATTAATTAATTTTTTATTATGTTTAATCAAAAGAAAAATATAAAATAACTCCAAACATAAATCTACGTAGCAATGTCGTCTTCTCATCTTAATTAAATGAACACAATTGTCTTTAATCTACTGTTTTACTGGCGTAATTTAAAATCGCTGCTTTTTAATACATATATCAATTAACAATTGTAAAATATTGATTTTATATAATAATTTTTTTTATTGCATAAAAATAACGAGATATGTTCATCTTGCATATATATTCTAGATTAAGTGTACACAATATTGGCCTGACAAGGACAAACACATTAATTATGGGATTGTCTCCGTGAAATGGATTGAACAACGAGATTATGCTTTCTTTGTTGTTAGGAAATTAAAAGTGATAAATAAAGAGGTATGTAACAATAAACACCTCATTTATAACCCTGCTTTGATTTTCTCATTTTAGATTACATTTTTTGTCAATGCTGTGTATATTTTCGTAACTAATCCAGGTTAGGTAAGGTTAAAGCATCCAATTACAGAGAATTTATTGTTTACATCAAATTGTTTTTTTCCTCTATTTTCGTTATCTAAATTTGTTTTTTTTTAAATAAATTTGTTTCTTTTTTATGATTTCTTCTTTTTAGATTTATTTATTTATTTACTTTCTCGGAATTATTTTTTAACTTAGTTATATTCATTTATTTAGCTTATTTTCATTAAATTTAATTTCTGCAACAATATATTTAAGAAATAAGATATCATTTTTAAACATCTATCGGAATATGAATACGGGTTGGTCTCGAGATCAAATTCCATAAAGCCCGAAGGCCTTTATGGTAAATTTGATCTAGTTCCATCCCGTAACTTATATCCCGATAGATGTTTTAAAATTATACCTTATTACTTATATTTACATTTGTGACTTATTCATATTTTATATTTGCCTGATTATAATCTTTAACGGGTTAAATGTTTTATTTTTCGAACTCAATGGCACGAGTATGATCTATTGAATGCGCGTCTACCCTTTATGACGTCACTGAGAAATTACGTCGAACATTTTTGACGTGAGGAACCTGTGTTCATACGGATATAGATACGCGTTGCTTTAAATAGTGTTATATGAAAGAAAACATTTGCAAATGTTATTATTAATATATCAAAGATATTTGTTTTTTGTAACTTTAAGATATATTTACAAATATTTCATGCTCTAACAGATGAAGAAATCACGTGTTCTGACTCATTACCATTACACAGCCTGGCCAGATCACGGGACACCAGACCCACTTTGTTTAATCATATTTCATAATCACGTGATCCGAACCAAATCCAATCAGAACAATGCACCGACTGTTGTTCATTGCAGGTAATTCGTAGAAGTTAAATATGCATGCTCAGTTTCAATTCCTTGCCCCTTCAAGCTTGAGAAAAAAAATCCTTGCCATACAATTCCACGAGGGAAACATTTATTAAAACATTAACTTCATGAGAACTATTTAGAAATAATGAATATTCTTTTTTTCAAAAATATCTTTTACATGTTTAACACGTTAAGATAATTTCACTCAAATGAATATTTTTTCCTCCAAATGCAAAGAGTAATGGTCTTATGGTTTTATATTGACTTTTTCCCATTATACAAGACTTGTAATGACTAAGCATCTTAAGAATCTATACATTCTGGTGAGCAGCAACTTGGTTACACTACTTAAAATTAATCTGCATGTAAACTTAAATTGAACATGACTTGCTATGTTTTTCTATTTAATAGTGCAGGGGTTGGTAGAACAGGCACATATATAGCGTTGGACATACTTCACCAGATAGGAAGTAAAGCAGGGAAGGTCAATGTTGCTGATTGTGTCAGGAAAATGCGGGAAAACAGAATGACCATGGTCCAGACCTACGTAAATATTCCTATCTGTTTTGTCTAAAAAAAAATAAAAAATGAAATATGTTCATGAAATCTGTAGAAAGGATTTTAACTGGGGTATACAAGAGTCGATCAATCTACATTGCAAAGGTAGAAAATAAGTTTTCTGAATTCTTAGTAAGGTTTCATATTGCTACTGAATTCATCAAAATTACAAAAAAATCAAAACAAAACAAAAAACAACAACACAACAACAACAAAAAAAAAACAACAAAAAAGTGCATGAATTATTGCATTCTTTCTTGCACGTACATGCAGAGTTATTTTCATACATTTGTCTTAAAGCTGAAAGAAGTTTTTACCTACTTGTTGATTCTTGCCAACTACGTGCTAAACTATATGCTCTATTGCTCCTGTACATGTATATTCTGTTATTTGTGACTTGATTTTATGCGACAGGAACAATACATTACCATATTTCTGACTTTACAAGAAGACTTCAAAGCGCCAATGAAGGTAGACAGCATAGACAATATTAAGGAAAAGATTGAAAACTCTGGAAAAGATACGCCTCTCAATCAAAGCGTTCTTCATAAAGAATTTCAGGTACGATATTGAAGACTATGGGTCGGCTACATGTGTTTCACATTCGATTTTGCTGACTATAGCCGATAAAGGCCAAATAACAAGTAAATTGTATTACAAACGAGGTGACTCTAGTTTTTCAAAAATAACTTTCCATATCTATGTAGTAATATACATCTGAATTGTGTTTACGCTTCCAACTAACTCGATACAGAAGAGTATACTCTGAGTACGATTATTTTTCAAGCCATTGACTCTAAGTTACAGGGATTTTAACAACATTGTTTAAAGTCAGTATTTCATGAAATCCTTGATCGTTATAATGACCTTGTCAGCAAATATGATCTATCATTGAATTGTGTATTGATTGACATATTACATAAAGGTACACAAATTGTTAGGCCTTCGTTCTTATACAAAATTTGACAGAAAATTCCGTCTACCCTATCAAATCATATAAGTTACGGCAGGTGTGTCCGGACGACAAGAGTTGCTATCTCCTTCTTTGCCACCCAGTCCCACCTCTTGAATTTCTTGGATCCTTGTTTTAAGCCCTGTTCACAAATTTCTAGTCTGCAGGTTTCATTGATAATGAACACTGTTCTTTATCTTCACATTTTTCCATTAAGGTGATACAGATTAACAGTATCTTTTTAATATTAAAAAAAAGTTAGACGATCCATTACACATGTAGAATAAGCCTGTATATAGGTGATATATATGATCATTTCCTCTCTGTAAAATATTAAGAACATGTTCAATAACATAAAATAATCTCTTATTGCATACAAAATATTTATATTAAATGTAAAAAAAAAAAAATCTTGTTCTACAGTCACCAAACTTTATTTTTTTATTGATTCATTTTTATTTATTTATTTATTTATTTATTTATTGCAGCTTCTACTTAAAATAACGCCAATTTATACTGAGGCAGACTACAAGTTTTCTAAACAGAGTTGTGGAAATAAAAATAATAATGGAATTCTTCCACGTAAGTTTACATGACACTTGATCCCATCTCACGGATACATGTTTTTCTGCTTTCATTCCATGTGTATGTTTTGTTAAATGAATTAATGTTTGTGCACAGTTTCGCATCTTCATTTTTTTTTTCTTTTTCAAAAATAATAATTGTAAAGGAATCAGAATAGTGGTAAAAGTATGTTCTGGATTAAAAAGCATTCACAAGGATCATAAACAGAAAAAAGGAGAAAAAAAGAAAGGTCCCTGCTACCTCCTGAATCGGCTCTTAAATAGTCGAAAAAGTTACTGAAATAATGATTTGGTTTTCTGGTTTTTTGTTTTATATTTTATTTCATTACACATATTTTTTTTTCTTCAGTTGATAAATACAATGTTCACTTATCATCATACGTCCCAAAGAGAGGAAGCTACATTAATGCAATTTCAGTGCCAGTAAGTTGACGTTAATTTCATACTTTATTTGATTGTACAGGCTTTATGAATTCATATTTGTTTACAATTGTATATACATATATTTTCAAGAATTGAATTATCTCTTTTCTGTCTACATTGAACATTGCAGTACATGAGAAACATTGATATCCACATTTCCATCCATTTAGATGTTATTTGCTGTTTAACTTTCGAGGAAAATTGTTTGAAATGAATGGTCAATAAACAACAAAGTCTTACATTGAGCTTAAACATAAAATTTCAAGTTTCGTTCTAATTTATCAAACAAATGGTGTATTTTTCCAATGCATTTCAAAATATGTTTTTTTTTCACAAAAAGTCTTGTTGGATTCCATATATACAGTTTATTTTATTTGCATAATCCGATGGTCTTAAAAAACATTTCTTTCAGTCCTTTACCAAACTGAGAGGATTTATCGTTACGCCATATCCTGCTGAAGAGGACGCTGTTGACTTCCTACGTCTGCTTAATGATCATGAATGTGACACTGTCATTTGTATGGATCCATTGGCAGAAATCCAGTCAGTATGTATCAGATAAGGGAGAATGCACCAATAAAATAAACACACAAATGTTTAAAGGAATACCGTATTTAAGTTGAAAACCATTTTTTTGTAAAGAATTCCTTGTTAAGTTTTTATTGTGTAAATTTATTATATTTTCAACAGATTTCAATTTAACCCAATATTAATGTTAATTATAATGATAAGATGCAAATATTTTGTACATATTTTTTAGTCCAGTGAATGGTTACCCCCTAGTTCGTCATCCAAATTTGTTCCTCCCTTCATGGTTCACTGTCAATCATATTCTCAAGCAGATGTCACTAGCAGCACCATCCAGATTGTTCTCGATAAAGTGAGTTGGTTAAAATCTTTTCATTTTGGTAGCCCACTTGGTGCACTGTTAGGCGCTTAGAGGAGCAAAGTAAAGAGCTGATCCTTACAACGCAGTTTCGAACTTTAATGTGAGACGTTGCTTCAGGTATATATTCCCATTGGAAGTTGGATAGCTCATTGAGTTTAATTGCCCTCAGCTGTTAGCTGCGGAAAATAGAACACAATGTGCTGTTCCCAGCGCCTTGAAATATAAATTTCTAAAACATATTTTTATTAAGTGTCTGAATAGGCATTTTGCATGTATTACAGGATAAATTTATACCTTTGTTTAAGAATTGCCATGAGAGCTGAGCACAGGTCTGTTTTTGCATAATTCCACCATTTGCAGCAATTCAATGGAAAAATTCACTAAAATATGTACATCATACACGATCAAGGATTTTGTTTTTCCTAATGTGGTTTTGCACTTTCGAGTAGTATATAATATTACTGCGTAACAACACAATTTACCATGTTGTGCCAACAATAGCTCAAGGTAAAATTTTTCTTTTGTATTTTCTTTACGTCAAAAAATGTGATTTATATCTATTAGCGAGAGAAATATGGACCAAAGTGTAGGAAAACTTTCAAAAAGTAATGCATGTAATAAATTAACTGACCTAGAAGTATTTTTACAAATAAAAGGCTCCAACTCTCTCGCACAAAAAAGTTCTCTTGTCACTGATAGCATTTCTATATACTGTATTAGACATATCTTTATTTATATCAGAGAATGTACTGTCATTTTGGAAACATAGACCTATAAGTGTGATTAATACCCATAAAAGAGCGAAATTGTATGTTGTTGTATGTTAGAGGAGGGATACATCAAAATAGGTTTAATCCAATTTTAAAGATTAATCAAGATACGACATGCATTTTTAGACACGTGAGTTCTATTTTCAAAGTCACCATACATATGGGCGCTTTATTCTGTACTTTTTCGAAATAGCAAATTCGAATGAATATACTCATAAACTAGTATGGCAGAATATACTCATAAACTAGTATGGCATTTCGTAATCTTGACCTGCATGAAGCTCACAAGGAGTTTAATTGCATTGAGGGGTTGTTGTTGTAATTTCACATTACAGATTTGAATTGAAATCCCTTCCCTGCCTTCACATTCAAATTATTTTTTTAAAATGTAAACCATGTAATTAAAATAAATTTCCTTTTCGTATCATTGCATAAATAGAAAGAAGACGAAACACACGTTGTTAGAATTGTTGAACCTACGGAAAAAATGAAATCATCTGGAGATTCACTGGATACATCACAACTTCGGAATCTTGTGTCAGCTGCTCTAAACACCGATACTGAAAACCCCATTGCTGTGATGAGCAGGTACATGAGTATAATAAGATTGGCTAATAACAATAAGGCCTGATGTCTCTGTGTTATATTTTTATTTTATGTTATTTTAGTACAATTTATATTTGTTTTCATCATTTTTTAATGTATTTCTTTATGTATGTATTTCTTTCTTACCTTTTTCCTTCTTTTTTAAAAAATTTATTTAAGTGCTATTTATAGGCTTTGCTACAACGTGTTGCTTTTACCCGGTGATCAAAATACCCACCTCAAATACTTTTTCATTTTCAACCATCAAGCATCAATGTAGTGAGAATGTTTTCAGTATGCAGTTGTTGGGTTACATCCATTATAGCACTTTCTCTAAATGTACGAAAAAACATTTTTCTAAGAGAAATGTGACATAAAATCCTTTTCCAAACTAAAGATGTGCATGTAGAATTACGTATATATGTCAATTATTCATTTTTTGTGACTGGTGGGGAGGTGTCTTTTAGCAGTGATTTACATTCCATTCGAGAAATGCATGTTTTCATAGTGAAAAAGAAAAAAAAAGAGAAAAATGATACTTCGCGGCTGCTTGTAAAAATCAAACTTTTTTTTTTTTAATTATTCATCAATTACATTAAACCGATTTTTTTTTATCTTCTTTCCTTATCACCTACATTAAAGCAGTTCAGCTATGTTAAGGAAGGAAATGGAAAATGCGATCTAAGTACCTTCTTAAATGTATTATTTTTAAAAAATATAACAATGTAACTGTTTACATGTAGGAAAGGTAATATAGATATCCATAATAAATAGGTTTGGGTCCGCACACAGTACCATTTACATGGTATGTATCAGCTGTGTGTCACGTGACTAGTGTAAAAATAGAATTGTATAGCTGAATGTAGAAAATGACGCTGGTGCAAGGCCATACACATGTTTTTGGAGAACAGAATTTTTACACATTAAAAAAGATTTAAATCGGCTACCCGAAAAGTGCTGGGAGCTAGTTTGAACTCTTTCAGAAATACTCGTAATTATGCTGGCAATAGCTAAAATTACCACTTCGCTTAAATTCTGTCAAGAATAAAGATAATGTTACGCTGACCAGGATCAGCACCCAGCACCCTTTTTTAAATATGCATGATATAAGCAATTGATATTCCATATTTCAGCTCAAACAGTCTAGTATATACCCTTGCACTTTTGAGGTGAATTAGGAATACAATCATCGTGTTAGCGATATTCTTTACATTCTCTGTCGTTGTGCAGCTCCATAGCACCTAGAAAAATTGATAATCTACAAAGTTGTTTTAAATAAATTATTTCCTTTCTATTTTTAGATTAGATTTATACATTGGCGATGGTTTTATATTTATTTAAGCATTTTTGTAATCATTAAACCAATGGATACACTCCTCTGGATCACTTGTACTGTGTCAAGTCAATATAGTGACGTCATTTATGACTTAAGATTTGCTTCTAGTTACTCGGCAGTATTGTTATCAAATGTGATATTAAATGCTTTAATGAATAATTGATAAAATAAATGGATGCAAGTTGTCATTTACGTATCATTATTTAGTTAAATTGATTTTTGTCGCTAATGAAATTTTTAATGACGTCACAATGAAACTTCCCATAAGGTGCATCACAAATGTGAGCTCAGGCCTTCCTTTACCTATTCGAGAGAGTAAGAGTTCTCAATGTTTACTTTTCAAACAGAGATGGCGCTTTCCTTTGTGGTCTGTTTTGTGCAATACACAATGTCATAGAACAAATAACCATGGATGAATGTGCTGATCTTTTCACTTCTGTGAGACAAATTCTCATTAGAAGACCAGAGTTCTGCAATAAAATAGTAAGTATTTCTCCGACTTCATTATTTATTATTATAATTAGCTTAATGTATTTAAAAAAATGTTCCCTGAATTAAAAAAAAAATCTTTTGAGTGTTTCAATTAAATAAAAACCCAACCATTTAGAAGTTGCACAAAATTGATATCTAAAAAAAATGAAAATAAATAAATAGGTGAAATTAAATATTAAAAAAATATATTAAACAAGATATGTTTCTGAAACACTGATGCCCCCGTATGGCAGCTTATGGCGAAGGTTAAACTTTCTCAAATGCAAGTCAAAATCCAGGCCAAAAGATAAAAAAATGTTGGTACCCAAAGAAAGGTCTTGTGTCGTGAAAAATACCTGTGAAATTTGAAAGACCTAGCTGCAACTGTTCAAAAGTTATGGCGAAGATTAAAGATTTTTTAAGTAAGTAAAACGTCAAGGTCAAAATGGTTGGTATTCAAAAGAAGGTCTTGTCACAAGGATTACATAAGTGAAGAATGAAAGCCTTAGCACCAATTGTTCAAAAGTTATGGCCAAGGTTAACGTTTTTCAAAAGTAGGGCAAACTCCTATGTCAAGATCAAAGGGTAAAGTGGTTGGCATCCAAAGGAAGGTCTTGTCAAAAGGATTACATATGTGAAGTTTGAAACCAGCAGGACCAACTGTTCAAAAGTTTTGGCCAAGGTTAAAGTTTTTCAAAAGTAGGTCAAACTCCAAGGTCAAAAGGTCAAAGTTGTTGGTAACCAAAGGAAGGCCTTGTCACAAAGAATACACATGCGAAGTTTGAAATCCCAAGCACCAACTATTCAGAAGTTATGGCCAAGGTTAAAGTCCCATAAAATTTTGCAAAAGTGCGTCAAACTCCAAGGTCAAGGTCAAAAGGTCAAATATGATGGTACCCAAAGAAAGATTTTGTCACAAGGAATACACATGTGAAATATGAAAGTCATAGCTCCAACCAATCAAAAGTTATGGGCAAGGTTAAAGTTGACAACAGACAAACAGACAAGCAGACAAACAGACAGACAGGACAAAAACAATATATCCCCGGGATCTTTCGATCCGGGGGCAAAAAAATCGAAAAAGGGCATTATTTATCAATTAAGGATAACGAAAGCATTGAAATTATAATCATATACATAATTATACTTATTAATGTTTGTTCTGTGCAAAAAACACATGAAATGAATTATTACACTACACTTTCGATCAGCCGACTAAAATGTGTGTTTTTATGATAATTTACAGGATGAATACAAGCTAATCTACAAAGCTGTTAATGACCATCTACAGAGTTCATCAGAAAATATCTACTTCAATCAATAAGGAATCGTTTGTTTGTAGGGATGTTTATTTTTACTCCAATCAATACGTGATAGTTTGTTTGTAGGTGTGTTTATTTTTATTTCAATCAATAAGGAATCGTTTGTTTCTAGGCCTGTTCTTGTGTTATTTTTGTCGTATCGTTAACAAATAACTCAGCCAAAAACAACTGTTTAAAAAAACTGTTTCTCATTTAATAACAATATATACATTTATTCATCTCAGTGTTTAAATTGTGTTGAGGGCAACTCATCAAAGTACTAAAGTAAGATTTAGTGGTGAAGGATTGTTCGTCTTTTGTGTTTGTCACAACGATATATAGATTTGTTATCTTTCTTATTAAGATATTTAAAAGTTTTTATAGAAATTATCGTTTTCTTGCAATAATATCCGATCATACATGTGGTTACTCAAATGACTGTGAACCTATTGTAGATTATGAAACAATAAATAAGTTTGCACCTGTAGTAACTTTCAGCGTGTATTTATCTGAGATATGCACTGAAAGATGCAGTGCAAGAGGTGATCTTTACTAAATTACTATTATAATCTTACATATACAGTCAAACTTGTCTTATCCGGGCACCACTGGTTCCATGATATTGGCTGGATTAAAGGACATTCCGGATTAAACAATATTTTAAACAACTGATTTTACTGAAATGGACTCAAAGTTTACATCGTATAAGGCAAGATTTCGGAATATACAAGGTTTTGATTAGGCAAGTGACAATGTACTTCTGTTAAATCCGTAAAACACTTGAACAATTTGACAAGTTTTTGAGAATATTCTGTATACCCATGTTCATCTTAAACATAACTTCAACTGTCCTAAACTAATTTTTATTTCAAAATTAAAGTAACTAGCGACTTAACAAGTCAAAAAAATTACATATCTGATAAGCAAAAATTATCGATGATGATGATGATAATGATGATGATTATTATAATTATTTATTAAAACCTATAAATAACCCTATGCTTAAGAAAAATCGATTCATTAAAAAAAAAAAAAACAACTTAAAATATATTCTTCTTTTCAATTTAAGACATAAGTCTTTTTATTATACCCCATTATAATTATTCCATACAACGCGTTATCTGATTGGTTTTAGATTATCACGTGACAGGGCCATTAAACTTCATATTTCCCTGTCGTCGTGATGCTTTTCATCATATTTAAATCTTCGGAGATCTAGTGCATTTTCCCGCAATAGTTATCGTTATTGGACGAAAACTCCCGAGAGTAGTATACGTCACAATAGCCTGGTTCACGTCACAAAATTGATGATTGTTTCATCGTAGTGTAATGTGTCCAAGGGACTTCTGTAAATCGTTTCAGTAGCTTTACGTTAAAATTGATTGATTGATTGTATATTGTTTAACGTCCCATTCGAGATTTTTTCACATATAGAGACGTCACTGTATGCCAGTGATGGATTTCAAATTTAGTCCTATACTCGGCACTCAGGGAACAGGGGAATTTGAGAGCGGTGGCGAATTTGAACGTTTATGTTTATTTTTAAAGTTTTTGCTTTTTTCAGTATAATAAACAATTAATTGCATGAATGATCGGGAAAAATGAAGATTTATTCAGCCAAGAAATATCATTTTCCCCTCGGGCGACCCCCTCGGGGAATATGATTTCTCTTAGCTGAATAAATCTTCATATTTCCCTCACGATCATGCAATAAATGCATTATATTATCTAAATCCCTAATGAGAAAAAAAAAGAAAGAAAAAAATGATTAAAGGCATGTTACTATCTGCACTGTAATGAAATGTATGGAGATTTCGAACAGTATTCCAGCTCAAAAGTTTATTAAACAATACAAATTTTCAAGCAGAGCAGAAACGGACCTCTACAACATCAGAGGTGGGATCAGATTCCATGGAGGAGTGAGCGTCCCCTTCCGTTCTTGCACACCCGCCTTGTGGCCCTTGTCATATCGAGAAATAATGGAAAAATCCGTTGATATTTCAGTGTGTAAATAATGGCCTAACAATTAGTATGAAGACGTCAGTCAGCATTTTACTTAACGATAAAATATATTTTCAGACAAGGTCGTTATATCGACCATAGAACTTACAAAATGACAACTTGAAACGAGACTGGTGATATTCTTGTTTCATCAACTTGTTTTTCAGTTGTTTCTCGATTTAGAAAATATTGACGATGAAATCGTATCATAAAGCTTGGTTGTTAGATTTCCATTAACTTCTTTTTTCTAGTATAATATCCAAATATGAAACAGATTTATTTCACGCTCACTGGAATATATCGTATCGACAACAGATTGGAAATAACCATTGTTAATTCACAATATGCCGTAGAGATATCTAAATGTTAAAGGCCCCAGCAAGTGTTTTGTTCTTTTCACATTTAAGATTTTGAACAAATTCTGCTTTATATGAATACAAATATATGGTCTGCTAATAACGGGGGCAATTGGTACCCATGGGAATTCGAATAGATTGTTGGAAGACCTGGTCTTCAAAAACCACAAAGATATTGTAAATCAGAAACTCAAACATCTTTTTAATATCAACTTCGGAGTACTTGTGTGTAAAATCAGAATGTTCTTTTAACAAAACGATTTTGCAAATGACCAAATGACGAAGTAAATTTACGAGTTCTATTTTTATGGAAAAAGCAACTCTCAATGATATCAAAAGGCCTGGTCTTAAATTCATCGTGGGGAGTGGGTGTATATAAAGTTGAAAAGTCGTGAGTTTTTATGTTGTTGATTTTGGTAAAATTTTGTGATTTCAAATTTTCCAAAGGTTCCTTGAAATTTTTAAGTATCCACATCTGATTTACACCACTTCTCGACTATATTGTTGCACAGTACTCCTGAAGTTTCTCCTTCACTACTTTTAATATTTTACTGAGGAGTAAAGAAAGAAGCTTGGTAGAAAATTTACTGGAAGGATTTTTATGAAGTTTCGGAATCCATTATACATGTAGATATGGTAATTGAAATAAATGTTGGCTGTTGGGAATATTAAAAATATTGAAACCTGACATATGATTCTGAAGAATATCCTCCTTAGAAAGGGAGGTATGTGTATAAGTTGGATTAGCACTTGTTGAATTAAATCCCATATGAGTTCATTACTCAAATTTCTTCATGCATTTACTGATTGATTGTGTGACATGGGTTTCAACCTGTTTATTATAGTATTATATCAAAATATTTTGAGGATTACAATTATACAATTGCCTCTTTTACCAAGGAATACCTGACAAAATGAAAAATAAATGAAAATAAAATAAAAAATAAAACATAATACTTTCATAATGCCAAATTATTAATGCTACATTGATCGATGTTTATTTTGATGGTTGCACAAAACTGAATTCACTCTATTCAAATACCAGCAGTTGTTTTCGTATAAAGTAAATCAAAGAAGTAACTAGTAATCGATCGTCGATTTGCGGATATAAAAATTGATACAATACACATAAAAACAATGCCAGAGCCTGGACTCATTATACGAGGGTTGTCCGGTAAATTCGTGGAAAAAGCGTTTTTCTCGAAAAATAATGGGCACACTAAGCTGAAATTTTCAGCAAATGTTTATTAATCATATTTAAGTGCATCTTAATTCTTTTGATAAAATATAGACAAAAATAAAGATTTTATTATGCTTGAATGTGCACAGGGTACAGTTCTATGGCGCACGATCAAAAACCCAGGGTTTCAATAGCGAATACACAACTATTATTTCGAAATAAAAGTATTAAATAGAGAAGGTTGGGGTAGAAATTATCTATGTGAAATATATGGAGATAACGAACAGTATTCAAGCTCAAAAGTCCATTAATCAGTACAAAATAGGAGCAGAGCAAACACGGACCTCCAAACATCAGAGGTGGGAGTTTTAATCCACTATCTATTATGTCGTCTTTTGAAAAATTTCAAGGCATTTGCTTAATTCTTGGCAGTTTCCCGAGAATTTGAAATGGGAAAGTGGTAAACGCAACACACGAAAATGGCGTCGTTTAACGACGTTACGGCGCACCGGAGAGCAGTTCAGATTGATTTAGATGTAGTAATGCCGCCCACAGAAACTTTAGATAATTACAGACGAAGAAAAAAAAAATATATATCACTAGATCTTTTGTATACAAGTGAAATGGCTGTTTTCCAAGCAGAAGCTTTTTTGATCGGGTCCTCAAGAAGAATAAAACATACGGACAAACAGCTACTGGAAATACGAAAGACACTGTCACCTTTGATATAAGCCTATTTAGGTGAATGATAGTGAGAGTGTTGACCATTACCTACTAATAAATCTTTAGAAGGTCCCATGCGTGTGCAAGATTGGTTCCCCAACTGTTTTCGGAGGAATAAAGGGAAACTCTAATATGTGCATCAATGAAATCCCCAAATTTAAGCGGGTTTTATCCAGCCTTTTTTTTTTTTTTAGCAAAGAAGAAACTTGACGCTGCTTTAAAATTAGACACTTTGTCTAATATATAATCCATGCGCCGTAAGGCGATACAACACATATAATAAAGTCTTATATTTTGTTTTTTTGAGCATATATTTAGTTGAAATTTGCAATGTATATTGATGAAAATGTACTAATAAGTAGTGAAAAGTTTAGAACGCAGTGATGATTATTTTTCACTCTAGACAACTTGTCCACGATTTTACCGGACAACCCTCGTATATTATCTCAGACTTATTCTCTTTCTGTGCATTAAACGCATTTGATTTTCGTTTTTTTTTTTCATAGAAAAAAAAAAACAATCTACCAAACAAACAAACAGTAAGAAAAGAAGGGTATTAGACACAAAATCTTGAGGTATGATGGTATAGAAGAAACTATTTGAGTCAGGAAAAAATGTCAAAATGTGTTTGAAAAGCGTAATACGTGATGCAGGAGACAGTAGCAAATGAGGATAAGATATAATTTATACGAATCTGTAGGAACAGGCTATTTATAATTTATCATTTCATAAACGCGAATAATTAACATAAATACATGTACAGTGTTTATCCGTGTGTTTTGTAAAGCAACACTCAAAGAATTAAATATTATAAATTATTACATTTTCAATAGTGAAATACTATGATTTATTTGTCGAATAAAAGTGATATTCTCTCACAGTGTGAAAGGAAACCAAAATGATACTTTCTCACAGTGTGAAAAGATATCGAAGTAAATAAAAAAAATAATTTCTGGCCTATCATTAGAAAGAGATAGTAACTAACCATCTTGTTAGAGCTTAAACTGCAAATTTCTTCCCAAAAATGTGCTTAATTCCATGCTATATGATGTTTTCAATCTCACAACTGCTAAGCTATGACGTCTCAACCGCTCAGTGATGACATCAAGCCTATGACACTGTGTTAAGACAGAGGCAAAGGGAAAATTAAAGAAAAAGTAATTAACAGAAAATTCAATGTTTTGTAGCTGAATATTATAAAGTATATGCTAAGTGGTTGTAAAAAAAAAAACAATACGATACATAGGAGAACTCTTCCTAAACTTTGCTTTTGATAAAAACCTCAATTTTGTTCTCTTTTCATATATCGAACATTTCTAATCTTCCTTTCATCACAGAGGAAAAAGAAATCGTAATTGACACACATCCCGAGAAGAGTTCAACTGTATAAGGAAGGATATAAGGCAGAATAAAGAAAATATAAAGTGCTAAAAGTGTTTCTCTTATCATCATACAACATGCTTTCAAAAGCCACGTAGAATACAGGAGAAAGAGGACAGGAGCCAAATAAGGCATATTGCAAAATGAATTAACAGTGACAGATACATATCAACTCTATAGATTTTCTTTCTCTGGCTTTCTTTTTATTACGAGAAATCTCTCTCTCTCTCTCTCTCTCTCTCTCTCTCTCTCTCTCTCTCTCATGTGTGTTTTTTTATTTTGCATCAATTTCTTCCGACTTCTTTAAAATAGCATTCAATTTACAAGAGTTATCTGTTCACTTATAAAATTGAAACTTATGTAACCAGTGTTAGTAATTAAATATTTAAGTTTCAATGTTTTAATTATTTCTATTGTGTGTGTTTACGTTTGTGCTGTCTATGTGTGAATGTCCAAGTGTGAGTGTTTAGGTTTACTTGTTGAGACGTACTTGACCATTTCCGGTTTGACTAGTTCTATTTCTATTAATAACTTTTACTAACTTTCCCGCGACCTAATGATTTTCATGCACGCTCGACGCTACACCCTTTACGCGGATAGATGTTTTATTATTTAGTAGCTGATTAACAGCGGTGCCTGGGAATTTTTTTTTTAATTTTATTTACATGTTTCTTATTATCTTTGCAATTTAAAGTAAAGTCATTAAGTATATTTAAATGTATTTTAATCATTATTACTTTATTTCAGGTTTTCTTATATATAACAACCCAAATAAGACTATGTGATCAGATCTTAAAACTGACATGTGTTTTACAACTGTATTATCATTTTTTATGTGCAGTGTTGGAGCAGAACCCCCGTCGACAGTGTACCTACCCCGTCCAACATCACACACATGAAATTAAAAAAAAAATCTATATATGATATTTTTTTCTGCACATTCGTTTATTACATTGCACTCAAAAACTCCTCTACTGAGATGAAATCTTCTAGAGATTTCTACTACTACAGAAATCAAAATCATATATTTTAACACAACACTTAGAATACACTTCAGAACTCTAAACTATTGTTTATGTATCTGCAATTATAAAAACAGCGCCTTTATAAATGCTTTTGAATTTAGACCCTTTATGACGAGCGCCTCTTCAACAGTGAACCTTTTTTTAAGATTTGAAGTTTTTATTTCCCTATCTGTAGTATGTAGTAAGGAAATATACCAGTATGTGCTATTTATGATTAACCTTTTATGTGGATCATGAATAACAGTTCAGTAAGGATTCATAATCTGTTTCTGTTCGTACTTCCTTGTTGCTTTAGTTAGACAATCAGCGTACAGTCATGTATACACTGTTTCTCCTTTTATGTCTTTTGATACATTCTCGGGCATACGGTAAGAGAATCGATTTCCATATTAGTCTGTATTGTTCATGTTTGTCCAATGTATGCACTATCTTAATTTATATTCAGTATTATTTCTATCTTTCAAAAACCAAACATTAATCACCATATTCTTCAATGATTTTGTTTTTTTTTTTTTTCTTGATTCTTTTTTAATAGCCAAGTTTGTTAAATTTTATTGTTAAAAGTACACCGCATTTAAAAAAAATGAAAAAAAGTATATCAAGCAGAAAAGTGTATTATTAAGGAAACATGAAAACATTTATAATTTGAAAAATTATCTTTAAGTATTCACGTTAGAGTTGGTCTTCTGTAATAATATTTTGCTTAATTTAATCATTTTCATTTTTCTATCTTTTTTCGTGCGTTATACTGTAGACGTACATTTTTTCCGCTTGCGATTAATTGACGCTATATACGTGCTATATACGCGGTCACAAATTTTAATCGAAAATTTGTCACACGTACTAAAAGTACACTTACAGTCTTTGTTTACTGCCAGCAATTAAAATTCTAAATCGGTTTCTAAATTAAATATGAACATAATAATTATAACCTTGGGCCAAAATAAAAAATAGGTTTGTTTCCCCTAACGCGACCGACCCACTTAAATCGTGCCGACTGAACAGTTTTTTAAATAGAATTATTCAAATATTTATTTTTACTGTTTATCAACTTCATAAAATGCAATTTCATCAAAATCCGTTTTTTATCAGAATGGCGGCTTTTGTTTTTCTCTCATTTGGCGCCCACAACATGTGGCCACAGAAGGTTGTTTAGTGTTATAAAACAACGGCGATGTATCAATCTTAATATACAACTTATTAGAATCCTACACTCTTGAAACATTTCGTGAATTAAATATACCATGACTAAGAAGTGTAAAGATGGTATTTACAAATTGTCTTCTAAAATTAACGTACGTAGTAAGCATGACAAAGCCTGCCTCATGAGCAGATGAGGGGCCCACTTTGTGTATGCATATCAATAAATTTGACTGCATTTCATTCGTTTTGATCTAAAAAAAAACACTTCATGTATGATTCTATTTTACTATATAGGACCATAGGATTTGTAAAATATCTTTGTATAATTATTTCATCTTGATAAATATAATTCGGATGTCGTTTCTTCATTCCTTTTATTTATGGGGTAAACTTAGTGACTATAACATTAGATATATGAAACTTTAATCATTTTATATATGGTTTGGTTGAATTATATATTGTTTATACAGGTACTCTCTTTTCAAATAGTGTTGAAATCTTTAAAGTTGGCTTATGGTACGGCTTTCTGAGACGTCCAGTGTAATTTTCTTTCCTTTAGTTGGGCCCTTGAAAATAGGTTGTTTCTTTGCTTTAAAATACCTTTAAAAATTGCTGGGTCGACAACATTTGAACACCTGCCTGGTGGAGGGCTCCTAATTTAGACTTTTTCTCGGCACTTATGGCCATTGATCATACATGTAAAACATCAGTAAGGGATCTTAATCGTGCCAACATCTACATGTATACTGTGACACTGCATGGCCCTACGTTTTTACGGTCTCATTTGACTGACCAGTTTCCACGCCCCACGTCGGGACCTGTGACTTAGAATAAGCTTCTGAATTACGTCGTGACTCCAAAACGAAACACTAAAATTACTGCGCCACGCGAGGCCCTTGACATTTTATCTGGGTAAGCACTCGAAGATGATAATAGGTTTAAAAAAATAAACTCGGGTGGCCGATGGTTGAGTATTTGCGAATCTTGTCTTTTTGTAAAAATTCAATTTCAATAAATTTAAAATGAAGTTCAAATGAATAATATTTGTGAATTAATTTACCATAAATGTTAAATTTCATTTGTATGATATTCGGTTTAAAAAAAATTGTTCTTTCTTATTTATACAGATATTATTCAATTTTCAGAATGTATTTTCAAAACTGCTGTCAGAAAAAAAAATAATTTACCTACCTACCTACTCAACTTGAAATTTTAGGGTCGGGTTAGGGGAAACAAAGATATTTTTAGTGATGGCCTTGCCTTGTACGAGGAAAAAAACAAACAGTATATGTCTTTTTTTTTAAAGAATACTATCTATATTCTCTATTTTTTTCCCTAATATTGACTTCCTTTTTTACTTTCTTGTCCTTGCATTGATTTCAAAGAGAAAACATAGCTCAAAATAATCATGCATTTAGTTTGATTGCTATATTCCTAGGAGCGGATTACTTCATATTAAGAATGCGTTTTCCCTACATTATTAATAGACACCAGTTTCCCTGATCCAACACTCTCGTTTATCATAACCATACATGTTAGATTATACATATTAAATAATATAAAGGAATTCAGGATTCCTGAAAGCAAATAAAGTCAATGTTGTCTGTCGCGTAAAAAGCACGCGTAATCATTCAACTGTTGCCTCATATGGAATCAACAGTGATCAGCCAAAGTCGATCACAAAATGGAAAAAAATGAAATTAAAATGTCATACAGGGAAATTTCGATATAGGTAGGGTAAAACTGTTCATCAAAATATGAGAAACAATGATTTTCTTTGCACAGCATGCTTCAAAAATAAAACTCTTTGTCTTTCTTGAGTTCATGTAAATATTTGTTCCCAATTAATGAAGACTTCTTTCCTGATGATTGTGTCGGTAAATTAAAATATAAAGCGAATAAAAAATTAAGATATGTAGGATAATACAAACTACATGTACATTGTAGTGCACATGCATCACCATTCAGTAGGAAGTGCTGAAAAACATACATGCATACTTTTTTTACTTTGAAATTAAAATGCTGTATTGGTTCATGTAGATAATTTGGCGTATGGGAAACCTACTTGGCAAAGCACATCACATGACGAAACAGTTGGTTCAGATTTAGCCGTAGATGGATTAAAAACAAAGCGTGATTATCATGGAAAACAGTGCAGCATAACAGCTGGTCAACAACGTAACGCTACATGGTGGGTGAATTTGACCAGCATCAGCAGTATACATGACATTGTGATTTATTACAGGACAGATGACTTAGCCTGGGGTATGTGCAACTCCAATTTTTTTTTTCTACATTATTACTACCTAATGTAACGTGTCAAATGCGGGAGTAAGTTTCTATACGTTCGTCAAACAAAAACTGATGCTTGACATTTTGAAGTTTAAACCTATATTTCATACTAATATAAACATTCACATACACTCATACACAAATATTTTCTTTTAATTTGTAGAGTATAAAAATAATTACAAAGCTAGATTTCTGGGATTCCATGTGTACGTATCAAACACGACAGACAGAAGTGCAGGCCAGCGTTGTTTTCCTGACACAAACTACACCAGAGCCACCATACCGCATGATTTAAAAATAAGCTGTCCTGCACATGGACAATACGTCATCTATTACAATGAAAGAATTAATGGAGTTACATATCCGGATGGATATTCTAAATTCGCATTCAGTGAACTCTGTGAAGTTGAAGTTAACGGTATGTTTTAAAACGCAAAATGTTACACACTAAGTTCCGAATATATATATATATATATATATATATATATATATATATATATATATATATATATATATATATATATATATATATATGTATACATTTCCAGTGTCTTTGTCTGAGATAAAGTTTCAAATAGTAAAAATACTTTATTTCTAAATAAATCTACTGGTTCATCGATAGGCGAGGTGGGAAAAAAAAACACGTGCGGGGCGGGACAAATAGAGACAGAAGCGGGGCTTGTAGCACGTGAATTTGCCTTCGGCGTTTATGCAAATTATCACGCAAGCCAATCGATTGATCACATCATGAAACCAAAAAATTAGACAGTTATTCCTTATATATATATATATAAGTGACTTAATTTTATTTAAACATAGTTTTATCCTTTTCCCCCGAAAATTTAGGTTGTTCCGATCCTTATAGTTATGGACCGGATTGTGCCAACTCATGTAGCAATTGCTTACGTTACTGCAATATAGAATCAGGACTCTGTCCACAGTGTAAAGCAGGTTATAAAGGAGAACGTTGTGAATTAGGTAGGTCTTAAAATAATTATTTGTATCTGTTAAATACTTGCATGAATAGGCATAGAATGATTTTTTTTATATAATGTACGAATTCTTTGCACTCAGGCATAATATAAAAATCTACATCCACTCCCTCCCCCCTTTCCCCGAAAAAATGAATTAGAGATTAAAATGCCAATGAAGTTGCATTTCTTATTTGAGGAAGAACATGAAGATACTTTTGTAAATATATCTGAGGATTTATGTTCAAAACACTTTTATTGAGAATTTTTAAATGTTCTGATTTACGAGGGGGGAGGGGATGAAAATTCTCAATAAATGAATATATTAATATGTATAGCATATTTAGTGAAAAGTGAGCACTTGTAATTTAGATGTTTCTGAACAAAAATCAGCAAAAAAGAAAAAAAAAAAACCCTACCTCTTGGGAAAAAAATGTGTAGTTCAAAACTATTTTATTTTCTTCAGGAAAGCTAAAAGTTTCTGATATCAATCCTACGTTTGAGCATATTTAGAAAAAAAGTGAGCACTTGTAATTTAGATGTTTCTGAACAAAAATCTACAAAAAAGAAAAAAAAACCTCCCTCTTAGAAAAAAAAATGTTTAGTTCAAAACTATTACATTTTCTTCAGGAAAACTAAAAGTTTCTGAAATCAATCCTACGTTTGACGTCTCCTTAAATTCAGCAACATAGGGAGAAAAAAAAATTAAAAAATAGCAATTTAAAACACATGAGTATTTACTCGTTTTCATAAATTAACTACTGTGAATATTTGAGTGACATGTATATTTTATTGTTTGGGGTAATTTTTGTTAAATTCATGTTTAAATGTTTATCAACGTAATACCCTAGAGGGTCAGAAACTATGAATTCTTATAACTATGTAACAAATATTTTTTTAATGTAAATCGCACAATATTTCACAACACAAGATAGATGTGACGCACTTGATAGCAGTTCGGAATTCTTTCATATCAAATGGCTATAACATCTAGTTCTTTTAATTTTATGAATTTTTTCACCTTTTTCTTTGTCCTTACAATATTATAATTAGTGCATACGAATAATTTTATTTATTTATTTTCTTTTTAATTTATTTATTGGGTATAATACGTTCGTTGGTAGGATACATTTTTGACAAGATAATACATTTGTATTAAATTATTATAATTAGAATTATAATTTTTAGTGTCAAACTTAGTATTAGAATTACAATTATAATCTATCGGAATAAGTCTATAAAAAAAACAAAAAAAAAAAACCCCATAAATATAGTACAAATAGCATTCGTATACCAAGGATAACCCATGAAAGTCAAGGGCTTATTTTCAATGGGATCCTTATAGTTATACAAATATCCTGGATGTTAAATAAAAATACTATAATTATGAAGTGGAATCAAGATGACAAAACAGAGGTCATTAAAAATGAATTGTAATATGTTTATTCACCCTGACATCTCATGAATATAATAGTAACCAATTAACTGACAATAAAAAATGAAGATTAAAAAAAAAAAAAATTACTTTTATAGTGGTCAATTCCCCTATCATAAAAAGAAATCTTGGCATTTCTTTTGAAAGCATACTAATTTCCAGTACTTAAAACAGTTTTAATTTTTGCTGGTAGCATGTTCCAATTTTTGAGTTCATTAGAATAAAATGATTCAATTTGATTACGCTTTACAGCTGTTATTTGTACAACAAAATCTGGATTTGAGGCTGATTTAGTCTGATAACTACAATTTAAATTAGAGCGAATTAAAATATGTTCAGTAAGATTCCTTGATAAATATAAAATACATGGTTGGGTCTAAGCTGAGTGATTACTTGAATATTTAATAAATTTAATCAATTGAGAACTTCATAATTTACAGATGCCTGTGGACCTAAATTCAAATCAAATTGGTGTTGAAATATTTGCAGTTTTTTAAGGTCTTAGATAGCCCTACATACCAAGTACTGCAGGCGAAATCAATATGACATTGTATAAGTGCTGAACACAGAGTCTTTTTACAAAAAGTATCTAAAAAACGGGGATTGTCGGTACAAAATCTCAATCTGTTATTTACTTGTTGAACAATTGCTTCAACAATTCTGCGTTCAACAATTTCAAAACATTTGTTAATCACAACTCCAAGATATTTAACCTTTTCTTCACATTCAGTGTTATGGTCATTTCATACAACCTGGAAATTTTGAACATTTTAAAGCTTTCTTTTAACTTATTTAATCAGGGACCCTGTCCAAATAATGTATATTTAATCATCAGAGGAAAGGATTCTGTTTGTCAAATAGTAATAGATTCTGTTTTATTGACTAGTAGACTAATACAAGGGAAAAAGGAGAACTGTTATTTTCATTGCAATGTACATGTTTATATTCTACCGAAACCACACACTTTAAAATTCCATACATAATTTATTCCGATATCCTTGCGTTTGTGTTTACGTAGTTAGCACTAAGATGCCCCATCTCTTCTCTGTGTTTTTACTTATGTTACATTGAAAGTTTAAATCCAAAGTTTATTGTTATCTCTGACTATATATATATACGTTTTAACTTAAGATTTAAACTTCTCACTTGACACATAATGTATGTAGGAAAACCTAAGGGGATCAACTGAAACGTGTATGTACTGCATTGGACGTGCTTATGAGGAAAATTATTTTTCTTTTGTTTTGTTTTCTGAAGTGTGTTTTTTTTTTCTTTCTACATAATGTTTCCCTATCCATCGATTTTCATGCTGTGTTAAATCCGCCGTGGCGACATACTCAATAACGTAGTCTTTTTGTTGTGTTAGTTATTATAAAGATTGGTTAAACTTAATGACTATTTTATGTATGGACAAAAAAAAAACCCCAGTAAATTACAAAATATTGTTAAAAGATATTTACAGCTGTTGAAACATAAATCTCTCTTTGTAATAGTCCGAGAAGTGTCGTGCTCTAATTATACATTTAAACTGTGAAACAAGATATTGCAGGCATTAAAATGTGACATGACAAATTAAAGTGAAGTGAGGACCGAGATAGTTTTTTTTTTGAGATACGGTTCACTGCAATAATGAAAAAAGATTTCTTTGATAAACACAAGGGAACAGCTAGCTCAAGGAAGATACCAACAACAAAATATAAAAGTGATGATATTGAAATAAAATATGTCCCAAAGATTGTCGATTTGATAAATCATAGTACTAAAAGTAAATCATCAAATGCCCAATATTTTTCTAGAAAAAAAGAAGAGAAAGTGATTAAATAGGGATCGCCAAAAATTTCAAATCGCGATATATCAGGATTTTTCACCCAAAATATCACGATAATATGATATTTTTACAATCAATTTTTACAATGATTTTAAATGAATATTAATAATTTTCCCTAAAAGTATGCTTTTAGGGAAAATAATTCAAATTTCTCATTCTTTTATTTACAATATACATAGACCTAAAGAAAAAAAAGCATTTGCTTTAGGTCTATGGATTATATACTGAAACGCAAAAGAAACGCAACATCCTATTTTAGGGCGAAATATATAGGATATAATTTTGTATCTAAAAAGTAAGGACATCTTCAACTTTGTAAATATCGGTAATTTAACGGTTGAATGACTTTCATACCATTACCGGAAGTTAAGTTTGAGTGCGCTTAACAGAAACCAAAAATTGCATGTTTAACAAAACATTTGGCAATAATATGGTGTTATAAGGGTTTGTATCTGATCATCAAAATTAATGCAGCAATGTTCCAAAAAATAAATTTTCCTTTCTTTTCCGTAAGCGATGCCAAGGTTCCTAAAAATGACGTAAGTACACATTTCCATTGCTCTAGCTAAAAAATCTCATAATAAAGGTGATGGAGAGTTGCAGATGCAAATATGCACTACATCACGCCTCAAGAGGCTCTTACGTATCATCAGCATGAATGACAGTCCTTGGGCCGGAAGTCCAAGGGTTACTACACTGCGCTAGGCTAGGGAAAATTCGGCCTTATCATCTGAAAAACGAGCATTTAAAATGGCAAATAATATTTCTTTCGCTCAGATCTCGAAATAGATAACCCTATTGCATCGTAGAAATCAAGCTGCAATTGTTGTGCATGGCAGTCTTGCACGCTGTAATTTAATGGCCGGGGTGGGGGTGTTTTAACAGTCATGTGTTACTCTCTAAAGTTAAAAGATTATCATTTAACATTTTCATCAAATCTCAGATGTTTTTAAATCGGATTCATTTTTGAAAATCATTGGATAAAGAATTCAAATATTTATAGTTTACTGCTTGTTGCGTTTCTTTTGCGTTTCAGTATACAAAGCATGTTGAATGCTTAAACGTCGTTCTTATACTATTTTCAAAATTTTTCACTCTTCCTGTAATTGTAATTTGAAAGATTGAACAATTAAATGAAATATTTCTTGAATTTATAATTATATACATAAGTACCGATATTTTAGTCTCCGTGTCACGATATGAATCACGCATTTAAAAATCACGATATACCAGTAGATCGTACATCCCTATGATTTTACAAATGATGTTTTCTCGCTTTTATATATTTTTCCCAAAGGCACATTAGAACGATAATTTAGACCCGTATACATTAGATTCATTGGGCCAGTTACACAAAATGGCTCTTTTTGACCCCCCCCCCCCCCCAAAAAAAAAAGAAAAAGTTCTAAACTAGGAGAATGCAAGAGTGTTATGGTTGATATGACCGTGTTTTACCATTAATAGTGATATTTTCCCTTCTTTTCATTCTCTTAATAACTTCACACATTCAATTAATAATTTCCATGCCATTTTGTTATTTCAAATTTTTCATCAAAATAAGACAGTAAGTAAAATTAGCACGTAAGTGATTTTTAATATTAAGTTGCAATAGTAACACATGATATTGATAAAGACATATTGTGATTATAATTGTGCATATTTCATTTCATTTCTATTTTCTTGAGTCAGCTAGCGGTTATTTTGATATCGTTATAATCAGACTATCCAACGGCTACTGAACATCCCTAGTATATTTATAAAAATGCAAAGTATGTGTTTTGCATTCAACATTTCATCAACACTTGTAAAGTAAACCTTAAGCAATTCGCTGTTTATTCTTCCCTCCTCCCCATACGTGGTTGCTTTGCCTTTAAGTTCTATTTATCTTTAATTCACTTTTTCGTGGTTGCTTAGCCTTTAAGTTCTTTTTACCTTTAACTCACTTTTTACCTATCACAGACGATTACCATTACTGTTCACCCAGCGTTCATATTTATTCATAGAACACTTTATGTACTTTACCAAAGTTTATTCAGTTGTAAGTCCAAATACAAACCCAGTGTTGGAATGATAGCTAAAATATGAACAAATTTAATTTTTTTTTTTGTTGTTGAGATTTTGTTAATAAGGTTCATGTAAGTAATGAAATTATTTCAGAGTGTGATCGTGGATTCTATGGAGTAAATTGTAACATGACCTGTGGAAATTGCAAAAACTCAGAAAGATGCAACCCGATAAATGGGACGTGTTTAAATGGATGTGTTGGAGGCTTTGGAGGGCAGCTTTGTAAGAAAGGTATGCAAACTACGATAATGTTTATGGAAGACATATGTCGCTAGCAAAAACTCCCTTTTTTTAAAGGAAATTCAATGGCAAATTGATTAACGAAAATTGTAGAATTTGATATTTCTTTTTTTTACGTCATTGTTATTTTTACCCCATTCCAAATCGGGGGCGTGGAGACCGGTCCTTCGGATGAGACCGTATACTAGTAAACAGATGTTCCGTGTCGCAGTAGGTGCTGGCACAAAAAAAAGCTAACACTGCTCAATAGTCCTGAGTGCCGAGTGTAGGTCTAAAATTTACAGCCCTCCACCGGAAAGTGGTGGCTTCTCAATATAAGTGAAAACTTTTTCGAAAGGGACGTTAAATGAAAACAACAAACATTTACCTCATTAACTGAAATTAACCTTGTAAAATATTTCAAACAAATGATATTTCCCTGATAATTATTTGTATGTTCTATGATTTAATTAAACATTATCGCATGACGTGAATTTAAAGTTCCTTTGAAGATAAAACACCCTTAATTTTGTCATCCCATGGGAACCAGCACCCAAATTTGTCCGCAGGAGTTCTAGCATATGTCTTGGCGAACATCTTAATTATTTTAATCACCAAAGAGTATTTCTGTATGCAACGATCAAAATCAGTTGCTGCAATCAAAACAAGAGGCCCATGGGCCACATCGCTCACCTGAGCACATTGGCAAGGGGGGGGGGGGCTTGAATTTTAAACTACCTGATGATGCTTCCATGTCAATATATAATTTGTTTTAACAAATGGCTTTGTTGTACTTGAGAAGATTTTAAAAAAAAATTCCCATATATTCTTCTGTAAAAATTTGATCCCCCATTGTGGCTCCTCCCTATCCCAGGGGTCATCATTTGAACAAACTTGAATCTACACTACCTGAGGATGCTTCCATATCAATATGACTAAACATAGCTTTTCTGTTCTTGAGAAGAAATTTTTTTCTATATGTTCCTATGTAAAACTTTTGATCCCCTTATTGGGCCCCACCCTACCCTCGAGGGTCATCATTTGAACAAAATTGAATTTACACTACCTGAGGATACTTCCACATAAATATGATCAATCAGGGCTTTGCAGTTCTTCATCAGAACATATCTTCCTACATATTTCTTTTTCAGACTTTTATCCTCCATTGTGGCCCCGCCCTACCCCCAGAGGTCATGATTTGAACAAACTTGAATCTACACTACCTGAGGATACTTCCACATAAATATGACCAATTAGGGCTTTGCTGTTATTGAGAAGAAGATTTTTAAAGATTTTTCCTATATATTTCTATGTAAAACTTTGATCCTCCATTCTGGCCCCGCCCTACCCCTGGGGGGTCATGATTTGACCAAACTTGAATCTACACTACCTGAGGATGCTTTCATATAAATATGAACAATTAGGGCTTTGCTGTTATTGAGAAGAAGATTTTTAAAGATTTTCCCTATATATTTCTATGTAAAACTTTGATCTTCCATTGTGGCCCCGCCCTACCCCCCAGGGGTCATGATTTGGACAAATTTGAATCTACACTACCTGAGGATGCTGCAATATAAATATGACCAATAAGGGCTTTGCTGTTATTGAGAAGAAGATTTTTAAAGGTTTTTCCTATATATTTCTATGTACATGTAAAACTTTGATCCTCCATTGTGGCCCCGCCCTACCCCCGGGGGGTCATGATTTGAACAAACTTGAATCTACACTACCTGAGGATGCTTCCATATAAATATGACTCATCATGGCTTTGCTGTTATTGAGAAGAAGATTTTTAAAGATTTTTCCTATATATTTCTATGTAAAACTTTGATCCTCCACTGTGGCCCCGTCCTACCCCCGGGGGTCATGATTTGAACAAACTTGAATCTACACTACCTGAGGATACTTCCACATAAATATAATCAATCAGGGCTTTGCTGTTCCTGAGAAGAAGATTTTTAAAGATTTTTCCTATATATTTCTATGTAAAACTTTGATCCTCCATTGTGGCCCCGCCCTACCCCCAGGGGGTCATGATTTGAACAAACTTGAATCTACACTACCTGAGGATGCTTTCATATAAATATGAAAATTAGGGCTTTGCTGTTATTGAGAAGAAGATTTTTAAAGATTTTTCCTATATATTTCTATGTAAAACTTTGATCCTCCATTCTGGCCCCGCCCTACCCCCAGGGGTCATGATTTGGACAAACTTGAATCTACACTACCTGAGGATGCTTCCATATAAATATGACTCATCATGGCTTTGCTGTTATTGAGAAGAAGATTTTTAAAAGTTTTTCCTATATATTTCTATGTAAAACTTTGATCCTCCATTGTGGCCCCGCCCTACCCCCGGGGATCATGATTTGAACAAACTTGAATCTACACTACCTGAGGATGCTTCCATATAGAAATTACTCATCATGGCTTTGCTGTTCTTGAGAAGAAGATTTTTAAAGGTTTTTCCTATATATTTCTATGTAAAACTTTGATCCTCCACTGTGGCCCCGCCCTACCCCCGGGGGTCATGATTTGAACAAACTTGAATCTACACTACCTGAGGATGCTTCCACATAAGTTTCATCTTCCCTGGCTTTGTGGTTCTTGAGAAGAAGATTTTTAAAAGATGCTACTAATTTTTCACCAATTCTTCATTATCTCCCCTTGAATGAGGGCGTGGCCCTTCATTTGAACAAACTTGAATCCCCTTCACCCAAGGATACTTTGTGGCAAGTTTGGTTGAAATTGGCCCAGTGGTTCTTGAGAAGAAGTCGAAAATGTGAAAAGTTTACAGACGGACGGACGGACAGACAGACAGACAGACAGACAGACAGACGGACAGACGGACAGACGGACTACAGACAAAATGTGATCAGAAAAGCTCACTTGAGCCTTCGGCTCAGGTGAGCTAAAAAGGGGAGAGTCAGTTTAGTTGATGTTATTGATGTCTGCAATAGAAAAATTTCTAGTTTTGATTTCTTTTCTTGAAGGGGGCACTTCGACCTTGAAACTTATTTCAAAAATCGACAACATTTAAGTATGTCTATTTGATGAATACATCTTAAGTATTAGTCCATTGGCAAAAAGAGACTCTTAGTGCTTTCAGAAAGAATACTGTAGATTCCTAATTTTTTGCGAGTACTTATTTTCGCGAGTACTTATTTTTGCGAAATGGCTCTTAAACTCACGAGATCAATAATTCTCGAGCCGACGTTTAATCAAGAGATTTTACAATGATTTCAGCACCATAAATATAATGGAGTAATTTTATTTCGCGAGTGGTGCTTCTAGCTTAATTACGCGATAATTAATTCCTCGTGTATATTTACAAATCTACAGTAACCAGATACAAACTCTTAAGAAATTCTGCACTGTATTCGCCCCTTTATCAATGTTTACTAATAATCTTCTACGAAGAGTTTTGAAATATTATTTCCTTTAAGTATTAAAAAAATCAAGAAAACTGAAACTATAAAGGTGATTTAGATTCAAATTTCTTCATACCTTACAATGTTATAGGTTTTTTTTTTTTTCGAAATAATGTTAGATAATTTTGCTTAAAGAGGCAGAGTCTAATTATTTCTACCCTAAAGATTTTGATGACTTTTCTTGAATTAATTTTTACTATCATATTGATTGTTTTAATATTAAAAAATCGAATGTTTACCGTCCCAATTTCTTAGGGGGCCGTCACAAAAGTTGTCAAACTTTACTTTTGGACCCTATGGGAATTTGTTGGAAAAGCGCCAAATTATCACATTTTCCCCATATTTTTTTGTATTTCTGCCCTAAAGATTTCTTTTTCAGCCAAGGACATGAATGTGATTGTAAAAAGTCAACAAACTGTGAAATTTCAAAAAAAAAAAAAAAAAAAAAAAATGACGATCTAGGTTGGCCTACGAATTATTACAAAGTTTATTTTTTTAATGCCCAATACCTCTAAATTTGCCATATTGCGGTATAAATATATATCGGTGCAGATGAATTATCTGCGCAGATGAATCATTTTGGTAAAAAATAGCAATGTTTAGATTGCTACTATGTTTCTTTTGATATTTTTTCAACAGTTTTTTTTGTATAATATCCATGGACGTCTTGAATTTACAAACGAGTCATGTGTCATTCTTCAGCGTCAAGCATTGCTTACAAAAATCGGAAAACAGTGACGTCATTAGAGCCTTTTCAGCGTTTTTGTCGTAAAAGCACACTTTTAGACCCATATGCGTGATAGATAATGCTATTTTTATATTAAAATCACAATATTTGGGAAAGGTGTAATGTCACACATATGACTGCATGAAATTAAAAAACGGGCACTCAAGATTTATTTTTTTATCATTTTTGTTAAGGACGTTGACAATTGTTTTACAATAGATGGTAGGCTTTCTCCTCTGATCAAAATTTTGATAAAGTGTATTGACTAAAATTTCAAAAGTATGGATCACTTCCTTAGATTATCATTTTTATATGTTCATTTGAAAATTCTTTTCTGGCAATATTGTTAAAATACATTTTATCTTTACTTGTTTGTTTCATAGGAAACTTTGTGAGAAATATGTGTTATAGCAATAATTAGGCTGTACAGATTTCTATAACATATTTGTGTTTTTGAATACCTGATGACCTTCATGCTGTAATTACATTTTGAAACCAGGTTGTCTTCTACAAAACGTGGATTTATTGTTATAGAAAATATGGCCTTTAAAAAACACACCTGGCAAAACACAACACATAGCCAACACACTGACTCGGGGAAAGCGGTTGATGGAATGAAAACAAATTTTTCCTTTAGTGGTAAACAGTGTAGCATATCAAAGGATGGATATAAAACTGCTGAATGGTGGGTGAATCTCACTGAAATACGTAGCATACATAACGTGGTTATTTACTATAGGACGGGCGGTGTCAAGTGGGGTAAGTACGTTTTAATTAATGTTTGATGACAAAGACTTTCCGGAAAAAAATCTCTAGATTATTTGAATACCATTTTTCATTTACAAGTAACAGAATAGTAGTGATTGACTGATTACAGTACCGACCAGACACAACCTAACAGAAAACGAACCCAGAACGCACCCCGGGTTCGCTTTCTGAGTTCGCTTCGGGTTCACTTGGGGTTCGCTATAGCTGACCCCGAGCGAACCCGAAGCGCAGCCCGAGCGGACCCGAAGCGGACCATGAGCGAGCGCCGAAAGTGGACCCCAAATTCAGTAGCGAACGTAGAAAGCGAACGCGTGTTCGGTGTTGCGTAACAGAACTGCCAATCAGGATTAGCGATAAAACGTGTAAACCAATCAGCATGCCAGTTTGTTATTCGATGTAAATAAAACATTGGACAAGCAAAGCGTGTTAATGTAAAGTGTGAAACTATTATTAACATGATCAAAAAAAAGATATCTATATTTTAATTATCCAGGTAGCATGATATTTTTACACATTTTTATTATTATTATTTTTTATTTTTATTTTTTTTTTATTTTTAAAATCCAATAACATTTCGTAAATTTATCAGACAAAAGGTACTTCCATGTATAGAAGAAAAAAGAAAATGGTTATTACAATGTTACTAAAAAATGGAAAAAAAAGGTTTTTGACAAACCATTGCATTTCATCATCTCAAGTTACTGTACAAGATTATATATATGTACATGTACATGTATGTGCTTTCATTCAGTTATTTTATTTTTTTAATTCTAATTTTTATTTCATTTAAATCCAGTTCAACATTAAAATTATTGATCTTCTTTATTGAAAATGAAAAAAAAAAATAAAATAAAAAAAATAAATAAATGTACATGTATGTCCGATCGTAAACAATTATGGTATTATTTTGATTTATCTTCTACAAGAAAAATAATGTAAAGCTTTAATTAACTTGTTTGTTTTTTTTTTTAACTGAAATAAAAGGGGAAAAATGAAGCGCAATTTACATCGGTAGTAAACAAGCAATATAGTAAGTCGTACAGTATTGTATTCTCTTAAATAGCGTAACTTTTTATGATAAAAAATATTTAAGATATTTTACATTTTTTCTCTGATGATTATTATATTAACTGCTAACTGTGGTCTTGATTGTTTTATATCAATACATCAAAAATGTACATTAAAAAAAGATTCCCAATACTTACATAAATATTTAGTCGGCAAATGTACACGACATGATTGTAGGGGTTACTTTTAATCCCTGATGCTTATTATTTTTTTTTAATATAATTTCGGCAAATGAATGAATAAAAAAAATGTTGATTTTTGAATTTCATAAATGGAAAGATGGATATAGTTTTAAATCATTTTAAGCCATTTAAAAAAAATCTTATACCTCCTTACTGCATATAATAAAATCCAATTGAATCAAAACTCACGGCCCACCTATATGATGTGATAAAACATGTGGCATTCAATCATAAATTACATTATTAAGTATCAAAAAGATTTAAAAAAAAAAAAGAATTTTCCAAAGTCGGAGAATTAAATAAATACTTATTTGTAATCTAAAATAACTACATGCATTAAGTCTTATTTACATGTAGTTTCAAAAATATCCATTTCTAAATATTTTTTTCAGTTTTCCAAAGTCGATGAATTTCACCAATACTTATTTTTAATCGAAAATATCAATCAATTAAGCCTTATTTCGTTTTAAAAATATTAACTTCTACATATTTTTTATTATTTTGTTTAAAAAAAATCGTGCGTTTGCGTTAACAAACGTGAATAATCGTGTAACCTGGAGAATCGTGTACGTGAAGGATCGTTCGTGTATCAGGTTTAATCGTGCGGAATAGTTCGTGTGTATGTTGTTAACAATAATGTTGCAGCCACTGTACATGCTCATGTATCGATCGCCACAAAAATAACGATGATCGATTTCACTACTGTATTTGGAATATACTCGTGGCAAGATTAAAGCGGGTTCCGCTACACGCTTGAGTGCGTAAAGCGACCCCAGAAAGCGATCGCCGGGTTTGGTCTAGCAGACCCAGAGCTGACCCCGAGCGAACGCAGAGCGAACCCGAAGCGCACCCAAGGCGAACCCAGAGCGCACCCAAAATTTCTGAAAGCGGACCTATAGCGGACCCCAAGCGAACCCAGAAAGCGAACCCGGGGTGTTAGGTCGTGTCTGGTCGGTACTCTACATGTGTATAACTGATACTGTGAAAATCATGTAAGAAATTAATAAATATATTTGAATAACAATGGAATAAAAACCGATGGCAGATGGAATTCTAATTTATAGAAGGTCAATTTTTTAAGCCTTCCATGTCAAAAACGGGAAAGAAGTTGTGACTTTTGATAACTACCCCCCCCCCCTCCCTGAACCGTCACGGTAGCTAAGTCGGTAGAGCGCTTGTTCCATGATCATAAGGTCGTGAGTTTGAATTTCGGCTGTGACTGACATAAGTCGATAAGAATAGGTAGCAACTGTTCAATTCCTTAAGCGCTCTTTGAAGTGAAAGTTGCTGGTACTTCGGATGAGACCTTAAAAACGCCCGTATCACGGCGTTTGCTCGATAAAGATCTTTCACTGCGCAATGGCCCTGAGTGCCAATTAAATGTCTAAATTTGAAGCCCTCCACCGGTACATGTATATGGTGACGTTTCTATATGAGTGAAAAATTCTCCAACCGGACGTAAACAATATACAATCAATCAATCACTCCTCCCCCCCCCCCCCCCTGAAAAATGTCATAATACTCCTTTTAACTTTACGGATGATGACGATATGCAGTATCAACATCTGAAAATGATTAAATACTTCATTTATTTTCATTAAACAAAGAAGTAGTATATAGAAAACAAAGGTTACATTCACATAAGACAAACAATTGATAATGAATCATAACAAAATAATATTACAGATAAATCCAACGGCTTCACGGCCCGGTTTTTGGGATTTTATCTGTACATTTCAAACACAACAAACAGGCTAGATGGTCATTTATGTTTTCATGACACTAACTTCACCAGGGCCACAATACCAGACGTAATCGATTTAAATTGTACTGTTCATGGGCAGTACGTTATTTACTACAACGAAAGGCCAATAAAGAATGATAGCGGGAAAAATTATTCTACAGAAGCCTTTACAGAACTCTGTGAGGTCGAGGTTTACGGTAAGATATCTCAATTTAACAATGAGTTAGTTTTCAAACTTTCACTAAAAAATAAAGTTTAAAATAAACCAAAAAATAGCGGAAATAATAATTAAAATCAAAATTAATCATTTTTAAGGTTGTCCTGCTAGGCGCTATGGACCAGACTGTTCCGATCAATGCCCTATTAATTGCAAAAAATACTGCGACATGGAATCAGGGAAGTGTCTACAGTGTAAGCCTGGTTACAAAGGTGCACGTTGTGAAGAAGGCAAGTATCTTCAACATTTAACACGCACAGTTTTAGCAGTAAGCTAAAGAAATATGTGTGATCATTTTACATTATTCAACTACATTGTATTTCTTATGCCCCATGCAATGGTATTTATAATGCTTAGAATATTAGATACTTATACTGCCAGGTTAATACCAAGATTTAGTCAACGTTTTATATTTCAAACACTTATTGTTGAGATATCTCTCCAAATGTAGCCTTTTCCTATACCAATGCCGTGCTCGTTTGAATTTCTAGCAACATCCAATACCTTGAACGAAAGTTATTCAATAATTGAGGCACCTATTAGGTAATTGTAAATGCAGTGTAGCAAAATGAGATAATTGACGATGCACAAAGACAGAGATAAAAAAAGAAGAAATTTTAGGACTGATTTAAGGAAATGGAATATCGGAGCACGTTATGGATTAGTCATAAGGAAAAGTAGTACATATCATTTTTAATCCCTGTTTACGTTCTCTACAATTTGTGGATTCAGATGTGGTATATTAAATTTATAACGTTGAACTCAAATATGACTAAGAAATATCCATGCATGCCATCCTTGTAGAATGTAATAAAGGAGTTTTTGGTGTCAACTGCGGAGAGATATGTGGCCATTGCCAGAATTCAGAACAATGTCATCATATAAATGGGAAATGCTTAAAAGGATGTGACAAATGGTTTGGGGCCCATTGTGCAATAAAAGTAACTATAAATCAGGCTCTCAAATGCAAACCCACACAAGCACTTTTGAGATCCCTCTATTAATTACTAATCTGTCCAAAAGTATTTTTATTCATGAAGCATAAATTTGTACTTTTCAGTATGTTGATACAGATACTTCGAAAAAAAAAAAATGTGCACACAAATGTAATGATACTTGTAAAGGGTGTAACAAAGCACATGGGACTTGTGATTACGGTTGTTTTCCCGGTTGGAAAGGAGTTTATTGTCATGAAGGCATTTTATTACTTAAGATTTTTATGCAGATATGCTATTTGTCAAATTTCCTCTTTTTTTTAATTTGTACAATTTACAACTTCAAATTTATCAAGTTTTAGAACCCTTTTATATTATTTAGAATGTGATGGTGGTTATTTTGGAGAAAAATGCAATACCAGTTGTGGGTTCTGTTATAAATCGGAGCAGTGCCACCATATTAATGGGTCTTGTTTACAGGGCTGTGCTGCAGGATACAGAGGAAATCTATGCGCCGACGGTGATAATTTTATAATAATTGGGAAAACAATGATCCACTATTTTATCTTCATGAAAATAATTTGATTTAATTATTTTTTTAATTTTAATATATTTATTAATCCATTTATTATTCTTTTATTATTTATCTATTTTCAAAACCCGACATTTCTTTCTACAATTTTTTTTCTTCTTTTCTCTCTTGTTTATCTAAAAGATTAAAACAGGAAATATTAATGTTATATTTTATTAATTTACTAAATACTGTTGCCCATAATTTAACGATTGTATTAAGTAAACTTTTTTGTTTTCAGAATGCGTAGATGGAACCTATGGCATTAACTGTAATAAGACATGTGGAAGGAACTGTAAATGGACAGGAAAATGTAACAGAACAGACGGTGTCTGTAACGGTGGCTGTCAAATTGGTTGGAATGGATCCCATTGCAATCAAGGTTAGCTCTTTTCATATATATAAATAAAAAGAAACGGATTACCTTATAAAGGACAATCAAATCAGGAAATATTAAACGCAGGCTACCTTTATACCTTTGCATATGTCTGATTTTACAGAGCAGTGTACATCCATTCCCGGTAAATCCATGCAATTTGAACCCAAACTTACTTGCTTAGTTTCTTGATTCCTTGGCAAAAGAGTTGATCTCTTCATATGGTATTTTAATTGTTGTTTATTTCAGACTACTTCTCATTACAAAATAATTTATTTGATAATAAAAGGCGATTGCCCAAAGATGATATTGTTCTTGACATTTGCTATCGTAAATAATGTTAAAGTTGTCTCTCTTTATTTTTTAATTGCTTATTTAAAACTTCTTTTCAATCAAAAAATATTTATCTGAAAAAAGTAGATTTCCCTAAGAAGAAATGCTGGCGTTCAATTTCTTTAGATAGCATAAATGATGAATAGAATACCGTTCGATATAAAGGCAATCACATGCACCATTTTTTTTTTTTATTAAATGCCGACAACGAATTTATGACGGACTTAAAAGTAAGGAAAAATTATATATATATTAATATTTTTAATCCTCTGGGGCGACTTCTCCCTTTGTTCCCTGTACAGGTATAAAGACTCTCGCTTAAACAAACTAAAATTCGAGGTATCATCGACTTCACTTTTTACTTACCTTTACTGTATGTCAATGACATGGTATCAACTTCCAAAAAAAAAATCATTCATACGTTAATTTGATAAATCCCACTGAACTCGACATAAAAGACACCATAGAGCCTGACATGTCTGTTTTATATTTGTTATATTTTAGATAGATAGATACTGATGGCAGACTGACAAGTAAACCTTATGATAATTGTGATGTTCTCAACTTCTCTTTCGTCAACTCTCAAAATACCCAGATCATTATTTGTACAATTTGCTCTTTTTTAAATATAAGATTGATCAGAATCAGAAAAGCAACGAATAAAATAGTCACTATTATTTTACATTGTGTAGACCTAAATTGGCCTTCGAGAATAATTCAATAATCCAGAAGTGAAAAAAGAATTAGGTAGATTACATGATCAGTACGCACTGGTCCCTGCTGACAAAGCAGGTTACAACATTGTCTTTGTTTGCAAGGCTCATTATATTAAATGTATTTTAGAGGAACTTGTATTTAATTCTGCAAGTGGTAATCCATCTTATACTCATAGTTCCCTTTCTAAGGAAGAAATTCTTCAAAATCATATGTCAGTTTTGAATATTTTTAATATTCCAAACAACCAAAATGAATTTGAATTACCATATTTATATTGGATTCCGAAACTTCATAAAAATCCTTACAAACAAAGATACATAGCGGGTTCCAGTAAATGTTCAACCAAGCCTCTTTCTTTACTCCTCACTACGATATTAACAGTAGTGAAGGAGAAACTTCAAGAGTACTGTGCAGCAATATATTCGAGAAGTGGTGTAAATCAGATGTGGATACTTAAAAATTCCAAGGCACTTTTGGAAAATTTGAAATCACAGGATTTTACCAAAATCAACAGCTTAAAAACTTACGACTTTTCAACTTTATACACAACCATTCCCCACGATAAATTAAAGTCCAGACTTTTTGATATCATTGACAGCTGCTTTTTCAATAAAAATGGAACTCGTAAATTTACTTACCTTGTCATTGGTCATTTGCAAAACTATTTTGTTAAAAAAACATTCTGATTGTACGCACAAGTACTCTGAAGTTGACATTAAAAAGATGCTTGAGTTTCTAATTGACAATATCTATGTGGTTTTTGGAGACCAGGTCTTCCAACAATCTATTGGAATTCCCATGGGTACCAATTGCGCCCCGTTATTAGCAGACCTTTTTTGTATTCATATGAAGCAGAATTTGTCCAAAATCTTGTACCTGAAAAGAAGAAAACACTTGATGTGGCGTTCAACTCGACATTTAGATATATCGACGACGTATTGTCAATTAACAATGGCTATTTCCATTCTTACGTCGATACGATATATCCTTGTGAACTTGAGATAAAAGATACCATAGAGTCTGACACATCTGTTTCATATTTGGATATTTTACTTGAAAAAGACGTTAATGGTAATCTAACAACCAGGCTTTATGATAAACGTGATGACTTTAACTTTTCAATCCTCAACTTACCTTACTTATGCAGCAATATACCTTCATCACCTGAATATGGGGTATATATCTCTTAGTTGATTCGATACGCAAGAGCATGCTGTACGTATGTACAATTTCTAAAACGAGGTAAATTATTGACAAATAAGTTGATGAAACAAGAATATCAGCTGTCTCGTTTAAAGTCATCATTCCGTAAGTTCTATGGTCGACACAATAACCTTGTCAGCAAATACAATTTATCATTGAGTCAAATGCTCACTGACGGTTTTCATACAAATTGTTAGGCCATTATTTACACACTGAATTGTCGACGGATTTTTCCGTTATTTCTCGATCATGACAAGGAGCACATCGCGGGTGTGACCGGTCGGCAGGGGATGCTCACTCCTCCATGGCACCTGATCCCACTTCTGATGTTTGGAGGCCCGTGTTTGCTCTGTTCCTATTTTGTATTGTTTGATGGACTTTTGAGCCTGAATACTGTTCGTTATCTTCATATATTTCACTTAGAGAACTACTCCACTACGACGTCATTATGTGACGTCAATATTTAGAAAATAAGCCTCAATAGAAAGTGAGATGTTCTAACTACCCTGGGGTTTTTCAATTATGTTTGTAAAAATAATTATGTAAAATATATTTTTGGGTCATGAAAAGTGCTGGTAGAATCCTATCCCCCCCCCCCCCTTTCCATCACAGAAATAATTAATCCACACTTTTTGCCAAAAAGTTACAAAATTTGCAATTTGTACATATTAGGGCTTGGCAATTATACCGATATCATGGTGTATTGCGGTATGTTGACAGAAAATATTGTATTGCAATATGTTTTTGGTAATACCGATATACCGGTGAAATGTTTGGACTCAGGAATTCCATAATATAAAGAAAAGTTGTCAGAAAAGTTTGTTATCATGCCAAATAGTAAGACAAAAGCTGTTATATTGGTGTATTTACATGTAGTTGCATAACTGTTAGTCATTTAACAAGATTTCTTTTATTGGTTATTTATCATTGTTATGTATATTCTACTTGTAGTTTAAATAATAAGAAAATACCCTTTAAATTTTTGTTGAATTTATTGCAATACATACCGCAATATATTTCAAAATATTGCAATATATTGCAATATGACATCCCTAGTCAAAACCCAGCTCTAGTACATACCATAGAAGAATTTTTGTCAGTTAATGTTAACAACAAGATTCTAGCAGGACTTTTCAAGTACTATATATCACAAGTTCTATGTATGCGGAGTAGTGTTGAACATTTGCATCGTTATCGTTAAGATCGACAAAGAAATGGATATTCGACATTTAAAAAACGCTGCCTGACTTCATTATGAGAAAAAGAAAATATGAACGAAAAAAAAATCAGTATTCCTGACTCGCAAACTTTTATTTCTCATGATTCACACGATAATCCCTATATATGCCTTTCAACTCTCATTTTGTATATTTGTTTACATTGATTCTCAATCCATTTCATTTTCACGGCAAATATTTGACCAACAATTATGATATCAGTGTTATATAATTACCTGTCCTTATGTAGGATTCTAGCTGATTTTTTTTTAATACAAAAATTCTTTGCAAATATATTCATACTGAATTAACTAATGATTACAACTTTTACCTCATTAAGACAAAGGGGTAACGCCGATTGTGACCCGCTGTCTTGAAGAGGATTACTCCTACATGGAAACTGATCCAACGTCTATTATTTTTAAAGGTCCATGCTTTGTTTGCTAACGATGTGCATTGTTATCTTTGACTTCTGAACATGATTTTTGTTTGCTTCTTACGTATTTCATTCTTAGTATGAAAATAAAGTATCTATTTCAGAATAGGGCTATCGTATGACATAGGATTATAATTCCCATCTTGGTGAGCTGTGCCCTTCATAATGAGACCTGCATGTAGGGTTTCATATTTATGTATGGATAGTTATTTTTTTAGTAAATATTTTTAGCGATAACTGGGGGAAAATCCATCTAAAATGAAGAAGATAAATAATTTAACTAAGGCTTAAAATTATTCGAAAGGAAAATTTTGCATAAAGAATAAAATATTCAATATCATAAATAAATGTCAACCATACATAAAAATATATTAAAAGCTAAATATCAAAATAACGTTTAAAAAAGATAGAAATTTATCAGGAAGCAAAAACTAGAATCCATATTAGAAAAAAAAAATCTAATTGTTATCGTACGATGCAGACATCCGTCCAATCAAGGAAGAAAATCATATCAAGAAGGGAAAAAGGCAAAAAAATTATATAATGTAAATAAAGTAAAACTGTTTTTAGAGGAGGAAAAATAGAATATATGCATTATTCCTTAAGGAATATTTATTGAATCTCCTGATAATCATTAACATTTAAATTTACAAATCCCTTTAATAAAATTTATATTCTAATAGATTTTTTGAAATCCTCCTCTTATAATGTAGTTTCAGGTTTGTTAGAATCATAACCCCGAGGGGAAGGGGAGGGCCACATTTGACGATCAAATTTATACGAAATAATCTTTAAATTCTTCTCAAGAACAGCAAAGACATGATAAGTAGCATTGATATGAAAAGAATCTCAGGAAGTGTAGATTTAAGCTTCGTTCAAACAAAACTCCCTGTGAATAGGATGGGGCCACAATACATGATGAAGATGTTGAAATATATAGGGAATAAATCTGCTGATGAAGAACAGCAGGGCAATAATAACTCTGCTAAGCGTTGTGATCCATGGGGCTCTTATTAAATCTCTAGTGAAGAAACATTATAATACAATACTCAACACAACTGCTGTCATTGACTTTTGAACCAGGTTTTGCTTAAATTCTAAATCAATGACACAAACAAAAATGTATTATCCATATCCTTGATCAGAATTAGTTGATCCGCAGAAAAAGAAAAAAAGAGATTAACTAAAGCCTGTAGATTTACTGTGACCTTTACTCAAAACTCTTTGTCAGATCGATAACTTTGTACAAGAAAAAAACATCAGATACTTATGAATATATTTAAGAAAATTGCGTGTGGCCAGAGGACATTCCAAGATATCCTTCTAATGGCACTCTTATAAGTTCAAATTCAATGGTAAAGAAATTATTTCACTATTCGTTTTTCCGAAACTTTCTATTACAACAACCAATATATATCGTGAGTTGACTTGAGGTATGATATGATTTTTCTTCAAAGTAATTTTACAAGGTTCAAAGCTGCTGACAGAAAAAAATGTAAAATTATGTTCTAGGCCTTTTTGGAAACGACAGACATCGGAAGAAAACAAATGTGCCTGAAGTTCATTAATTGATTACCATATATATTGCCATCTTTTAATCAAAGAAGTTGAAAATAAAACATTTTACTTTAAAAAAAATATTTTTTTCTTCATTTCATTACACACTATTTAAAAGGAGTAGTATTACTGAGTTTTTCTTTCAGCACAAGAAATAAAATAGTAAAGATAAAGAAGGGGTAAAACATTGAAATTACACATCTGGTAACACCCCCCCCCTTCCAATCACACACACACACACACACACACACACACACACACACACCCTCACGCATTCTATCCAGCTCGTTGTGCTTTTCCTTCAGTGCTCGAGGATATAAAATGCACAAGGCTGGATGCAACTCATAATCAGTTATGAATAATGAGAAATTCCACATTTGTTCATTATTTAACAAGCTTACCTTTGCACAGATTTTAAGTGTTGTGACGTTATTTTCTGTTTTAAGTATGTGATAGTGGCTTTTTCGGAGAAAACTGTAATACTTCCTGTGGGCATTGCAAAGGACCAGAGCGGTGTCATCACGTTACCGGAACATGTTCAAATGGGTGTGAAGAAGGATATAGAGGAGAAAATTGCAAAAAAGGTAAAAAAAAAAAGTTAAAATATGATTAATTTGAAAGAAAGAAAAAAAAAAGAAAACGTTTTCATTTTGGCGTATTATTTTTTGTTTCTACAAAATATGAATTATAAATGTAATCAATATCTATGATTAAGTATCTCAAAAAGAGATTTATTTTATATTTAGAATGCAAATATGGATATTTCGGGGAAAACTGTAATAGAAGTTGCGGACATTGTTTTAACGGTGAACGTTGTCACCACATCAAAGGCACATGTTTGAGTGGCTGTGCAGCAGGATATGATGGGACTTTTTGCACTGAAGGTATTCATTGATAATACAGAAACAATTCACAAACAGGAGAAAAACAAGCTAGAGAAACAAAGCAAATTTTGTTTTTTCGAATAAATCCCTTTTTTAATTAATTTACATGTTTTTTATTGTCATAGAGTTGAATATTGGCTAGAATATCCAGAGGTTTTCGACCTATTTTATTTAATGAAGATCATGACTTTTATTTTCAAATGTAAAATAGATTTTCAAACTTTGCCATGAGTGTTCTGAAAGCTTTAAGATAAGCACTTTTGTTTTCATGTCATATTACTTTTTTTATATATGTGACCATTTTTTTAAAATCTTAAACAAATTCACTTCGACGAAATCATATTTATTTGTTTTTTAATCTTTTAAGAAATGCTATGTAAACATTTTCTTTTTTGCGGCACGCATTTTCACAAATTTTAATGAAATGTCCAAAAAATAAATATATAGCTTTTGTAAGGAAGATCTTGATAACACGTGCATGCACGTGTGCTGCAATTTGTTTGTCTGAATCTTCATACAGCTATAACTTCCTTGGTTTTAAACAACCAGGATAGAATTTAAATTATGGAGAGGCATATTGGGCTCTTACATTATGATACTTTCAAAAGTGAAAACAAGGGCATGCAAAGCACGTGTGCATAATTTTAATTGGCTTATAATTTAATCGTTATATTTCTCTTATTTTTCAATAAAATTCTTACATATTCAACAGAAAGGTATATATTGTGAGACACTATAAGAAAATGTTTGAGGAAAATCGAAAAAAAAAAAAAAAAAAAAAAACTTTTGCTGTAAAATGCTTGACTCTGTTAAGAATACAGTTATTATTAGTACCAAGAAGGAATATTCAATTTTGTCTATTTAATAGAAGTAGTACTACCTATGTGGTAACTTCGTACATTGAGTTATCCATTGCGTTGTAACAAGAAATAAAACAAAAACAGGTTAGTTTTTACAAATATCAATAACAAAATTTGTTTCCCTTACAAAACTTTTATAACATCACTCTATTTATGGATGTAAATTCTTGTAATTTCAACAACACCATTGCCTATAGAAATTGTTACTAATTTATATAGACATATACTCTGTAAAAATATAGAAACAGATAAAACATTACTTTGTGAAATTGTCACAGTCACGTTTCTGTATAACTGAAAGAGATAAAAATGTGACTCTGAATACAGTTAAAAGTTTTGTTTTTCAGATTTAAGTGCACGTTTCCATTGTAACTTTGACATGTAGCAACCGACTGTTTTCAAATTATATCCAAAAGGATAGTGCATTACTTCTAAATGCAAAATTTCAAGGTTTTTTTTCTGAAATTATTTTCCTCTCATTGAAAATCAGTTTCATTCTAAAGTGCAATTTATATAATAGGAGATTTGCAATGAAATTTCCATTTTCACATATTCGTCTTACAAATTCTCTAAAAATACTTCTTACAAATAACCTTTAACCTGAAAAAACTGAGAAAAGGAAATGTTGTTACTTATTTTTTTTAAAAAGATTTCAAGTCATTCAGAGAAAAAGAAGAAAAAGATGTAGTTACCCTAGTGATATTATACTAAAACTTTCTCAAGCTATAGAAAATATCTTAGGCATAAGAATTTTAAAACAAGAAATAAACAGAATCACAGATAGAGTATAATATCCACCCATATACATGTAACCTTAGGTTTACTGTCTTGTGTTACTTTCATTTATTGCGTGACTTTCTTTTTTTTCTGTTACGATGTGTTTCTGTAACACATTGGTAAATGTTAGAATCAATTCCCCCAAAATAATACCCTTAAATGTGTGTGTTTGTATGTGTGTGTGTGTGTGTAAATATATGAACGTTTTGTTGAGATGCTAAACTATTAGGACTTCTATTCTTATACAGCATGCTTAAAAGAAACCTATGGTATAAACTGTACGCAGCTCTGTTAAGGCTGCATAAAGTGGGCGGGGCCTAAATTATACGGGAAATGCTTACTGTGACATCACACAAAAATACCAATTCCTCACAATAACAGAAAATGAAATAATTTGCGATTTTAAACTGCATTTGAGTAATGAACTACATCAAAACTTACCACTGCATTCATTTTTATCTCTAGTTAAATCCCACACACCAAGATATAAACAAGTCACTATTCGCAATGCACTTGTGGACATGACGTCATCATGGTAAAATTTGACGCATTTTATGTGTAGTGAGAGGCGGATCAAGTAATTTTTTCACAGTGAAAAATGCATTTTATTATTAAAGAGAATATTATTTGCAAATGTTAGTTAGACCATCAATACAAATCTGAAACCTTTGTTTAGTGCCATCATTTAAAAACTATCGAGAGAATGTACTGAATTAGTTCTACCGTGTTTTTTGTACAGGGTTTGCATGTTTCACGCTGATGTGCCTCATCAAATCGCGTTTTCGCAAGGGCATACAGTTTATATATCTTGACCATTTTTTAGATATACATTACGGAAACATTCCTTAACTTGAAAAGTGCTGCTGCTTTCCTGAAATCGAGAGCATAACTTAATAAATACATAATGTACTTGGTAAAGGTCACACATATTTCGACTAGAGATAAATAACTTGAAATTTAAACTGATAAAATGCGATTTCTATTTAAATCAGCAGCACTTTCTATAAACTACAAGAAATGTAGAAACAATTTATTGCTTAAATTTTTAATTTGAACTAGGGTATGCCCTTGCGATATTGAAATTTGTTCATGACCTACATACAGTACACATTACATACCTTTATCACCTGACTGTCAAATAACATGACCAAACCAAATTCAATACAGAGCAGGGTATACAATGTCATTTCAATTAATATCAAATTCATGTGATGATCTAGAAGCTTTACAAAAATAAATTTGGTTTAAAAAGGTATGTATTTATGCACGTTCATATTCCCTTGATTTCCTCGTAGTACGCCTTAACATTGCTTCGTAATGAAAAATGCAGCATGAACTGTATATCATCTTACCACTGTAATGGAACAATATGTGCCTGTGAAAATGGTTGTCGTGTTGGTTGGAAAGGGCTTCATTGCAATCAAAGTAAAACCACTTCCAGATGTTAAAGTATTTTCGAGTTTTGATAAACAATTTCATACCTAGAAAATAAGCCCGGAACTTCTACATATACGTTAATATTGCACCACGTGTCAAAAATTGAAGAGTATTTATTTATCAGTATATGTATTTCTTTACCTGTTTATATAGAGGAATTAGGGAATGTGATGATAATAATAATAATAATGATGATGATGACGATGATGATGATGATGATGATGATGATAATCATGTTTATGTTGTTAAATGAAATATTGTTTTGGATTTTAAGAATGCGATGGCAGATTTTTCGGAGAGAAATGTGCTACATCATGCGGAAATTGTATCAACGCAGAGCAGTGCCATCACATTAATGGGACTTGTATTAATGGTTGTGGAGAAGGATATCAAGGAGAAAACTGCACAGAAGGTATTAAAGATTAAGAAAGATACTTTTTAACGATTTTAGGGAGGGGTGCAATGTATACCATGCCATTTTAAAAATTAACAATAAAAAAAGTCTAAATAATATAATGTAATGTATGTCACGAAAAGGTCCTCATTATGGAGTGAAGCATTGATGCTCTTGTAAGACTAGACATAATATCAGTCAATTATGCATGATTTACATAAAGGCAGGGAAAATCCGTAAAACACAGATTTTTTTAAGTTTCTGAAACCTGCTATTACGTAAACCTAATACTTTCAAGAGTTGAAGAAAAAAATTGCACGTGTCAGACGAAATTCCCTTTTTTGTCAATTTGCCAAATTTTCCATCAAGATGTCGCTTTAATGTAGGAAAAATGCAATTTATAAACTGTAATTAAAATAATGGAAGCATACTTTTAAATACAGTTCTTAAGGAAGGTGCAGTTATAACTTTATATTACATCAATTTGTTTTAGTCTGCAGCAGGGGATATCATGGTTATAACTGCACGGAGAAATGTGATTCTTTGTGCGTAAAAGGACATTGTAACCCACAGAACGGATCTTGTGTTTTAGTAAGTTTTGTTTGTTTGTTTGTTTGTTTGATTTTTTGTTTGTTTTGTTTTTTTTTTATATAATTTTCTTAGATGCGCAAAAATTATCCTTGTAACCTTAAAAAAGGAAATGCTGTTTTGTACATATCAGAGCAAAGCAATGTAAAAAACAAAATCAAAACTTTTTAAGAGATGTTGACTTTTATCAGATGAATCAACGTTGTAGTTTTTGGAGATCGAGTCCTCAAACAATCTGTAGGAATTCTCATAATAACTTATTGCGCCCCGTTCTTAGCAAACAGATCTTGTATTCATATGAATCAGAATCTAATCAAAACATTTACATAAAAAGAAGAATATCTTGCTGTGAACTTCAAATCTACATCAACATTAAATCGATGATATATCGACGACATTTTATCAAATAACAACATTCTTTCATTCCTATGTGGATTCGATATATCCCTTTGAACAAAGAAATAAGAGACACAACAGAATCGGACACATTCGTGTCATATTTTACAAGAAAAAGATATTAATCGCAAACTAACAACAATACTTTTTTTGAACGTGGTGACTTTTTCTATTGTCAACTTTCATCATTTATGTAGCAATATACCAATATCACCTGCATATGGATTTTTTTTTCCCTCCCAGTTGATTAGGAAGAGCCCGCTCCACATACAAAAAAATGTATAACTAGGCAAGCTATACGTTAAGTATACAAGGATATCAACAATTCCGCTTTAAGTCAACATTTTCATTTTCTATGGTCAATAATTTGACCTTGTTAGGAAATACAATTTATCGTTAAGTAGAATGGTGACTGATGATTTTTTTTTTTATATACAAATTGTTAGGCCATTATTTTCACATTGAATTTTCCAGTTTGTCCGATCATGACAAGGGGGGAAGGGCGTGTGTGACCGGTCTACAGGGGATGCTCTATGACACCTGATCCCATCTCTGATAATTTTAGAGGCCAGTGTTGCTTTGCTCCAAATTTGTATTATTCCAATGGATTTTTGACCTTGACTACTGTTTTGTTTTCTTCATATGTAATGCAATTTCCCTTTTTTTTTTATTATGCATATTTTTTACCGTCAATCAACATTAATGCCTGAGCAAATTGGCTTAAGCGTCTTTGATTTTTTTTTTGAAGACAGTATTTCCTAAGTAGTTTTTATTTGCATATTTATAAAATTATAATGGTTTGCTGAACACAGATTTCAGTAGCCTTAAAGAAGAATATTGAGTTTAGTATAATAAAAATGCTTACGTGATTTAATTAAATCATTTACATTAAATAAAAACGCTAAATTGATTTTTTGTTTAATTTATTAAATATTCTAAAAAAAAAAAAAAAAAAAAAAAAAAAAGAAAGCTGTTTTCAGGATATTTGTTAACAGATGTCAAGGTATAGTTCAGAGAGAGAAAATTCTCCAGGGTCCGTAGTCGTAGTTGGGGCTGTTCTTGGTGTCGTTGTTGTACTGGTAGCTGCAGTCGTGTTAATTTTAGTTCTAAGAAGGTAATCTCTCTCTCTCTCTCTCTCTCTCTCTCTCTCTCTCTGTGTATGTGTGTGTGTTTTGTTTGAAGTGCATTTCATATGTATCCGCGTTCAAAATTACGCTTACAAACTTAAAAAGAAAACATGCAAGGAATCAACTTTGATGAAGGTTTTTTTTTTAAGGTATTGTATGGAAAAAAAAGTTTCAAATGCCTGACAATTTTCTGCATTTTCAGTCTTTGTAAAAACATTCACACATTGGGATTATAAACTTCCATCATGTATGACTATATTGTATAGGGTTTTGAGCTCATGAATAATGCATAACTGTCTATGATCTTATACAACTTAAGTCTCTTCTCATACATGGCATCCATATTTCTCGTTAGATACAGAAAACCTACAGAAGACATGAAAAACTCGATTCTTTTGCAAGGTAAAATTTTGATTTTCGTTTTCAATAGATCACATACCATGTTACATATGATGAAAAATTGAACAGAACCTTGAAATTAATTTGTTTAATTTATAATATTAAATGACCAATGTTAAAAATGTTAGATTCCCTTATTGTAAATATATGTTCATGTAGCTTATATTGGAAAAAAAAATAAATGTAGATTAATATTTATATTGCATAAAAGTCTACAGCTTATAACGTAAAATTTTAGATACCCCCAATGGTTATAAAAATAGAAGTATGTATGCAAGCGCAAAAGCAGCACTTACATCAACGAACAAAGAACATAAAATAAATGATCCAAATGATAAGTTGAACACAAATGCCTTAATGAATGATGGAAGAGAAGTAGAATGGGACGGTGGTGTAACTGATAATTTGTATATGAACCAGCCAAATCAATCTGCTATACCAGTGAATCAACTCGGTGCAGCTATTGCAAAAAAGAGGAAGAATGAAAATGAAGGGTTTCGAAAAGAATATGCAGTGAGTTCATTTTTTTTCTTTTTTTTAATTTCAAAGATTTTCAACGATGTACATGTAGATTTTTGCTTTTATAGCTAGCAATTTTTATCTGTCTTCATTGATTCCTCCTTATTAGTATTTCATATTTATAAAATATATGTATAGATATACCTCTATTGAATAAGATTTCAAATCGTCATAGTTTTAAACCAACCCAAAGTCAGATTTTTATCATTCGAAAAGCAAGGTTTTAGGAACTTTACTCATCCTACTTCAATACAGAGGACATAGATTTAAAGAAAAAAAAAGAGAATATTGATTGAATGAGTGTATATTGTTTTACGTACCGTTCAAGAATTTTTTATTCATATAAAGACGTCAACGTAGGCCGGTGAAAGGCATTTAGACCTATAATCTGCACTCAGGGTCTTTGAGCAGAGAGGGTTCTTTATCGTGCCAATGCCTATCGTGACCGTTGATTTTCAAGGTCTCATCCGAGAGACCCGAGACTTTCACTTCTAGAGCCTGGCGCTTTGGAAAGGAACAGTCACTACCTATGTTTACGTCTTAGGTTTGACTCGGCGCGGCGAACGAGAATCGAACCCAGGCCTCCCGATCACGAAGCCAGCGTACTACGAATGGGCTACCGTGATCGGTTACAGAAAATAAAAAAAATATGAGTTTTAATTCTTATAAGCCTTATTGTGGTGCAGGTTAAGAAAAAAAAATAAACTATCAGCTTCAGCATTAACATACCCTGGACTTCGTCCTTATCCACTCTTGTTGCTTAAATGTTTTATGCTTCAAGATAAAAACCAGGATTGATTTTAATTCCAGACGTTACCCTCAGGCGAAGTGCATAAATGCGATGCAGGAAAATTAAAAGAAAATGTTCCAAAGAACAGATTCAAGACGACATTTCCATGTAAGTTTTAATTAACATATTAAATATTTTTCCATCTGTTGTACTGCTTAAAATTTAATGGCAAAATCTCGTTTTTGGTATTTGAATTATTATTATTTATTTTTGTTTGAATTATTATTATTTCTTTTTGTTTGAATTATTATTATTTCTTTATTTCCTTTTGTTTGAATTATTGTTATATCTTTTTTGTTCTCTCTTCGTATCTTTGCACTTTAAGGTATTGCAAAATAAAATAATACATGTAAATCATAAATGTTGATATATATTAAAGTTTTGAACACTTTTACTAAGGGAGTAGGTTCCTCATCATTTTCAATATTTTAAATATGTGACAAAAGTTAAAACGATATGAACGTTCAATAATTTTTTGTCACTAAATGTCATTTTATCAACTTTGGATTCTTCAAATCAAATTTTGTTTCTTCCTGTAGATGATCATTCTCGAGTAATACTTAGATCACATGGTAAATATGCAGATTACATCAATGCAAATTACATTGACGTAAGTAGCAAAGCATATTGAGTGAGTCGTACTTGGTGCTTGTTGCATTTTACAGAACAAAAAAATTAGCAGCGAATTAGCAATTAATAATTGTAGACAAATGCAAGCATCGTAAATGATTAGCAAAATTTTTGCTTTTACCATGACATGTCGGTAAGTGTCAGAGGGTTTATATAGATTGGGTACAAAATGAACTATTGGTTTTATAGTAATAGCCTTCCATATTTTGAAATATAAAGGAAATGTACATGTATATTATTTGTAATAATAATTATTGATTGATTACTCATTTAAAACAGTGAAGACAATTATTTCTTTTTTATACTGAGAGAGAGAGAGAGAGAGAGAGAGAGAGAGAGAGAGAGGGCGAAAGAAAATGTAATCTGCTTGCATATATAGATTTTCTTATTTCTATCCCAGGGGCCTTCTCGGAAAAATGAATATATTGCTGCTCAAGGTATTACATCCTTTTTTTATAAGTAAAAAGGTTATATAAAAATCAAATCTTTGCAGAAAAAAAAGAATGCATAGATGACTTAAAGTCAAGTCATATGATCCCTTGAATTCTTCCGTTTTTTCTAGCAATTCTTTATTCAAATTTTATTTTAAAATGAAATGTTTATACAGACACCTTGTATTTCAATCAATAATATAATAAAAATTTAGGTGCGCTAGTTTTGATTTTGAGTCGTATAAAATAAATTAAAAAAAAAAAAAACAAAACAAAAAAAACAACCAGAGAAAACAAATGCCTTTATTTACTGAAGGACCAAAAGAAAATACATTGGAAGATTTCTGGTCAATGATCTGGCAAGAGAATATATCCACTATCGTCATGCTGACTAACCTCAGAGAAGGAGAAAAGGTAAGGGATTTTGCCATTTATTTATTTTTTATCGATTTATTTATTTGTTTTGTTTCCTAAAGCAAAATGAAAACTACATAACCCTTAATTATTATACAATTAATTACCCCTTATGAGGTCAACATGGTGAAATAAGGACCCGAGACCTGGCCCACGAGGTGACCTGACCTGACCGAGGCCGGGTAGCGGCCGAGGTCGGGTCAGGTCAGCGAGTGGGCCAGGTCGAGGGTCCTAATTTCACCATGTTGAACTGATAAGGGGTAATCAATTGTTTAATTATACTGATATAAGTTAAGACAATTTTTGTAGGCTTAATTACTAAAATAATCAATTGTGTAATAGACTTACGAACTGTTATCAGTGTTTCATCGGGATCGGGATTCGCTAGCGAAGTTGTTTACTTTTTGCCTGCAAGTCTTGTAAGTTTTTGCACCGCCTATTTATTAAAACACTCTGTGATTGTCAGTAATATGCATTTTTATAAATTCACAAATACCATTTCCGAGTACAATGACAATCTGGTGCAGACTTTTACTGTACAAAAGAGCCAAGACTTAGTCTGAATTCGTTGAATTTGACATCGTAACGAAAGTTTCAATGTAAACGATAAATTTCATGACACATCTGAAGGACAATCGTATTCTGTATCATAGAAAGACTATACATATTTTTATAACGGCATTTTTGTAATGAACAGTCATTACTGTGTGCATTAACTTTTAAATTTGAATGGAATTTGGATTAACAGGTTATTTTTAGCGGTCATTATTTATAATGACCGGGTCATTATACCCCACGTGCAACGATTCCAAGGTCATTATTGCTGTAAATGGTACTTTTGGAGTCATTATTGAGTTTAAAAGCCTTCTAACAAGCCAATCAAATTTGAGTATTCTTAAAAGAGGTATAATAATATTTTCTAATCTTGATTAATTTGATGCTGTAGTCATCTCAGTTGACAGAAGAAATATGTGTTTACAATTGCTAAAAAAATGGGTTAAATGTTCAAATTCTGTAATACCTTTTATCCGATATAGCAATGGTTATTTTCTTTTTATTCTCACGATCAAAGTATCATATATGCTTGCCTGAAAGGAAAAGATAGTTCGGTATGGAATTTATTTCTCAGTGGGAATGATTTTATTACTTTTTTCACGAGTTGGAAGGTCGAATGAAACTTTCAAAAAAAAAGATAAACAAATAAATATATATATAATAAGACTACGATCAATTTTAGTCGCTATCTCTTGATCTGAATTGGGTGATTTTTTTTTACATTCCTCAAGAATGGAGGAGAGGTTATTTATTACTTTCACCATGAAGTTGACTTTTTAGCTCACCTGAGCTGAAAGCTCAAGTGAGCTTTTCTGATTACATTTTGTCCGGCGTCCTCTGTCTGTCCGTCTGCCTGTCTGTAAAGTTTTCACATTTTCGACTTCTTCTCAAGAACCACTGGGCCAATTTCAACCGAACTTGCCACAAAGTATCCCTGGGTTAAGAGGATTCAAGTTTCTTCAAATGTAGGGTCACGCCCTTTTTCAAGGGGAGATAATTAGGAATTAGTGAAAAAATAACGGCATCATTTAAAAATCTTCTTCTCAAGAACCATAGGGCCAGGAAAGATAAAACTCATGTGGAAGCATCCTCAGGTAGTGTAGATTTAAGTTTGCTCAAATCATGACCCCCGGGGATAGGGCGGGGCCACAATGGAGGATCAAAATTTTACATAGAAATATATAGGGAAAAAAATCTTTAAAAATCTTCTCAAGAACAGCAAAGCCATGACAAGTCATATTTATATGGAAGCATCCTCAGGTACTGTAGACTCTAGTCTGTTCAGATCATGACCCCTGGAGGTAGGGCGGGGCCGAAATGGACTATCAAAGTTTTCCATAGAAATATAGAGGAAAAATCTTCTTCACAGGAACAGCAAAGCCCAGATTGGTCATATTTATATGGAAGTATCCTCAGGTAGTGTAGATTCAAATCTATTTAAATCATGACCCCCGTGAGTAGGGTGGGGCCACAATGGAGGATCAAAGTTTTACATAGAAAATGTATAAGAAAAATTTTAAAAATCTTCCTCTCAGGAACAGCAAAGCCCTGATTGAGCATATTTATGTGGAAGCATCCTCAGGTAGTGTAGATTCAAGTTTGTTCAAATCATGACCCCCGTGGGTAGGGTGTGGCCACAATGGAGGATCAAAGTCTTAAATAGAAATATAGAGGAAAATATCTTCTTCTGAAGAACTGCAAACCATGATTAGTCATTTTGATATGGAAGCGTCCTCAGGTAGTGTAGATTCAATTTTGTTCAAATGATGACCCCCAGGGGTAGGGTGGGGCCCAAATGAGGGATCGAAAGTTTTACATAAGAACATATAGAAAAATATTTCTTCTCAAGAACAGAAAAGCTATGTTTAGTCATATTGATATGGATGCATCCTCAGGTTTGTTCAAATGATGACCCCCGGGATAGGGAAGAGCCACAATGGGGGATCAAATTTTTACAAAGGAATATATGGGGAAATTTTTTGAAAATCGTCTCAAGTGCAACAAAGCCATTTGTTATATTGACATGGAAGCATCATCAGGTAGTTTAAAATTCCCCCCCTCCCCTCCGGTAATCTTGTCAATACTGAAATGATTTGTGCTTTTGCCTAGCCAATGTGCTCAGGTGAGCGATGTGGCCCATGGGCCTCCTGTTTTTTCTTTTTTGTTTTAGAGTGAAAGTAATCATTCTACGAAAAAATGGATTGTATTGTGTGGATAAATTGCAAAATTTCACCCTTGAGAATGTATTAAGTTAACATATTGTTTATAATTATATGTAATATATTGTAGATTAAGTGTACACAATACTGGCCGGACAGTGGCAAAAACATAACATATGGCGTTGTCTCGGTCAAATGGATGGAAGAAAGGGAATATGGATTCTATATAATTCGGAAATTTAAAGTCATGAACAAGGAGGTTGTGGAGAGTATTTACTTTAAATACTGTCAATTTCTCTTCTTTTTTTTTTAATTTTTATTCAAAAACGTCTTTTCTTATGAACCCTTTGGCAAAGAAAGTGCTATTTTGAAAACAAAATATAAGAGCTTTTTTGATTTTTAGTTTTAAATATTAGATTAGTTCCTTATTCCTTATACTGTAGAAGCCCAAATTCTCCTGGGGATCAAATTTCTTTGATTTGACATCTAAAAAGGTTCATGGGCATTAAAGTTTGCTGTTTCGAAGGCAACCCTATTCTATATAAAATCATATAATAAAAATGTCATGGGAGATTTAATTTCGTTTATAATTGTTTACAACGTGATAAATGTTATTTAATCCCCAACGAATATTTCTGCTTTTACAGTTTATCTTTTTATATATATTTATGCATTTCTTTATTTTTATTTATTAATGTATTCATTTTTTTTTCAAAATAAATCATCATAAGTATACCTTTACATTGTAAATATTCATTTGAAAAGTGTTTAATACTAACATATTATAACTTTCATCACACGACAGATGAATGAGTCACGTATTTTGACACAGTATCACTACACAGCCTGGCCAGATCACGGAACACCAGAACCACTGTGTTTACTCATCTTCCATAATCACGTTATCAGATCAAAAGCAAATTCAAACAACGCACCTACGGTTGTTCATTGCAGGTACAATAATTATACCTTCCTTTAATTAAAAGCGGTTATTTTCTTTATTTATTTGACTATTTTCTCTCTAGGTCTATTTCTTGTCTTATTTGGCATGCTATTAAGAATTCACAATTTTATCTGGACAATTTATGTTCAAATCTAACCTACTAAAAACTTCGCCATGCTTGCTATAGGTCTTGGTATTATAGCAGTACCATTTTACATGTATAAACTGTTAATGTTGATGAACTATTGCTGTTATAAGCGCGGGGGTTGGTAGAACGGGCACATATATAGCATTGGACACACTTCATCAGTTAGGAAGAAATACCGGAAACGTTGATGTTGCTGATTGTGTCAGAAAAATGAGGGAAAACAGAATGACCATGGTCCAGACCTATGTAAGCTTAATTGTCTGTAATCTTAAAAAGGAATGAAAGAGTGTTTCATTACTAATGGAACAAGAGAGAACACAACAAAACTATTTTTTTCAGAAAATAATAAAAAAAAATCATCAATTTAACTATCATTATTATTCCGCATAATAAATAAGACGTACGTAAACCTGATTTCCGAAATATTGAATATTTTCGTATTTATATATAACATATGTCGAGTATAGTCTTTTTCATTTGCACTCTATGCAGAAATAATTTAAGAATATTTTTTTTTCTATTTGCATACTCTAACGTTCATTTTCTTTGCGATAGGAACAATACATCACCATATTCCTGACTCTGCACGAAGATTTCAGAGCGCCTATGAAGGTAGACAGGATTGAAGATTTTAAAGAAAGGTATGACAACGCTAGAAAGGATACACCAGCCAATCAGAATACTCTACGTAAAGAATTCCAGGTAAAATGCATTTCAAGAGTGGATGTTTGCGGTAGAGGATAATACATGTAATATTAACAATTGTGATATAAACCGTACTTAAATGTGATATGAAAAGTTGAGATATAAAATATCTTTTATTTCATTTGAAGAAAAAGATGGCTTTTTTCCCGTAATGTATGAACTGTTTTTTCTTCTTTTAATTCAAATTTGTCTCAAGTTTAATTGCGAGGGGAAAGGGAGAATTCTGATATGTTTAAATTAATATTTAATATTTATAATTTGAAATGCAAAATGGAATATGTTAAACACATGACTTTTTCCTCCTGTTGTGTGTCATCAGCTCACTTACGCAGTAAAAATACATAATCTGCAGAAGAAATTTATTTAAGAATTTTGTCATTAATATGTACAGTACCAACCAGACCCAACCTGACACAAAGCAGTCCCAGAGCAGTCCCGGGGACTGCTTTCTGGGACTACTAAAGCAGTCTCACAGCGGTCCCAGAGCAGTCCCACAGCAGTCCCAGAGCAGTCTCACAGCAGTCCCCATCAGTCCCAGAAAGCAGTCCCAGTGGGCGGGGTTAATTAATTTAATGGTCGGAGCTTACTCAGAATGAGATTACCAATAAACAATGTAACTATATAAAAGGCAATCGAAATCGATGAGTAGTATCAACAAATATTTACAATTCTTATTTAAGTCATTTCTGAACTGTTAAAAAATCACAGTACGCGTATAGAAACAAATAATAATTATTGAACGAAGAAGACGTTCACACCTATTAAAAGCATGAATATTTAAACACAATTATTTAGTATATTAGTTTTTCACCAAAATGAACCAATTTCTTTATTTTCTGTGATTTGATATTGGTTTTCATATTCATTTTTTTATATAGAAAATTAAACTTGAATTGTTTATTTTCTACCAGAATTAGCTTTAAATAGATATAATAATTATAGAGCAAGGCCGATTCCTAAACTATACTCTGAATGCATTTTTCTTAAGTAGCTTTGGAGCGTTTGAAAAATTCTTTGTTGAACATTACCGAGTACGCGGGTATGTTAAGGCTGCACTCAGATATCCTACTTGCCTGTACACCATGACGTCAGAGTAAGCTGTATGACGTGAACTTTAGCGATAATGATTCCTTCATATCTGTATTCAAAGTTTAATTTCAGGAAGTGAATGGAATCATTCAAAAACATAATATAAACTGAATTTGTCATTTTTGGAGGGTATAAATAGCTTAGTATTTATCACGGGGGTTAAATACCAAACCCATGACGTCAGTACTATTGATCAAATATTTGCCGAGTGAGAATTAAACGTGACGAGAATTCATGTAAACAAATATATGAAATGGGAGTTTTAAAGCATATACCGTGAATATCATGTGTGGTTCGTAAGGAATTAAAGATTAAGATTGAGATTCAGGTACGCTGATTTATACTTATCATGTTTTCTTATAATGAACACGGGAAGTGTTTTGAAATCCCGATCAGCCTTTCCTCTGTCGTTCTATAACAACAAAGATGCAAAAGTTCAACACTACGCCGCATACTTTGAACAATAATTTTTGTTTGTATCGAAAGATTGTATTCTATAGTACTTGGAAAGTACTGCTAGAACCGTGTGGTTAACATGAATTGATGACAATTCCTTGATCGTATGTACAAAATGTGAAAATTTTGGAAAGGTTTCATGCGAATCTTTGGAATATTTTTTTCTGTTTCGGGAGATTAGGATTCTAGCAGCACTTTTCATGGCCCAGTGATGTTTTTACATAATTATTTTCACAAAAAGAAATAAATTTTCCCTGGGGTAGTGTTGAACTTTTCACTTTTTCGTTAAGGCTATTTTTCTATTTATAGATGTCACGTGATAACGTAGTAGTGGAGTGCTTCTTTTGGCCTAAGACTCAATGACGTCTATACAACGGATATTAATAGTTAATATTTTATCTATGGCTTTTCCGATTTATCAATGCGAAAAAAAAGTCTAAATTCACCGAAAAATGATCTGAGTACTGCCTTAATATACCTGCGTATTATATTTCAGTCATGATTATTTTCAATGAATTGCCAATTGAATTATCTTTAGACTCTCAGTTTCAAGTATTTTATGACATAAATGTTCGAGTGTACATCTGTAAATCACGCAAATGGAACCCTCAGATTACGTTCGAAATTAATTAATCCCGAAATAAATTTATACCCAATTATTGAAACAAAGATTTTTTGCGGTACACAGATTGAAATTAGTGTCATTGTTGACCAGCGTGTTCAGTGATGTGTAACACTGATACCCAAATAACATGCATTGCCTTTCTGCTAATTATGTCCAAAGGCAATTGAAACCTCAGGTGTTGACACCATTTTATACAATTGTATTGCTTTTTATTAATCGGTCAGGTAAACACAAACAAAACAAATAAGAAGCAAATCACAATTCCCGATATTTTCAAATGTTTATTTTTTAAGTAAATGTACTCTTTTAATAACTTGTTTCGCAGCACAGTTAAGGCTGCAGTAAGGAGGCGGGGCCTAATTTATACGGGAAATGCTTACTATGACATCACACAAAAATATAAGTTCTTCAAATTGCCACAAAATTAAAATTATTTGCTATTTTAAACTGTTGTATAGCTTTAGACTACATCAATACTAACTAGTGCATGTATTATTGTCGTTGGTTAAATCCCACACAGCAATATATAAACAATTCGCTGATCGCAATGCACTTGTCAATGTGACGTCATATCATAAAATTTGACGCAGTTTGTATGCAGTGAGAGGCGGATCAAGTTATATTTATACAATGAAAAATGTATTTTGTTATTAAATAAAATATAAATTGTAGATATATAAGAGGCAATTAACTTGGATGCGATGCCTATTTTATGATTTTATTCGTATACTTCCCGTACATTCCCTAGACAAGCGATACTGTCGTAGATTTGTATGCAGATTCATTGAATGGTAAAAGAAGGGTCGTAATAAATCGATATATTGCAAGGGCTTACCTTCAATGAATTATGACAAGCTTTTACACATAAACTCAAGAAGTATGAAGATATTTGAAAAGTGCTGCGAACCTGCTGAAATCTTGCAAATAAATTAATTATATCTGTATTTAATGTACTTGACCAGCAAAAAATTTAACATACGGTCTAACAAATGTAATTTTAGCAATTAGATAGTAGAATCTATACAGGTTCGCAGCACTTTTCACAAACTACAAAGAGTGTTGAAAATAATTATATGTTAAACTTAGATTTTTAACTTGGTTATGCCCTTGCAATATTAGAATTTATAGATGACCTCAATACTTCAGGTATATTTGCTAAAATCACGTGACTGCCACATCACGTGACAAGTCTAAATAAGAAATCTAATCGTCCTCAACATGTAGTTTTCAACCACATTGCATTTGTCCGACAATAGTAAAGTCCTAAAAAGAAACGCCCATCCTTGTAAAGAATGAATTTTCTATCTAAAAAATTCGCCGATATTTCCATTTGGCACCTTAACTGTACTACGTTATAAATTTAAAAGCAATTCATAAATAAATCTCTGAATAATTGTTCACATTGTTTATGGGACAGAAGAATGGTAAAATAATTTTATTTCATAGTCATTTAATAAATTATTAGGTTTTATTTGAGGGTGGTAAAAAATAGCATGGAGTGCTCTTTTTTAAGCATGGTTTCAATTAAGAAAAAAAAAATCAGTACAGAACGTCCCTCTGAATATATGTATCTTACTGAAATGACAAGTTTGTTTGTTTTTGTTTGTTTGTTGTTTTTTTAAATAGTGCTAATTCAAACTTTGAGTACATTGAGTACATGTAATTTGATAGCATTAATTTATTACATAGGCCTAGATAATTTTTTTTTCAAGCACCTGTATTGAAGTTTAATTTAAGGGATAAAAATCATCCCCTGACTTCCATTTTTAACTACTTTCATTTTTTAAAAATTAATTCTAGACTTCAATTGTGTAAATTTGTAGCCCTTTGAAGACATATAATAATTACATGTATAACTATCTCTACTTATTTAATTTTTATAAGAAATACTTGTTTGTTTTTTTTAATTATTTTTTATCTTAAACACCTCTCTGCAGTAAGTAAACAAAACAACAACAGGGAGCTGCAAATTCAAAATACAAAGGGGGCGGAGCTATCATGTCACTAAGAACCTTTTTCACACATGAGTGAACAAAGCAGTCCCAGGGACTGCTGGGACTGCTAGGTCTGCTTTCTAGAGCAGTCCCAGAGCAGTCCCATAGCGGTCCCAGAGCAGTCCCAGAGCGGTCCCAAAGCAGTCCCTGGGACTGCTTTCTGGGACTGCTTAGGAGTCAGGTTGTGTCTGGTTGGTACTGTATATACCAAAGTCTTCATTATACTTTCAGTTGCTACAGAAGATTCGTCCTTATTATACTGAAGAAAATTACAAGTTTGCCATAGAAAGCTGCGGGCCTGATAATCGCGATGGAATCCTACCTCGTATGTATCCAGCTAACGTATATTTCATATCTCAACTCTGATATCTGACGAGAACTTAACCATTTAGCTGTAATCTATGATCTTATTTTTTCCACTTACAGAGTTAATACGGAAAAAAATAAGAAAAAACTAAGAAACAAAAAATAAAAAAGAACAACCACCAATAAGAAGAAAAAAACAACATATTTTAACTTTTTAAACATTTTTTTTTTAATTTTACATTTTGTAATGAATTCTAACATTCAAAATTCAAATGTCAAATACATTCAAAAATGCATTGCAATGGTCCTCTTTTTTCCACCGAAATATGGCTGAAATATTTCCATCTCGGCGTAAAACAACAATAATCAATCAATCTTTTCTTCCCATTTCTAACCAGTTGATAAATACAGCGTCCACTTGTCTTCACATGTTCCAAAGAGAGGGAACTACATAAATGCCATCTCTATGCCTGTAAGTTTATTGACTGTAGTACAGTGTACTTACTTCTGTCTTGAAAAGGACTCGTTATGTCTGATTGCATCTAAGATCATAAAAGCTGCATGTGATGTGTTAATAATATATTTAGTTTATCAAGAGTTGCGATCTTCCACGCCTTTTTGAAGATTATTAAACATGGGGAACAAAAAGGTTCTGCGACACTTGCCTTAGTTAATGAAAAATTGAATTAAAACTTTTTTACTAATTAATAAATCACCAATCATCTTTTACAGGTAGGAATATAAAATAACAAATGTGAGAGAATCGAAGTATGAACTAAGCTTACATTTGCTGAGATTTTGGCTTTTACTTGTAATAAAACAACTTCATTGAAATAATATCATTGCTAAGGGTACACGTCTTTCAGAAACAAAATCGAATATGTTCTTAATTAAATTAAGGAGTATATTTTTGAGAAAACGAGTTTTTGGCAAGATTGTTCTGCAAGATTTTTTTTTTGTGTTCAGTCCTTCACCAGAGCAGGGAGATTTATAGTGACGCGATATCCGTCGGAAGAGGACGCCATTGATCTCATGCGCCTACTCAAAGATCATGAATGCGAAACAATTATATGCATGGACCCATTAAAAGAGATTCAGTCCGTATGTATCCCATCTTCGGTATTGCTTCCTTAGGATGAAAACAGACAAAATTGATTGGAATTTATGAACCACAAAATATTAATGTTAATTAATGGATATCTTTTTTTTCAAATTTGTCAAATAACCCTTCAAGGCTTTGATACTTTAAAAAGGTTTCTTTAAATAGATAATACCGATATTTTTTTTTTTCAGAGTTATGTTTGGTTGCCATCAGCTCTATCCTCCAACAGCGTTTCTCCTTTCAAGGTTCACTGTCAATCATGCTCCCAGACCGATGTTACCAGCAGCACCATTCGTATTATTCAGAATAATGTAAGTAGTCAATTATTGTTTTTGATAAAACCCTGTAACAATAAGTTGTAGCCTCGTAAAACGCCCTATATAGCTTTATGGGCTTATATTAAAAAGCCCAAAATTATACTTGGTGATATGGTTATACAAAAAATAAAGAGCTTGGACATACTTGTAAAATTGTTTGCGGTATTTAAAAAATCAATCTACCTTTCTTGTTGAAATTTTGAGTCGTTAAATGTCCTGTCTTTAACTAAAAATCAAAGCCATTACGTTTGTTATCATTCTAACTTTGAACTTACCATTAACCTACAGAAAGAAAGTGAAGCTCACACTGTAAGGATTGTTGAACCGAAGAGCAGAATTAAGTCGTCTGGAAGGCAATTGGACACATCAGAGCTTCGGAATCTTGTATCAACTGCACTACACACAGATACGGAAAACCCAATTGTTGTTATGAGCAGGTACAAGAGCGCACTAGGTTGAAACATAAATTTCTAAGAATGGAAACTGAAATGTTATCCTTATTGGGGAATCAATATAATTTGTTGCATTAGTACAAGATGTGTTTAAATCCCACCACGTCCTTTTAACTCCACCCCTATTAAAATAGCTATCAAATGTGTTAATAATGAACGTTCCGTTCTCATTCTTTATTTGTGTAATCTAAACCATTGTTGCCAGTTAAATACTTGTCCATTTCCTTTGAAAATATTAACTATATCATATATGTTAACATTGACCGTGAGTTGCTTAACATTGACCGTGAGTTGCTTTCTTTTGATGTAATCCCAATCATATCTATATTTTTGTTTTGATTGACCCTATTATTTGAAAACATTCACTAAATCATGATTATTATGAGTCAACTTTTAACAGGGTTGCTTTATCATATTTTAAAACAGAGATGGCGCTTCCCTCTGTGGGGTCTTTTGTGCTGTATACAGCCTCATACAGCAAATAATCATAGATGAATGTGTTGATGTTTTTACTGCTCTAAGGCAAATTCTAACCAGAAGACCGGAATTCTGCACTAACTTTGTAAGTTCTTTTATTGCATACTTCAACGACATAAGATGCCTTGTAATCGATTAAAATTATTTTTGTCTATTTCATTTACTAATATCTTTCCTATTTTCTTTTTTCATATCTGTTCTTTTACATTTATTTTAACATTGCAGGAAGAATATGAGTTGATATACAAGGCAGCGTATGACCACATTCAAAGTATATCGGAAAATATTTATTACAATCAATAAGAAGTCAATGTGTTGACTTGAATCTACAATATTAGTTATTGAAGCATGTCCCTATATTCCTTTTTTTTCAATAAAAAGAGAAGCTATTAATGAATTATGATTTATTTCTATTTTTTTTTATTATTAATATTTTTTTAATTTTTATTTTTTTTTTCTAATTTTTTTTTCTTACAACTTGCAACTGTGTTTAATGTTGAATCTAAATGTTGCAACCTGCAACACCATCATTATCCTTATTCCCTACATCTAGGTACATATATTGGCACGCGCTTTTCTAAACCTGTGCAAGCCCTAAATGAAAGGATTCATCTCATAAAATCGAACATAATTTGCAAATTATATACTGTTGTGTACTGTCGTGCATTTGGGTCGTACAGTATGACACGCTGTTACATATGAAGGCTGAAAATAATGATTTTTTTCAGGAAGAATAAGACAATCAAATTATTCATGAAATCCACATACAAAAAACGAACTCTCATTATGCATATATATCCACAAAATATGATCCCCCCCCCCAAAAAAAAAAAAAACAATAACAATAAAATACAAAAATAAAACTGACACCTTAATTTTCATATGCTAAACATACAATTCTAGTTGTACTTTTTCCGGGTGTTATAAATCCTCTAATTTTGAAATGGATTTGTTAATGTAAAGAACAAACACAAAACAATCAAACAAACAAAAACAATTAAACGAACAGGCAGACAAATATAGAAACAAAAATATCGGCTTCGAAACTTTCCAAATACGTCATATTATGATTGGGATTTTGCTATTACAAAATATCAGATTTAAACCAAAGAAATAAGCGGCTAATATAACATGATTTTGCTGCAACAAAGACCTTTAAGAATGTATTTGGTTTTGGTAATTCATCAAACAAATTAAGGTGAATCCTACAAATAGAAAAAATAGACCATTTCTGTGCTGTAATGACTCATTTTATCAGAGGGAAAATTCAATTTTCACATTTGTTCTTGTATTCATGTATATGAATTCAAAAGAAAAAAAATCAAGCCCAATTAGTGTTTTCAAATATATATATATATATATATTTATATATCAAATATCATTGTAGTTTTTTTTAAAATTACTCTGACTTATTTTATTTAAATGTTTTTATTTGTACGTTATTTTGTTCGCCTATATTTAGAGACAGGCCTGTTTTACATGTATATACGATCATGTTATATACATAAACTATTTAGAGTAAAATTACATTTAAGTTACGTAGAAATTGGTTAACAATACTGTGCATAGTTGTGTACGAGGGTTGTACAAAAAGTTCGTGGACTACCCTAATAACTTTTTTATTTAACGGCATATCATACCCAAATTTGAAGGAAATATTTCCACAGTAAATTCAAAGAATTTGTATTAAAAAACATTTTTTTAAAAAAATCGAATCAAGGAGCAGATCAAAATTTTGTAATTTAAAATCAAGATACTAAACTATTTCTGAAGTCATATCTTCTGTAAAATGACACAAAAACGGAAAAATTCTACGCGTTCAAATTAAGAATTGTTTCAAGGTTTCTGATTCCGAATTATGACTAAATATTTTGCTTTGTTGAAAAGAACACAGAAGATAGATAGCCCTCATTGAAAAGGGCAAAATCATGACGTCGTAGAACGTCACGGAGCAGCAGTTAACCGTACAAATTTCTGTTGTACTCTGGAAAAATCCAGAAAAAACTCTCAAAATGCCGAGGGAAACAGGAAATATGTCAAAAGTGAGCCATGCATGTGTCTGCACATTGTACAAGCGGTATTTGAAATATAAACTAATCTGCTTAGCCGATGGTGATCTTTGAGAAATCGGATGATCTGTAAAATTCTTATCGAAAACATTGAAAAGTTACTTACGTCATGCTTAGAGTTTGTTGTTTCACAGATGCTAATCTTGTGAAAGCACATTAATGCAGTGATAATGCTACTGGAACAATTGTTAGCAAAATAGATTTCAACTGATAGAGAAACGTTTTTAATGAGTGCACTGGTATTGGGCGATATTGTGTGAAAATGTATAGGGTTAGTATTTTTGAGAACCTCGTACCGTTACGGTAGCTCAGTCGGTAGAGCGCTCGCTCCGTGTTCGGTAGGTCGTAAGTTCGAATCTCGGCCGCGACTGACCTAAGTCGATAAAAATAGGTAGCAATTGTTCCTTCGCCATGCGCTCGGCATTTTGAAGTGAAAGTTGCGGATCCTTCGGATGATTCCTTAAAAACCGAGGCCCCGTGTAACGGCAGGCGTTGGCACGATAAAGATCCCTCACTGTTCAATGGCCCTGAGTGCCGAGTAAAGGTCAACATTTGAAGCCCATCACCGGTATATAGTGACGTCTCTATATGAGTGAAAAATTTTTGAATGGGACGTAAAACAACATACAATCAATCAATCATGTCGGTATGTTTTTGACGTTACAGTGTTGTTGAGTTTGCTCCGTGGTTACAAAAAGCGTTGATTTTAAAATTAAGTAACATGAATTCTATTAAATCTTATGGATTGAAACTTTACACTAAACAAAATAAATATTTTTACATATGTCAATGTGCTCATTTTAAATTTCTTGAAGATATTATAACGAAGGTTGGCATAGTCCACGAACTTTCCGAACAACCCTCGTATGTACCACATTTTTAACAGAGCAGCATATTCCTTTTGTGATGTCACTTGATTATTTTTTTTCTTTTTATCATGAAATATACAACCAAGTATTTTTGTATTGATGATAAGCTAGATAAAGCATTTCTTTATGAAATGTGTACAATCTCGGACTTGAATACATTGGTATGTATTTTATAAGAAGCATTGTCCTTTTCTTTATAAAAAATATAATTTATTTTATAGTTGTTCATGGGGACTTGTTTTATTGACCTCTTCCAGCAGAGACCTTACTCAAATAAATTTTGAAACTCTACAGATGTCTTTTCATGTGTTCTTTTTTTTTTCCTGGTCGTTATTTTAATGCCCAATTCCTTTTAAAAATGTGAAAAAGCAATCTTCAGTATATTCTTCACATTTTGCCACTTGCTCACTGAAGACAACAGCTACTAAGACCATTTCCAAAATGTTTTTTTCTGAAGGCGTCCATCTATCTCTCTGCCAAAATTTCTGTCAATTACAAAGAACAAAGAGTCTTTGACTTAGGGTAAGTCGGTTGAAAGAGCCAGGAGGCAGAACTAGGAGAAGTGGTAAAAAACTGGGAACATATTGAATCAAATTAACAAAATTTCTTTATGCACCAACATCTTCAGATATGGCTGAAGATACAATTAAAATTTCTTTATTTATGGGAAATTTTGTTTAAAAAATATACTTAAAAAAAGATTTATAGTCCACGGGATATTCTTAATGCCAAAAAACAATGATTTCTAAGCTTTAACCTTAAATATTTACATTTACTGTGTTTTCCTACTTACATGTAACTAACAATGGATTTTGATTTGATGCCATTTTTGTGTATATTCACTCGTAGAAATGTACAGGGAGAAACACGCGCAATAGTGACGTCACAATGAGGTTACAGAGACGTAAATAAAAATATAATGATATAGGGCAGCAAGGTATTCAAATATGAAGGAATTTATCAGCTTTTTAACATGTAAAATGCGAATATGAGGAATGATTTTAAGTTTCGTTTGAATTATTGGTGTGTAAGTCTCACAAACTTGCACGTTGGCACATTTTTCATGAAGTGCTAGTGTGCTTCATGAAATATGCAGACGTGACAAATCTGTGTAATTTACACTCAATTTTCTCACACTTAACTTAAAAACATTCCATAAGTACACGTACAAAGATACATACATTAAGCTTTTAAAATGTATCTACACAAGAGAAAGACAATGACATGTATCCTGCAAATTATCAGTGATTGATCAATATGCTTAATGTTGTAATAATAATGACATCTAAATGGTTCTTTGCCATAGATTGCACAAAAATTTAGTAGAAAGTCTTTGAGAAGAAATTTTCGGGATTAATCGGATTGTACTTAATGTTTTATATGAACTTGGGACGTCTCGTGCTGATGAATGCCTTTGTAGACCTTTGAAGACCTTTTTTCGCAAAATTTTGAATTCTTTTTTTTTTTTTTTTTTTTTTGCCTGTTTCCTGCAACATCAAGCCAGATTGGAAGATTTGAAAAACCTTGGCATTTTAGGAGTGCCTTACGATAGAACTTTGAATTTTATTGCGTGGACCCTGATGAAAATATATGTGGGGTTAAACCGGATGCCATGGGCTTACGTCAGGCAACGCATGCGCGAGAATGCTAGAGAGTTCGCCTCTAAGACAACTTGCCCTTGGAACAATTCGCCCTTTACGAATTAGAATATGCCAATCATTGGCAAACCTCTCTCTAAAATCGTGCACATAGTATTTATGTATTCTTTGGCGTAACCAAAATCCGAATTTATCTTTTATAAATATATCCTTTTATACTAAATTCTATGGTGCAAACATTTTAAATAAGTAGGAAGAACTTATATAGATAGCTGAACAGCTTGAACGTTGAATTCAACTACTAAGTTTTAAAAGATACTCTTTACAATGTTTACCGGCATTAATTTTGTGCATCAAGACTTGCAAAATAATTTATTAGACAGCAATCCAAATATAGCTTGATACAGGCCTGTACCAACGGTTTTCCATGTGGGAGAGAGGGAGAAACATCAGAAAAAAAATTCTGCATTCAACAGATCTGTGCAACACATGTACCATATATCTTTCCAATGACAGAATCGTCCGTATACATATAGTACAGATGTCAAGTCCCAGCTGTTATGGGTTACATCAGATTTTTTAAATGATAAGACTATAGGACAAATCGGGGATAAAATTTAACAATTTTGCTATGAAAGTGGTATCACTCTAAGTAGGTAGATCATTGTAGAAAATGTTACGAAAGGTTAACCTATCTGTGCCACCTTTCACAGTAACCTATGAACTCGCCCATGGATGCATTGACGGTCGTTGTAACAAGAATAGATATGGGTTACCCCATATCCAAGATATTCAACTTTTAATTTACTCGAATTTTCACTAGAAAAAAAAACTGCATGTATATGTTATGAAACTGTGGACCTTTTCACAAAAAATCTTACGACATAATTTTATCTTAAGTGAAAACTTATGATAAAAATCGTTTTCACAAAAATTCTTAAGAAAGTCGTAAGTGCAAAATCTGTCGTAACTTTACGAGAGCTGCAACCCTCTCTTAAGTATTTTAAAATCGATTTTATTGTAAAAATATAACCGCAAAAAACAAAATACACGTTAATTAAACTTTTTAAAGCAACTTCCAATAATATTTTATATTTTTTTTCACAATCATTGTCGAAAAATTAAATGAAATACACTACAAAATATTTACGATGTAAGTTTCACTTAAGATTTTCGTATGACCTACTTTTACGTCAGACTTGTGATTGTGACGTCAGATTTTAAACTTCCTTGCTTTGCAAACGTTTGCATTCGATATTTGTTGTCAATAATGTTTGTTATGCTGACATTTGTTGAAAACTAAGTTTTATTTTATTTTCACCCACTTATTTAAGGATTATAAAGCATATTGAAGTCGTTGCTAGGGATGAAGTCTGTCGTAAGTAAAATCTTAAGTTCAATCTGCTACGAATGCGTTCGTGAAAGGCACTTAAGATTTGTCGTAAGAAATTCTTAAGTTAAAATCTTGCGCAAAAACTTAAGATTTTTTTATGAAAAGGGCTACTGGTGTATAGTTCTTCAATCTTCATGTTCTTGAAATACTACGAAACAGCCATGTATTTTTTTCTACTATGCTACCACAAAGGTTTTTCTCACAAAATCAGTTCTTTTTTTTCTAGCCAAGATATAAGAACACAATAAAAGAAATAAATCCATAAATGAATGAATGATTCCATCAGTCAGCAAGGAATCTATACTTAAAGAAAAAAGTTTTATGTTTTACTATATACGGAGAAAAATATTGATTCCACATACGTGTCCTTCCTGAAAATAACACTTTACAATTTTAATTCAAACAAACTTTAGTGGCGAACCTGCATTGGACATCCTAGAAAATAGATCCTTTAGTTGTTTAGCTAAAAATTCTGTTACTTGGCAAAATGGAACCTGCAATGGACAACAATCTAGTAAAAAAAAGATCCTATAATTGTTAACAAAAAATTCTGTTGTTTCCAGAAACAGTCTAAGATCCTTTTACAAGTCTCTAAACTTCTACAATGAGGTACATCGAGTAAACAAAACCTTGTATATATACCCTCTGACATTTATCGATCACTACTAATTTGTAGATAATTTAAACTTTGAATGACTGAGATGTTAATGTTGACTGGATGTTGAAAGAATGTTTTGAATGGGTGATTCCAGGTGTACTTCAATAAGATATGCTCATTATATTTAATTAGAAAAGCTAAAAAAATGAAAGAAAAAAAAAAACATGAGTAAATCAATAACTTCAAAAGTATTTCTTACGTAAACGGTATTAAATTAAGGGTTTCATGTTCTTACAAAGTAAATTGTGTACAAGGATGTTTTTTTTTTTTTTTTTTTTTTTTTTTTTTTTTTTTTTTTTGATTTAAAACCCATACATTGGAAGACGCTGATATCTAATAAAAAGTATGTTTTTAACATGCATATATAAGCCCCATTAAACTGCATTTTTCCTTCCTTGTGCTGCCCATAAAAATATTAATGCATGGCGTCGACAAGTATAATATTTTGTTTTTTATCTCTGGCAAACAGATGTAGTAAAGGGTATGGTAAGTTATTATCTCCTATAAACTATGCATTGTGATATTGATAGAATTGCTTTATTAAATCTTCAGGTCAATGAGACAGATATTAACTTGTAGAACAGGAAAAACTCGCCAAGATATGTAAGGAAGCCTATATGCCTACACTTGTCGTGATATAACTTGTATATCGTCTTATTTTTAGTGTTTTTTCATCAAATTAAGTGCTTTTTCACCATGTTAACTCTCTGTTGTATTTTACATAATGCATCTGGCATCGTTTTTATATTGACGGTTGTGACATCACAATTGTTTTGGGTTGAAGTCAAATAAGGGGAATTTATGTATAAAAAATTATAGTGTAAGACATGAAATGCCTATGTGTAAAACATGTGATAGAAAGAATTTACCATGTTCGTGGTTTAATATTAATTTTTATCCAACTAGTAATTTTTATCCCCTTGCCATCAATAACATCTTTAGCAGTAGTTTCAGTGAAAAGACTGAAACTGAATCTGATTTATTTGATTAAACGCCTAATTTAACATAATTGTATTCAATGGCGAAGTACAATAAAACTGTTAATTATTTACATATAAAATATACAAAATACATGTAGATTCATAATAAAGCATTAAAGTCCCTAAAGAAGTAAGATTTTAAGTTTGTTTTGAAATCATCAATAGATTTAGATTGTTAAATATGCAAAAGGTAGTTTGTTCCACAATTTAGGTCCGATGGTTCTATGACCGCGCAGTTTGGGTCAAAAATATTATGTGTCGTAAATCTAAGTTTTTTTTTCCAAATCATGACCCCCGGGGGTAGGGTTGGGCCTCAATGGACGTTCAAAGTTTTACATAGGAATATACAGGAAAAATCTTTAAAAACCTTCATCTGAAGAACAACAAATCCAAGATTGGTCATATTCATATGGAATCATCCTCAGGTAGTGTATATTATAGTTTGTTCAAATCATGACCCATGGGTAAGTGTGGCCACAATGGGTGATCAAAGTTTCACATACATGTAGGAATATATAGGAAAAATCTTTAAAAACCTTCATCTGAAAAAAACACCAAATCCAAGATTGGTCATATTCATATGGAAGCATCATCGGGTAGTGTAGATTCAAATCTGTTCAAATCATTACCCCCATGGTAGGGTGGGGCCTTAAATGAAAGTTCAAACTTATAGAGGAAAAAGCCATAGTAAGTCAAAGAAATATGTAATCTTTCTTTGTTAGTGTAGATTCAAGTTAATTCAAATCATAACCCCCCCCCCCCTTCTTTTAGGAGTAGCTCGAAACCACTTTTGCATTTAAGCTTTGCAATACTGAATTGATTTTTGCTTTTTCCCTAGCCAGAGTACTCAGGTGAGCGATGTGGCCCATGGTCCTCTTGTTAATGTTATGAGGACATCGTTTGCAGTGTTACAACCCTATGTTAAAGAAAATGAAATAAATGTTTTGACAATTTATATCCCCAAGTACAGTTAAAATCTCATTAAACAAACAAAAGTGATTAAAATAAATAGGAAAAAAAGACACTGGACCCTGTTTCAAAAATACAATATAATGTTACTTGCAGCATGAAGTTATGATTTTGGAGAAAAAAAAAAGCTGAATGCACGCATGAGCGCTTTTCTAAAATGTATTGATTGCTTACGATCAGTGTTTCTTCCCAATATATATATATATATATATATATATATATATATATATATATATATATATATATATATATATATATATATATATATATATATATATATATATATATATATATATTGAAAATGTTTGTAAATGTTTACCATGTTTTAATTTCTAACCCAAACCCTTCTCTCTCTTCAAGCCACAGGATAAAACTTCACATACGGCCGAATGAATGTTTACTGAAAGGTCTGGGAAGGTGATCTCTGCCATACAATCACCTTTTAATGAACTTTCAGTCACCTTTCATTTATCTGAATGGCAAAGTTTTATCCTGTGAACCACATCCTAAAAGGACGTTGATTATTCTTTACATAATGTGAATTTCCAAGGACGTTTCAACTAAGAAAGGTCGATGTTATCACCTGAAACTGTTATATATGTGTATATTTTAGGTTTAAAAAAAAAGTTCTAATTTATTCACATTTGATGGTTCTTAACATAAATGGCTTCGACAATGCACGGTATACGTACAGAGGTAAAGGTGGAATAATCTTTTTTCAATACATAGGCGGCAGAAGCAAATTGAAAGAGGGTGTTGGGGGGGGGGGTTACATGTACCCAACAAAGGGTGTCTACGTCGATCACACAAACAAGTTCCAATTTTCAATGCCTATATTATGTCCGTCTTTGCACAAAAAAAAAAAAAAAATGATGGAGGGGACTGACCCCCCAGCCCCGACCCTCCACCCCAATAATGTATTTTAGCGCCTATGGTAGGTTTTAAAATATTTTAACGTTTAATATATGTTTTAGCACAATACAATGCTGCTATCCTATAAGTTGTCATGGGATGCGTTAGGATAGAATGCAGGTTTGATTGATTGATTGTATGTTGTTTTGTATGTTGTTTTACGTCCCATTCGAGAATTTTTCACTCATATAGAGACGTCACTATATAACGGTGAAGGGTTTCAAATTTTGAACTTTACTCGGCACTCAGGGCCATTGAGCAGTGAGGGAGCTTTATCGTGACAACGCCTGCCGTGACACGGGACCTCGGTTTTTAAGGTATCATCCGAAGGACCCGCAACTTTCACTTCAAATTGCCGTGCGCATGGCGAAGGAACAGCTGCTACCCATTTTTTATCGACTTAGGTCAATCGTGGCCGAGATTCGAACTCACGACCTCCCGATTACGGAGCGAGCGATCTACCGACTGAGCTACCGTGAACGGTATGCAGGATTGAAGATTCACGATGGAACATATACATGAATTCATCCAATCTAATCCAACCCTATTTTTCCTGTATCCTACAGCCAATAAGATTCGAGTAAAGGTTGATTTATATACATCACGCATCTGGTGTGTCGTGTACACGTACTAATCCTCCTTATGCTTTGAACCCTGACGGTGCCAGACGTCTATTTTGTAAGTCTCATCTGTGTTGTTATATAGGCGACGGTATAGCTGATAACGCAGAAAGGTTAAGGACGCCCATGAAATACACGCCTTAAAATATTCAGAAAAAATGTATATAGTTATGCTTTTTTTACTAGCATTAGTTTTGATGAATGTGAATTGTGGTGTTTGCACTTATATATATATCGGGTTTCTGCTGACTTCGGCCAAGCGACATCTCTTACACCAGCTGTTTGTCACGTGACATGTTTAAAATTAGAACATATATGTACTACTAAAAATATCATAAGAGTCCAACGATATACGGGTGTCTTTTCGCTATAAAATTTAATCTGTTTTCTTTGAAACAAATTCCTTAACATGACGAGTGCTGGGAGAAACTTCCTCATGCTCGGGAGTTGTGTAAAATTTAAATGTCTTTCTATCAACTCCAGACATAGATGTAATGCGAATTTGAATAATGTTTACATTACGGAATAAATAAACATTGCACAACAAGTTCCCAGCACTTTTCAAAATAGTAGGAATAATAGCTTCGTGTGTTTAAAAATTCAGAATTTATAGTTTTGAGGGGCTGGACCGGTCATTCTAGCACGTTTTTATACAAATGGTTTTCCTACGGCTATATATAAAGTCTACACATTATCGATTTCGAATGACAATAAAATGGGGATTAATATAATTTAGAATATGTCTCTGGTTTGGTCCGATTACGCTTGTTTCTTATTTATTTTTACAAACTACGATAATAGCTTGCTCCATGCCTCAAGTAAAGAGAAACTGCGTGTCAAACTAAGAAATGACGTCATCTCAGTAAGGACAGCTAGATCAAGCTGGCTTTCATTCTACATTCGCTAAGTGCTTTTATGGCAAGATAAGTTGAACATCCATTTATCTTTACAATATTTATGAGAACGAAAGCATTCGAGTGTGTTTTAGAAAGAACATATTGTATTTATTCATCGAGATTCATTCGTATAGTTTGAACGTGACGTCATAATAGCTTTCCCGAACCTAAGCATAAGCCAACGTAAATATGGGAGTCCTTATCCTAGCAGCGAAAGTACGGATTTTATTAAATCATAGTGATTCTCTGTCCGCCATCACAGTAAACTTAATATGTAATTGTTGGAGAAATACTATATTGGCGCTGTGACCTAGTGTTTTTTTTTTTTTTTTCTGGGCAGCGGGGTGTCGGCCTAGCTAGTTCTGACGCCATCTTTGATTTCAGAATTTTTGATGTTATGTAAAGTTATTTTATTTAGTTAGTTATCTAGTTTATTTGTATTTACGTTGTTTGTTTGTTTTTTTTAATTATTTAACGTCCCTTTGGAGAATTTTTCACTCATATGGAGACACCACCAATTGCCAGTAGAGCGCTGCAAATTTTGACCTATACTCGAAACTCAGGGCCTTTGATCTTCTTTGAGCCAGCAACTACTGCGACACGGGACCTCGGTTTATGCGGTCTCATTCCAAGGACCAGTCTCCACGTCCCACAGTGAAATTCGAACCCGCGACTCTAGAGCGAACACTGTGCCACGCGGGAGACGTACTTACTTTGTATTGTGTATATATATTAGGCGGATTAAGCCTCGGAAGTGCGAGCTCAAACGATTGTATGTCCATTCATTGTGTATATATTTGTGTTAGGCGGGTGTTAAAATGGACCGCGAATTTAGTTTCCGTGGTAGGGGTAGGGGGACTCTGAGACCCAAGGGGGCTTGTACGCTCGGGTAGGGGGAAATGCCCTTGAGGGTCTGGGGAGTACCCCGATAGAGTGCAGCCCAGGAAAATCCAGCTTGATAGAAGTGTACGGTTTGCTCAGAATATATTTAGTACGCCGAAGCCATAGGGAGAGGATAATGTCACTAAGTATGGGGGCGAGGAGATGTCACTTACTCAGGGAAGTGTTTCTTAAGGTCCAGTGGACACACCCGGTTTCCAGGATTTTTATGCTTTTCTCTAGGAGAGACACACAATTCCGGATGGGGTTGTAGGCAAGTTACAAGGGGAGCTAGGTCAAGTAAACCGAAGGCTAGACATCCCTAGTAAAGATGTGGGGGCTTTGTGGGGGGATATTAATATCATTGAGACTAATGTAAACTCACAGGTAGGTTCTATTGATAAGAATGTTGGGACTCAGTTAGGCAATATTACTCGGATATTGGCAGGAATGATGAACGTAAGTGAACCGCAGTCACTCAACCTATGCAGGAAGTCAAGGTCAGTCAGCCAGTGGTGGCTAGTAGCCAGGGGAGTCCTTGGGTCCCTAGCTCACTATCCGGACAAGGCCTACCTGCGGAATCACAAGTAACCAGACCAAGTACAGTGTAGTGAGGGATCTGTATCTGTTCCAACGGGGGAGGGGGAGGAGGATGTCTCAAGGCCATTCCCTATTGTCGACTGGCTATGATAGCCTATGTTCCGGTCTACCGAGTACCAAGAACTTTGGGTTCGTTCGCGTCAGGGAGGAAAGCCAGTTACCCAGTGCTTCCCAGCAGGGGGCCCACCGATCCCAGTTCATGTAGCTGGGGATATCCGAGTGGGTATTTCCGTGACTGAGTCACTTGTACCTAGCACTGGGTGGTGGGGGTGGCCTGGGTCGTTTGAAGGTCAAATGCTTATGACAACAGCCAACCGGACTCAGTTACCTAGTTTAATTTCCCCAGGAACAAGAAATTTTGTCAGCATGAATATTCAAGCTGAAGTCAAAGGAGTCAAGTATAGCAGAAATGTTGAATGGGGCCCGTTTTATGCTACGTTTTCCACAATTTCCGAATGTCACCGGTGGAGTGATCCCAACTCTCTGTTCACCCTAAGTCTCACACTGGAGGTGGCCGCACTGACACACTTCGATATCCTGCGAAGGAGGGGTGCTTTGTTTCCGGGAAGTAGTCCTCCTAGAAGCGTAGATCGGTGACTCATCCCTGTATCTAGCATGCTGACAGTAATACCAAAGAGAAACGTCGTTGATCAGACTCCCACATTAGAGTAAAGTTCTATGAACCGAACGTAAATGCGAATAATGTAATACCATCAGTCAGATCAGGTAGCGAAGGTATGAGTTCAAATGCGTGGCGAATCCCTATACAGATAGGCGGTCAGCGAGTAAAAGCGAGAATAGACACAGCAGGTGACATTACGAATCTCGGGAGAGGTATAGAAGTCCTTGAGGTTCAAGCCCGAGGTTGTTAGGAACACCATTGTTAAGCTAGCTGGCGATGGTGCAGGGATGACCGCTCAGTATCTCGGAAGTCTAAACTTAAGTATCGGGTATTATGATTTTGTTCACCAGATCTATGTTGGCCCCTTACAAGGCGAAATGGGCTAAGGAATTGATTTCTTGCGCGCATTTGTTGCCGAGGTTTCATGCAAAGCGGGAACGTTAGGGGTCAAGGGCTTTGGCACGATCTTTGCCCTGAGTGCTGAAGAGACAGTGTCAATACTCGATGCGGTTTCAGTCGGCAGGGTGGGGGTTCCTCCGCACACTGCCCAAGTTGTCGAGTGCGCCCTTAGTGCGGAAATGCCAGAGTTTATGCTGGAGCCTGCCACTATTTTTCCCTTGGTAGCGTGGCTTCGCGGACATATGATGCCGCAGGAAATAGGGCCAAACTGTGTATATTAAACCTGACTGACAGAAGTTATATTATCGAGACTGGTACTTAGGTATAGGGGAAGCTGCCCCTGCTATGTCTGTTAAAAGTACCAACCCAACCCCACAGTGAGCCGCATGTCAGCGAAGGGGGAGAGTAGTTATCAGCATATAGTACAACTTCTAGACTAGTAAGGGAAGAGTGCGCCTGTGGAGGTGTAGTCTCAGGCTGTTGAGCTAGTTGAGCTAGTTTTAGAATTTGCTGATGTCTTTGCTGTAGATGACCTTGATCTCGGAATTTTTTTCCGAGATAGAGCATTGGATAGATACTGACGATGCACTTCCCGTTAAACAGCGGATGCGCCGCACTCCTGCCGTGTTCCAGGGGGAAAGGGTCATCGGGACAAAATGTTGAAGGCCGGAGTAATCCAGCCGTCTTTCTCAGACTGGGTGTCAACCCTGGTCTTAGCCAGGAAGAAAGATGTTAGTGTCAGCTGGTGCATGGACTACAGAGCCCTGAATAGTCAACAGTCAAGGACACATACCCCTACCGCTCATCAAGGATTGCATGGACATGCAAGCAGGAAACCGCTGATTCTCCAACCTGGATGCCAATGCGGCCTTTTAGCTAACTAAAATAGCTCCGAAGGACCGGAAAAAGACAGCCTTCATTACCATTATTCATTATTTGAATTCACGTGAATGGGGTTCGATCTGTGAAATTCCCCTGCGACCTTCGCCAGGGCTATCAATCTGGTATTGCACAGGCTAAACTGGAAAATTGCCTTTGCATTTCTAGATGATTTATTAGTGCTGGGGCCTTCAGCACACCCTCACCTTGGTAACCTGAGACAAGTGTTTGAGGGGTTCCGAGCATATGTTAAAGCCTCGGAAGTGCGAGCTATTTAAAATTAAGATGAGTGCCTAGGCGAGTCAAGATGGGGGACCAGTACATCGAGGCAGTCCGTCACTGGCCTGTTCCTAGCGATGTGAAGGACGCTGAGCGTTTCCTCGGTTTCGCCAACTATCACCGCAGCTTCATCTCCCAGTTCTCGAGAATTACCGCTCCGCTGTACACGGTTACCGGTTATGTATTGTGTTACCAGAAAGGAGTTACTTTCGGTCTTATAATTTATTTTTCTTTCATAAATCTGGATAACTACTTTTTTGCACATATTCGTTTGATCAGTACATGTACTTTCCTATGTTTGTTACAATCATTTTGTTTACATTTCAACTGGGTACTCGCATATTAATTCGTGCGAGCTGTTGGGAATTAATGGATGTCGATCTCGATTATTTTTCCCAATCAAAACAAAAGGTACATGACAATAACTCATTTTTAGCTCACCTGAGCCGAAGGCTCAAGTGAGCTTTTCTGATCACATTTTGTCCGGCGTCCGTCTGTCTGTCCGTCTGTCTGTCCGTCTGTCCGTCCGTCTGTCTGTCTGTAAACTTTTCACATTTTTGGCTTCTTCTCAAGAACCACTGGGCCAAATTCAACCAAACTTGCCACAAAGTATCCTTGGGTGAAGGGCATTCAAGTTTGTTCAAATAAAGGGCCACGCCCTCTTTCAAGGGGAGATAATTAGGAATTAGTGAAAAAATAATGGCATCATTTAAAAATCTTCTTCTCAAGAACCACTGGGCCAGGAAAGATGAAACTTATGTGGAAACATCCTCAGGTAGTGTAGATTCAAGTTTGTTCAAATCATGACCCCCGGGGGTAGGGTGGGGCCACGATGGGGGATCAAAGTTTTACATAGAAATATATAGGAGAATATCTTTAAAAATCTTCTTCTTAAGAACAGCAAAGCCATGATTAGTCATATTTATATTGAAGCATCCTCAGGTAGTGTAGATTCAAGTTTGTTCAAATCATGACCCCCAGGGGTAGGGTGGGGCCACGATGGGAGATCAAAGTTTTACATAGAAATATATAGGAAAATATCTTTAAAAATCTTCTTCTTAAGAACAGCAAAGCCATGGTTGGTCATATTTATATTGAAGCATCCTCAGGTAGTGTAGATTCAAGTTTGTTCAAATCATGTCCCCTGGGGATAGGGTGGGGCCACGATGGGGGATCAAAGTTTTACATAGAAATATATAGGAAAATATCTTTAAAAATCTTCTTCTTAAGAACAGCAAAGCCATGATTGGTCATATTTATATGGAAGCATCCTCAGGTAGTGTAGATTCAAGTTTGTTCAAATCATGACCCCCAGGGGTAGGGTGGGGCCACGATGGGAGATCAAAGTTTTACATAGAAATATATAGGAGAATATCTTTAAAAATCTTCTTCTTAAGAACAGTAAAGCCATGATTGATCATATTTATATGGAAGCATCCTCAGGTAGTGTAGATTCATGTTTGTTCAAATCATGATCCCCAGAGTTAGGGTGGGGCCACGATGGGGGATCAAAGTTTTACATAGAAATATATAGGAGAATATCTTTAAAAATCTTCTTCTTAAGAACAGCAAAGCCATGATTAGTCATATTTATATGGAAGCATCCTCAGGTAGTGTAGATTCAAGTTTGTTCAAATCATGTCCCCTGGGGATAGGGTGGGGCTACAATGGGGGATCAAAGTTTTACATAGAAATATATAGGAGAATATCTTTAAAAATCTTCTTCTTAAGAACAGCAAAGCCATGATTGGTCATATTTATATTGAAGCATCCTCAGGTAGTGTAGATTCAAGTTTGTTCAAATCATGATCCCCAGAGTTAGGGTGGGGCCACAATGGGGGATCAAAGTTTTACATAGAAATATATAGGAGAATATCTTTAAAAATCTTCTTCTTAAGAACAGCAAAGCCATGATTAGTCATATTTATATGGAAGCATCCTCAGGTAGTGTAGATTCAAGTTTGTTCAAATCATGTCCCCTGGGGATAGGGTGGGGCTACAATGGGGGATCAAAGTTTTACATAGAAATATATAGGAGAATATCTTTAAAAATCTTCTTCTTAAGAACAGCAAAGCCATGATTGATCATATTTATATTGAAGCATCCTCAGGTAGTGTAGATTCAAGTTTGTTCAAATCATGACCCCCAGGGGTAGGGTGGGGCCACGATGGGGGATCAAAGTTTTACATAGAAATATATAGGAGAATATCTTTAAAAATCTTCTTCTTAAGAACAGTAAAGCCATGATTGATCATATTTATATGGAAGCATCCTCAGGTAGTGTAGATTCAAGTTTGTTCAAATCATGTCCCCTGGGGATAGGGTGGGGCCACAATGGGGGATCAAAGTTTTACATAGAAATATATAGGAGAATATCTTTAAAAATCTTCTTCTTAAGAACAGCAAAGCCATGGTTGGTCATATTTATATTGAAGCATCCTCAGGTAGTGTAGATTCAAGTTTGTTCAAATCATGTCCCCTGGGGATAGGGTGGGGCCACGATGGGAGATCAAAGTTTTACATAGAAATATATAGGAAAATATCTTTAAAAATCTTCTTCTTAAGAACAGCAAAGCCATGATTGGTCATATTTATATGGAAGCATCCTCAGGTAGTGTAGATTCAAGTTTGTTCAAATCATGACCCCCAGGGGTAGGGTGGGGCCACGATGGGGGATCAAAGTTTTACATAGAAATATATAGGAGAATATCTTTAAAAATCTTCTTCTTAAGAACAGCAAAGCCATGATTAGTCATATTTATATGGAAGCATCCTCAGGTAGTGTAGATTCAAGTTTGTTCAAATCATGTC